TTCCTAGAATAGTGTCTTATTTAATTCCTCTACCATGTTAAGGGGGGGGGGCTAAGAAAATAACGGAAAAGGTTACGAAAAAAGATATCGCTAATCATGGGGAATTACGAATCGAAAAAAATTTCGAACGGAAATCTGCTGTACATGGGTCCTTGATTTTACATGGATTGGCTATATTCGAAATACTGAATCGATATTTTTTTCAATTTTTTTCAAAACATAATTCCGAATGTATTTTTTTTATAGGATAGGGTGACAAACGAGCACACAGTCCACCTGATGGTAAGTGGCTACTGTGACCCATAGACATCTACACTCAATAAAGACTCAAGATGCAGATGCGTTATCACCCGTGAGGACTAAGATAGAATGCCTCTTTGCCAGTAAAAAGGGTCTCCGGTTCTCTACACTCACCATACGAAACACAGCAGCGTTAAGCTGCTATTTTACGCTGGTTTTCTGTGAGAGCGTGGTCCTTCCCCGGTCGAGCCGACCCATTCGTGCTACAACCATAATATAGCTGCAGCATGGCTCTACCACGTAGTAATGTATGTATGTGGCGGCCCTTAACGTTACTATCGTTACCAAGGTTGCCAAATCGTGTAATTAAATACAAAATGTGTACTACTATTATGGTTATCTTAAAACACGTCCACATTTTGATTCTAAGTCGAGGATAGATGGAGGTGTCTTGGGCTACAGCATCCACTTACCATCAAGTGAATGATAGGCTCTTTTGTATCCCCCGAACGGGTTCCCGCCTTGTCGTGGTGGAGGGCCTTGGAAGCCGTGGCTTAGTCACCCGCGGTGAACTAAGAGGGACCCACATGACTGGTCATAGGTGGTCGCACTCCGAGTGGGTTTGGCAAGCCCATTTTGGATGTGTGGTGGTGGGCTACGGCGAGAGGGGTGTCCTATCCCCCTACCGCTGCAGCTGAGTGAGGCTGTGGGGGAGAGGAGTGGAGGTGTTGAGAGACGTCGCTCTCCCTAACCTACGCAGCTGAATTTTGGTTGGCTTTGGAGACATAGAGCAAACCCAACGCTGGGGTCAGGAAGGCTAGTGCTCCTGCCATAGCCTTTGCGCATCGGACACGGGGGCGTCCGTTGCGCAGATGAAATAGGAGACCGCGGAGGTAGGTGTGCCACGTGTTCTAGTTGGACTTACCTGGGAAGGAGTGGTTCTCTCTCGAGGAGGCCAGTGCTGATGAGCTCGCAGATGTGTGCAAAAGCGTTCCCGTGGGCTTACCTATATGCGATGAATAGATTTATGAATATAGCGTCGTTGTTTATCTCTACACAACCTGTTGCAGTGATTCCGAATTTTTTTATATTTATCTCTATTGGTATCACAGTTATCAAATTTATACCTGGCTTTTGCAAAATTTTTCTTACGCTGCAAATTTTTGATCTCCTGAGTAAACCAGGGAGCAGGCAAATGCTTAATCCGGACCGGCCGAATTGGAGCATGAACATCGTAGAGTTGTATTAAAAGAGAATTAAAGCTATTAACCCTTTCGTCAATGTTAGCTCCAGTAAGAACAACATTCCAGTCGATCTTCGCAGCCTCATCTCTCAGACGATCTAAATCCATACCACCAAAATTACGCAGCAGAAGGATTCTCGATTTAGGTTTAGGTGGTCGTAATTTGTATGATAAGTATATCAAGTCGTGATATGAAAATGCATCAGCAGGACACTGACCATGTTTATCAACATGATCAATGGAAGAAACAAAAATAAGGTCCAGAAGAGATGGCGAACAATTTGGAAAAAAAGAGTAGCAGAAAGAGGGAGAATATGTAAGTTAGCTGCTTGAGCTATAGATTTCAATCGAAAGTAACGCGAGTCATTTTTAGAAGGCACGTGTTAAAATCACCCATAATGATAGAGTGTTGATACAGTGGAATATATTTGTCTAAGAGGCTTTCAAACGTAGAAAAGTAGTCAACTGTAAGGTTAGGATTATAAAACACGCCAAGTAGTAGCTTGGAACCAGAAAAAAAAACTTCAATAATTAAATGAAAAGATCCATAAGTTGTTAGTACATGACTTATACAAGGTTGGTAATTGAGAACATCAAATTAAACCAAATTAAATTAAAGTAAATCAAAACTAAAATCAAATCTATACCCAAAATCAAATCACAATAAAATCAAAAATAAAATAATAATCAAATAATAGTAATGTCAAAATTAAATTAAATTAAGTTAAATACAATCAAACAAAAAATCAAATAAAATCAATCGAAATCAAATAATGTCTTAATTAAATAAGATTAAATACAATTGAAATAAAATAAAATATCAAAATAAAATCAAATGAAGTCAATTTATACCAGAACTTAAATATATTTAGTAATTCAATCGGTAGTCCCCTGTCCTCCAGCTTTGCCCATAATACGTTATAAGACACTAAGTCAATCGCCGTTGACAGGTCTAGAAAACAGCCATACACCTGTGTCCTGCGATTAGTATAGTATTGGACAGTGTGCTTTAAACTTACAATTGCACTCTCAGTAAATAGCCCAGACCGAAAACCAAACTGTGCGTCATGTAGCTTAGCTATTTTTTCAAGGTAAGAATTTTAAGCACACCGTCCAACACCTTAGCAACCGTCGTTGTCAATGAGATTGGACGATAATTTTTCATGTCCGAGACGTCACCAGTTCTATTCTTCACAATGGGCACCACAATTGTTTTGAACATTTCTTGCGGTAAATAGGAATGTCTGATACACCTTGTGAAAAACAGCGCCAAAACCCTCGGAAGGTGAACACCAGCATGCTTAAGATGCTCAACGCTACTGCCATCATGTCCAGGAGACTTGCCACCAGTCATATTTTAAGTACATTTCGCACTTGTTCTGCTGTAACATGCACTAGATTATTTTCTCCCTGACAAAAAGGCTTGCTAAAAGTAGGAACCGAGGGGCACAGTAGTGAGTTGACTTTAAAATGAGCCCTAAACAATTCTGCAATATGAGCAGGCTCATTCTCCCCCTCCACAATTGTTGGCAAACCAGACTTAAGATCATACTTTCTTGTTGCCTTCCAGAAACGGTCAAAATTTTTAGCAGATCTATGTTTGGCCAAAGCGTCCATTTTAAGTTGGTATTGATTTTGTTGGCACCATTTTAGTCGACTTGAATATTTTACGCGATTCGTACATCTGCTCATAGATTCTACCAGACTTAGGCCGATTATTATCAACCAAACTTGACAGTTAAGCCTGGCCTGCTTGTGAGCATCATAAACATGCTTGTTCCACCCACATAAATGCCTGTTATTGCTCTTCCTTCTTTCATGAATCTTACTAGACTTACTTGCAGCGTCGCTTAGGGTATATACAATATTCTGATACAAGCGATCTAGTGCTTTTTTGTGCTCACTCAAGCTACACATTCCGTGGCAGCACTCCGTAAACTCAGAAGGAAAATCAATTTCACGCATACTATTATTACATAGGTCATGGTATTTAGCTACCTGTGCCTCACCTCGCTCTCCCCATATTACCATGTTTCGTTGCAAGCTAGATGACGCCAACTTGCTCCCGCGAGACGGGTATGCAAAAAAAGGCTCTTTTGTATATATAAAAAACTTGTGCTGTTCATACTGCGGTAGTAGTGAAACCTTCAGAAAAACAATATATACCGTATTCTATTTTATTCTCTCGCAGGCTAAATATTAGATATGTATATATTTATCTCTATTTAGTGTTACTTTTTCGTTTCATGGAGTTTCAAATCAAACGATTCTATGGAAGTTTTCACTTCAAAAAAATTACCTCCACATTCACGACATACTTAAACATTGTTCATTTTATATCTCAAGGGAAGATAATTTAAGCCTTTGAGATAGAACTCTGGGAATTTGAACGCTGCAAAGTCAAAGTACTGTTGTCGCTCAATGGCTAAGTATAGCCATTCAGATGTATATCATAGTCATATAGCGTTTTTTGATAGTACGATTGAGAGTACGATTGTATGATAATTTAAGAATTTGGTTATAGTTTTTTTTATTAAAGTTGTTTTAATATTGTGTATTTTTATGTAAAAATAAATTAATAAATTTTTAAAATTTCCTATTCAAACCCATCCCAATTAATTTATTCATTCAAAACGGGTTGGCCACACACATACGTAAACCCGTTTTGCCCGCAAAATTTCGAACGGGAAACTACCGTACGTGTGTGACGGGTCATAGATTTTATATGAACTTGCTGCTTTCGGAATCTCGAATCGGAATATCGAAACGGAAATTCGAAACGGAGTTCCGTTTGTATGTGGCGGGCCTTAGGTCCGCCACATACATTCCGCATATCAAATTTCACATCATTGGTGTCGAAAACGACCGAGAGAAATGTCTGATGGCCTCCTATATAAGACGGTAGGTTATACTGCCATATATCGTAATATTCCTTTATTCCCAGCGAAAGATATCCACCGTTTCGGAATTCCGAACGGGTCGGCCACACACATACGGAATCCCGTTTTGCTCGCAAAATTTCGAACGGAAAACTACCGTACGTGTGTGACGGGTCATAGATTTTATATGAACTTGCTGCGTTCGGAATCTCGAATCGGAATATCGAAACGGAATCACGAAACGGAATTCCGTATGTATGTGGCCGGCCTTCATCAGTACCAAAGAACATAGCACTCTTTGAATAAGTACTTTTCGCTTTTCATGAATATATTTGTTATTGTTTAAATTTATATTTATTTGCCTTAAATTTGAAATAAAATTTAATTTTGTATAATTTCAGAGACCCAGCAGTATAAAATATGGTGACTTTACTGGCAGCCCTAAACGTAACGTTTACTAAAATTTGAATTTGTTTGAACGACTCGCTGTAACGTATCGTGGTGTGTAAAAAAGCTATTGTACATGTTTGATACAGAAATAAATTTTGACGAATTGTGTATTAAATTTTGAATACATTTATTACTGTGGGGTCGGTGCAAAAACGATTTGTGAATAATTTTATGTGTAGTGTGCCAAAATGACGTCTGAAAAAGCAAGCAGGAAAGATAAGAATCAGAATATCCAAGTATTTGTCAGATTAAGGTAATTTTACATTAAAACTATTGATATCTTAACATATTTACATACAAGGCAGCTTATATAATAAGCATAATTACTGCCTATGTAATTATTAAAACTTACATTTGATGGAAACTATAGTAATCAGTTCGAATGTATAAAGCTTGCTGTTTACTGCAATTACAACAGAAACAGATAAATTTTATTGCTTTGGTGGTGCAGAAGTAGTTCAATACCTAAAGTATTTTAAAATACGATGCTTTTCAAAGTTAGTTCCTTAGTTGCCTTTTTAGTGATATAGGCATCACTAGGAAACGCCATAATACCAACAAAATTAGGTCATGTCGTTCATACTTATGAATTAAATTTAAAATGATTTTTCTTTTGCATTTTTGTTTTTTAAATTAAATTTAGTCAATACTAATTACTCTTATTAACTAAAAACAAATCCGTCAAAATGAAATAATTTAAAAATGGTATTTTGAATTCGGAGACTCACCATTTTATTAATTTTAAGAAATGATACCTTCTATACATGTCAGTGTTCCTTACTAATTAATGATTTATTACAAAATTACATTAAATTAACAGGTTTTTGGTCTGCAAAATAGACACAATAGTCTAGACAATCAAAATGTTTATATGTATATATATGATTCATAGGACTGGGGAAGGGTTAACAAACCATAATATAAACTTACATTGGTCTGGTTGTACATCTCTTATAATTAAAACAAACAAACAGCCTTTCTGTAAAACTTTGTGAGTGGCATCATAGTCTACAAATCTAAGTCACTTGACACAGACTAAATAAGGGGGTGTAGGGGACCAGTATCTACAGGGGACAGATTTCAGGGAATGAGATTTTGAGAAGTAAGCTTCCCTGGCCTATCATTTTAAATGGTGCCAGTTAAATCTCAAAATAAATAATTAACTGTTACTGCATACTATTGATTAAAATGAAATGAACACTGCAAGTTCTAAGTAAAATTATAAAAAATAGAAGTGAAGACAATACTATGCTATATAATAGAAAACTTTTATTGGCTTTATACCTATAATTAAAATTAGGGTAAATGTCCCCCAATTCAGCTCTGCTATAGCTATATCACTAAAGGCCCTGGGTTTTTTTCCATGATGAACAAATTTTTAAACTAAGATCTAGTGTTAGTAATTTGAAAATGCCAAGATGCCACTGTTTGTTTCTAATAAGGTGTAGTAACCCAATATACTAGGCAAATAAATTTAAATGCCTTCTATGCTGTTTAGCCACAAAATTCTAAAGTCCATGATGCGTAATCTATTTATTTATGTAAGTTAATAAACATATTTTTATAGAATAAGGGTGATAAACAAGCACACATTCCACCTGATGGTAAGTGGTTACTGTGGCCCATAGACATCTACATCTATCTTCGTTTGCGAATTGAAATGCAGATTTATTGCCAGCCGTGAGGACTAAGATAGAATGCCTCTTTTCCAGTAAAAAGGGTCTCCAGTTCTCTACACTCATCATACGAAACATAGCAGCATTAAGCTGCTATTTTACGCTGGTATTCTGTGAGAGACCCATTCGTGCTACAACTATACTATTAATATAGCTGCAGCATGGCTCTACCATGTATAATAGGAGTGAATAAAAGCAACAAATTAAAAATAATGGAAAATTAAGGAAATATATTATTATTGATCAAGAGAATAGCCTCCGTATGATATAATTATTTCCATAACTTGTGTTTAATTTTAAACATTTTTAGTTCTTGACATTACATTAATCTATTTAACTATTAAATTTATATATATATATATATATATATATATATATATATATATATATATATATATATATATATATATATATATAATATATCTATATATCTATATATTTCTGATTTTTTTTGAGATTTGATTCTCTGTACTGTTAACGTAAGGGGCTACACCATCCTTCCTTTTCTACATAGTATAAAACAAAGTCGTTTCCCGCCGTCATGCAATGGATTTTGATGTGGTTTTCATCGATAGATAAAATGATTCAAGAGGAAGGTTTATATGTATAATATATATGCATATTATGTATTATATAATTTTTCTATCCGTGTGTATGTGGCTGAACTAAACGGCTGGACTGATTTTGATGAAATTTAGTGAGTGTAATTAAGTTGATTAGAGAATGGTGTACATTCACAATTGAACCCAATAGGTGTCATTGTTGTCAATATCCTGAAATCAACCTTGCGATGCTGGGGCAGATATCTAGTTTAGTATTAGTACAGACATATATAGACATATTTTGTATAGCAAGTTTTTATTATTATGAAATCCATTAATTTATTTAAGAAACATAATATACAGCTTTAATCAAATCTACATAACTTAATACAAATTTATACATACTATATATTATATTATATATACAACTAGGGTAAAGATGAGGGAGGACTATGTTTAGCAGTTGACTTTTAATAGTGTAATGAATGAGTTAATGAATAGATAATACCTATGTCCGGAATGGCTGTCCACTTGTTGCTAGCATGTCCGTATATCGCTACATACAATGCTAAACATCTCAGCAGGAGCTAATAAAATTTCCTGCCCAAATACTAAATACGCACTTTGAGGTGTGAGTTGCGGAAAATAGCCTGTCGTAATCTAATTGAATCTAATACCTATATTCCGATTAAATTATAGAAATTCGAATTAATATTGCCATGTTGTAAAATTTTCTTACTCCTTTGATCAGAGAAACCGGAAAAATTTTGCCCCCGTAATCGCCTATATTGTAACATCAAAATAATTTTTGAAAACTCTTACAAAGAAATTGCTTGCATAATAGGATGAATTTAATTAAAATTGATGATATACCATCATCATGAACATTACAGTCCACTGCTGAACATAAGCCTCCCCTAAGGAATGCTACACAATACGGTCTTAACTCACCTGCATCCATCAACTTCCTACATGTGTTATCAGTATATATCACTCCATCTAATAGGCCCCTACACAAGGCTTTTACTGATGTCATTTTTTGGCTCCTCAAGCTATATGGCTGGCCCATTGCCACTTCAGCAAGCTGATCTTATTGGTCTATGTTGTTACTCTGGTTCTATCAAATATGAGGAAGCTTAAGCTATGGAAGGGGCTATGCTCAGAGTGTCTCAATGTGATAGAATTTATAATAAGGATATCTGCAGATCAAATATATTACTATGCAAAGTTTTTGCATTTGTCAGTTTGACCATAATTAATTTATAAAGTTTGTTTAACTTATTAACTGCCTATATACAGACAATGTGGATATAGACATTTTAATATATGAATATAATATATTTATTTGTGATAAATGCCACATATGTCAGCTCCGATGCTCCTCCATGTTGATTTAATGTGTATTTGTTGATTATGTGCATAACTGTAGCTTCATTGCACTTTAGTCCTACATTTTGATTTAATTTTTTGACACAGCAAGATAGGATGCAGAATTAGAGCTTTTCTTAAGGATAATGAAGTTTTTAATTTGCCAATAGCTTAATTATTTTTCTTTCTTTATTTGTAAGTCGTATTTGTAAATGAAATTATCACATAGCTAAAAAAATACCTAAATAGTTTCTTACCAGATCTTCTCTGAGAAGGTGTAGTTTTCTGGAAATATTATAGATTTTGATTTTCTTAAGAGTTTATGAGCCTAAATTAAAAAGAAAATAAATACTTTTTCTGCAGGCCTCTGAACCAGCGTGAGCGGGACATAAAATCTCTGGGCGTAGTTGAAGTTGTTAATGGAAGGGAGATCCTGGTGCGACAGTCGCAGCAGACTTCCCACACCAAGAAGTTCACCTTCGACAGAGCTTTTGGACCTCATGCTAAGCAGGTTTGCATAATTAAAAAAAAAGTAAGCATGACATGTCTTTGTATGTATGTGTGTGTGAGTGCGTGTGGTTCGAATAGCAGCATAATGCTGCTAAGTTTCGTAAGGTAAGTGAGAAATACCAGAGTGAGTATTTTATTATGGTAACAAGGTGAAATGCCTTCTTTCTTTTTAGGGGTGACGATCTTCATTTTGATTCTCGATTAAGGATAGAAAGTGTCTATAGGCATAAACTTACCAAAATTATATATTTTAAATTTGTCTATAATAATGTTTCATTCTAGGTCGAGGTATACCAGGAGGTGGTAAGCCCACTAATTGAAGAGGTATTAGCCGGGTACAACTGTACGGTGTTTGCATATGGCCAGACTGGCACCGGCAAGACCCATACAATGGTTGGTGAAAACACTGGAGATGAGACCAACTGGCAAAGTGTTAGTATGCATTTTTATTGAAGCATAAATAAAATTTTGATGGTCAAGAAACTTCTTATTTTAAATTTACTACCATTTTTAAACGAGTTTCCCTCTCATTGGAGATGAAATCGCAAAAACTAAAAGTATCCATGAAATGATACAATTAATATAGATTATAAATAAAAAAGGGTATGGGCTAACCATCATCATGATCATCATTACAACGCTTCACAAGTTCACTGCTGAACATAGGCCTCCCCCAAGGAATGCCACAAAGCACGGCGCTGAGCCACCTGCATCCATCGACTTCCTGTATATCTTACCAGGTCGTCACTCCATCTAGTGGGGGGACGCCCTACACTTCGTCCGCCGGTACGAGGCCGCCACTCGAGAACCTTTCTTCCCCATCGGTTGTCGGTTCTTCGAGCTATACGGCGGGCCCGTTGCCACTTCAGCTTACTAATCCGTTGGGCTATGTCGGTCATTCTGGTTTTATTGCGGATATCCTCATTTCTAAGTTTATCATGCAGAGAAACTTTGAGCATAGCCCATATGGGCCAACCATAGATAACTAAAATCAGTCTTCAAGGCAAGAGTGAATAGACATTTGTTACACTAAGACAGTTAGATTTACCATTTAGGGCTAGGGCGCTTACCACCAGAAGGGATTATGGTCAAGCACTGGCTTATAATAAGTTAAAAAAAATTATAAATCTCAAACCTGTCGAGCTGAGTGGTAGCTGAGACTATGGACCCCCATTTAGCATGATCCTGACTCACCTCTCGCTTCTTTCATATCCATATATTTATGCATATAATATAATTTCTGAACATGCGTAAGAGTAATTTGTGTTGTTTGAATCATTATTACATAACTGGGTTCAATTAGTCCTCAACCTAGATGAACATGTTTTTTCCACAGGACCCGCTGGCCGGCATCATACCTCGCGCTCTAAGCCAGTTGTTTGACGAATTGCGTCTCACCAACACTGAGTACACCGTTCGGGTGTCGTACCTCGAGCTGTACAATGAGGAACTGTTCGACCTTCTGTCCAGCTGTGAGGACAACTCCAAGCTGCGTATCTATGAGGATGTTACCAGGAAGGGCTCCAACATTGTTAATGGACTTGAGGAGATCACAGTCAGTTTAAGCTATTTTTATTGTACTATAATTTAAAACATTTTATTTATTTATTTTTAGTTTCATTAAAACGGTAAAACCAATAACATTAATTAAACAAAAATTCTCACCCACAAAACAATAATTTCATTAAACGTTATATTTTCTTTGCTGCAGTGCAAAAAGGAAATAAATATTCATGGAACTTCTTTGTCCATCAATTTGTCGCTTGCTCTAGAATTATTGAATTTGAAACGAAATTGAAAAAATTGTGACACTGCACGGAACTTTCATTTTGTTGTGTTTAAATTTAATTCCCGAATTAATCCTGTATACATAATACGTCTTTGTGTCCGTTTTGACTTGAATTAAAAAAAAAACTGGTTGTAATATCACTGCAGTTTGACTTGCATATACATGAATAAATATATATGTATGAATGAATTAATTCATATATCATAATATTTTCGCAGGTATATAACAAAAATGAAGTTTACAAAATCATGGCACAAGGACAAGAGCGGAAGAGGGTCGCGTCTACTTTGATGAACGCGCAGTCTAGGTGAGCTATACAAAATATCTTCCATTATCTTCCAGAAAGCATGTTCATCAGATTAATAAATTCACTACTGTATTAATAATGTAGCGGTGGCGTAAAAGAATCTACCATATCCCGTGTGTGTCGAAGAGGTGACTGACAGATATGAATTGGAAGATGGGCAGCATCAGCATCTTCCTGATAACATATCAATAAAAAAACTGCGGTATCAAACCACCTGCCAAACGTGGCAACTATTGCAAAATCTCTCCTATAATGTAATCTATAGGAAAGACCTATGTTCAGGAGTGAACTTTTGATAGACCGAATTAATGAATAAGCATCCCATCTCAGGTCTGTGTTTTTGGATGGCATCTTGCAAGTATTTACTGTTATGTGTACTATGATACCCACAGAGGGATGAATATTCAACTGAAGTTGATTATGAAAGTGTGCGCTTAATCTATCATAATATCCACCTTCAGCGCTCTCATTTTCGGAGACGTCTCCGTGGCGCAGTGGCTTAGCAATGAGTTGCAGCGCTAAGCGTTCGAATCCCGCACGGAACAAGCATTTGTATGGCCTACAAATAATTGTTCTGGGTCTGGACGTTTGTCCTTGTGAAATTTATGTATGTAAACTGCCTATACGATGCAGAAAATCCTTGTGTGGAGGTTAACTTCACATTCAGTCTGTGTTCATGGCAAAATTACTTATCACTCATCATCATTAAGTAAGTTTGCCGTATTATGACAGCATAAAAGCATCCACCATCCTATTTCGTCCTGTGGGTGTCATGAAACGCTACTATGGCGTCGTCATAATCAGCAATCGATCGTACGATGTAAACAATACGATTTGATTTGATTGATCCAATAGCTGTCCTAAAATTCCGCCGCGCCTTCACCGCTCCGGGGCCATTTTAACAATGCCTGAGATGCAAAGATTTTACTGTCGGGCAATATTGCTTTGAAAATTGCAAATGGCATTGAAAAAACCCTCGCCCCCTCGTTCCTTGCGTTGCTGTGCTCGCGCGTTGACGTGTGACCAATTAGGACACTCAAAAGAGATTTGTATCTTTGATTAAACGATCGTACGATCAAACCCATCGTACATTATTAAGTATTTTGCTCGCGCGATGACTTCCAAGCTTCAATTACGAAACTCTTCTCTTTAAAAATGTGTGTTAACTCTCGTCGTGAGACGAGATCGCATCATTTGATCGTACGATCGTTGCTAATGAGGACATCCACGACTTTGTGCCACCAGGGCGGCGCCACCTAAAAATGAGGTATAATATTTGAGAGATTTTATAGCGAGGAAGTTAATTTTTTCGAAAAATGTAAAGGTTAATGTTTCTTTTGGTACTATCAGATATATTTTATATTCAAAATAAATAAACCAAACCACAGATATTCATAAAAGTTTAAACATTAAAAAAAAGAGTTAAATATGTGCATAAAATTAAAAAGCATACCACTGCGGCACTGTTTTGTGTATTAATATAATACTCTAGAAACTGATAGTTTTTTATTTAAAACCAACTTCACATTTAAAATAACATTCTGTAACAAAAAAAACTTTACCTCAGTGTCAACTAGTGACATCTGGTGAGCGGAAAACTATTAACCCTCATTAGGACGACGCCTAAGGCAATTTGTGCATGTAGATATTCACTTGCCTAGGCACAGGGGTAAAACACCGCAACTCAACCTTATGATCTGCAAACGACAGTCAGGCGAAGTTTTTACAATATTAAACCCTAAGGATTATTTTGGCGTATATAACTTATTTTTGTCTAGAGTTTGAGAGAGTGATACTTTTTGCATAACTACGTCTATTTAAATTTATTTGAAACTATTGACTTTTTTTTAATTACTTTATTGTTTCAACTCTTACCTAGAAATCAACTGTCGCAATTGTTAAAAAAAATATTGCTTATAGAGAATATCCAAGTTGCGTTTGAGCCATACTTTTTTATTTCTTTTAAAAACGTTATCTCCATACTAGAATTTTACGATACGGGAGTATCGTGGGGGCAGTTTATATAACTAAATTTCACATGGACAAACATCCAGACCCGGCACAATTTTAGGGTTCAATAGGTTTGTAGTTCAACATGTTTGTCATCAATAGTTCTGTATCTGTTTGTGATGTGAAAAGAAATATAAATTCTATTCTAATCTAATTATTTGTAGGCCATACAAATACTTGCTGCGTGCAGGATTCGAACCCGGGGCTTTTAGCGCTGCAACTCCTTGCTAGGCCATACAAACCTGTTACATATTATCTCATTTTCTTCCTAACTAATGACAGAGCAAATAATATATTTTACGATTTAATCTATGTACCTTTTTATCGATTTCTCAAACTGTTTATGTATTTGAATAGATGACTGACATGTAACTTTGATTTTTATAGTTTTAATCCACACGGTTCCAAGCAAAAGTAGATATTATCCAGTACTAGATTTTCATACATAAACCACAAATATTTTTATTTTAAACATTGCAGCAACCATCTCAATGGAAAACTTAAGTCCCAGACTTAGTAAGTTTTATTCAAGTGTTAGTGCGAACTTGTTTATGTTTCCTCTAATCATAAACAGCTGCTATTTTTTTTAAAGTTTTGAACTTGGTTTCTGCAATGTTATTTTGAGGAAGCATACACAAAGTGCATGGTAATTTGTTACTTAGATATTATATATATTAAATTGGAAAAGAGACTTTTAATAGATAAATAAATATATCGCTTTAATATTGTTCTGTGTGGTAATTAAAATTACTAAAATTTATAGAGGTACTTAATATAAAATTGAGGTAATTAATATAAAATTCTTTGGTTTTGGTTATATGCAATACAATCTGTAGAATTAGTTTTATTTCATGTGTAGTATTCGCGTAAATGTAACAAATCATTCTTTGTTTTCATTTTTGCAGATTCATTTAAATCTAAATATATTCTAGATTTTATAGAATATTTAGTTGTTAGCCAGTTTAAAATTATGACATCTTTTGTCATATTACGTAAAGTAAATTATTGCATTAATTGGGTAGAATTGCTAAAATTTAACAGGCAGTAGACTCGAGTGTTTCTTTATATTTACCACATTTTCTTCTAGTCGCTCGCATACGGTCTTCACAATCGTAGTTCACATGAAGGAGAACAGCCCTGAAGGTGAAGAACTTGTGAAGATTGGGAAACTCAATCTGGTCGATCTGGCTGGTTCAGAAAATATAAGCAAGGCTGGCTCGGACAACCCAGCCAGGAGAGAGAGGGCGAGGGAATGTGTTAACATTAACCAGTCGCTTTTGACCCTCGGTAGAGTCATCACTGCATTGGTGGAACGGCATCCTCATATACCATATAGGTAAGGTTTTTATAATAATTATTTATATACTGCATTATTTTTTATATTTTTGAAATTTACAGTATTCAAGGGGAAAATCTTTACCTATATTGCAACTTACGAAACTCATATGTCCAGCGGATTAATCAAACTTCGTGTGTACGAAACGAATTTCGTAAATACGAAACTAAAATCATAAATACAAAACTAATTTCCCTCGAAACGAGTACAAAACTAATTTCGTAGGTACTAAACTAAATTCGTGAGTACGAAACGAATTTCGTATTTACGAAACGGGTTTCGTAAGTACGAAACTAAATTCGTAGGTACAAAACTAATTTCGTAACCATGAAACGAATTTTGTAAGTACAAAACTAAATTCGTAGGTACAAAACCAAATTCGTGAGTACATAACTAATTTCATTAGTACAAAACTAATTTCCCCCGATAAGAGTACGAAATTCGTTTCGAAACTAAATTCGAAGGTACAAAACTAATTTCGTAAGTACGAAACGAATTTTGTAAGTACGAAACTAATTTCGTAGGTACGAAACTAAATTCGTAAGTACGAAACTAAATTCGTAGGTACGTAACTAAATTCGTGAGTACAAAACTAAATTCGTAGGTACGAAACCAAATTCGTGAGTACAAAATTAATTTCCCCCGAATAGAGTACGAGACGAATTTTGTAAGTACGAAACTAATTTCGTAGGTACGAAACCAAATTCGTAAGTACGAAACTAAATTCGTAGGTACAAAACTAAATTCGTGATTACGAAACTAATTTCGTAAGTACGAAAGTAGGTACAAAACTAAATTCGTAAGTACAAAACTAATTTCCCCCGAAACGAATTCTAAACTAGAATGTTCCCCGGACAACTGTGGTGACATTAGAGTATCATAAAAAAATACCTGTCCGGGAAGATGCTGTTTCTTCGCAGGACAGCTTTTTTTCCAGGGGTTACGTTCCGTGTAGTGGCCCTGTAAGAATATCCACTACTCCATATCATCCTGTGGGTGTCGTGAGAGGCGACAAGGGGATACAAATCAGGAGATGGGCAGCAGCATCTTCCTTGTATCAACTAAAAATAAAAAACTGTGGTTGCCACCCCGCTCGCAAGGTGTACCAACTATAGCAATTATCACCTCTGTGAGGCAACATATGAGGAATGCTTATGTTCAGCAATGGACTTTAATAAACTGTAATGATAACATTCAATAAGTATTATTTATAATATATATTAAACTAGCTGTGCCCCGCGGTTTCACCCGCGTATATCACGCATCTGCGCCTTGCGACATGCGAACTTCGAGAGAGACATCATGACGGACGGTTGCTGAATTAACAAAGATTAAAAAAGTGAAATATGTTACTAAAATTAACTGGTGGTTATGCATGATACAGGTACTGATACGAATAATGTCTAGGCGACATTATTCATATCAGTACGTACTCGTATTAGTAGTATTTGTACCGGCGTTACTATTTCACATTTTAACATGAAAAAGTAGTTATTGTGACATAACTGTTATAGTTAAACATATGATATCGCAGACTTTTTTGTAGAGATTAATATCCTCTATAAAAGTGAAGTACATTACTTTGCTCTATTATCAATAGTTTCCGAAGCGTACGCGATATAAGGATTCTTTTTGGTATTTTTTTCACACCTTAGGTTACATTAACGAAGTTTTCATACGGATCCCTAACTTTTTTGAAAATATTACATAGCCTATGTTCATCAGGGATAATGTAGGATTCTAATGGTGAAAGAATTTTTCAAATCGGTCCAGTAGTTTCGGAGCCTATTCAATTCAAACAAACAAACAAACAAATCTTTCCTCTTTATAATAGTAGTGTAGATTACCGTAAAGGCGGGTTACTTTAGCTGTTTTTTTTCAGTTATTTTACGAATTTGATCTGTGGTTTGTATTGGTATTGTCCTTTTAGTATTCTTATATGCTATAAAGAAGCTTGAGGATGTACTCAACAAGATATGAAGTGTATTTTAGAAATATGATACCTAACAGTAACTTTTTTTTAAGTTAAAGTTTGGGCCAAAGTTGTTCTTAGGAAAGGGTTAATTTAACCCCATGAACTTTATCGCTGAAAAATCGCACTTGCAGCTATTATTGGCCAAAGAAACCATCCAGGGCGGAAAGATTGAATATATCCAAGAGAGATTTAATGTAAGAAAAAAGTTCGAAATAAATTAAAACACGATGTAAAATCAATATTATATATTTCAAAAAGATTTACAGTAAGTAAATTCCTCAACAATATCTCAACTCAGTAGCAAACTTACAGAAATACAACAATAATATTATCTTAGATTAATTAGGTAACATTTGCAAACGTATATTTTACTTCTCAGTCTAATTAAATTATAATTTCAGTCTTATTTAAATGAGAATCAACGTTTACCAGTAGCATAGGAAATCTAATTTTCTTCTCTTAGTTTCTCTCTTAGTTCTTATTACACGTTCATTTCCGGAACCGAGAAACAACCCTTTTTCTCCAATTTTGGAGGTCCAATCTTACACAATATGTGGTCCCAACCATAAAGTTGTTCATCTTTTATCGTGGGCCACCGCCAGTACATTTTACCTTTTTTCATGCACGTTATAAAGGCTCCTTCCTCTGAAACTGCTAAGACTTTACCTGGGTATTTGCGTGAGTTCCATGTTACTAGAACATGGTTGCCTACAACAACATCTAGATCAAGTGAACCTCCTCGAAAACCTGGTGGCTCTAATGTATCCTGCGGTAACTTTTTGATTTGACGTGCGGGCGAGACCCGCAAGTTTTTGTCTTGACAATCTTCAACAACTACCTGCATTTTCTCTCTTTCACTACATTTTTCTTCAACGATCTGTATACCCTCAATAGATTGAATGGGAGTGAAGTCTTTAAAAACATCAAACAGCTGTTGCTCTACATCTATTACTTGAAGAACAGGAGAGCCACACTCCTCTTCTACTTCACTCTCCTGCTGAAGATCAGGCGAATGTCGAAATGTAGGTGCATCAGTATCACTAATCTGACTCACATAGTTGGCCAGAAGAACATCATCCTCAGAGTCATAAGGCATTATGTGGTCTTCAGTGGAAGAAGCTAGACTGATGGTCCTGTCACTGCAGCTTGAAGATGAAGAGACGTTACGTTGTCTTCGTTTTGTTGCCCTTTTCTTTTCCTTTATAGTTTTAGCCTGCTGTAAACCCGATGGACCTGCTTCTGCAAGGTCAGTGGCACAGATTGATTTTCCAGGTGGCACATTAAGTTTCTTTTTCCTAATTGTTTTCGGTTCTGGGCACGCCTCAGCTCGGTACTGCACCAATGTATGCATAAAAGAGTTCCCTATAAGACCTGCGTTTATTATTCGATCTTGTTTGGGTAATCTAGGTAAAGGCTCCTCTTTGTCAATGGGGTATATGCCTGTCTTTCTGAAACCAGCAATCAAATTCGCCTTGGTCTCGGTCAAAGAATCCAAAGCCGTTTTTAATAGTCGTGGAAACTGATCCTTAGGTGTAGTCGACAGTTTCCTACCCAGTTGACTGTTCTTCCATTGAAGCAATACTTGCCGCCACTTGCACTTCAAAGGTCGAAAATATGCGACGTCTAGTGGCTGAAGTATATGTGTAGCGTTGGGTGGCAAACAAATAAAACTAACATTGTGCTTCTCACACTCGTTCAAAACTGTTTTATTAATGTGTGAAGCAAGGTTGTCTCCAATCACTACTTTTCTACCATTTTTCTTCTTAAGAACTGGCATAAGATGATTGAGAAACCAGTCTTCAAAAGTTGCGCTGTCCATCCATCCGCTCTTTGTCCTATTATATCGAGCGCCTTCGGGACCATTTTCAGTCCAAGTCGACCAGAGATGATCCGACTTATAAACGATGAACGGTGGAATTGTTTCCCCAGCGGCGTTGCCACAGAACATGACAGTAAAATTAACTTTTGTAGCGTTTACTATTGTTTCCGGATATTTTGTTCCTCTTCTGCATAATATAGTCTTTTTTCCTGGGTCATCACAAAGGTTGCTTTCATCGTAGTTGAATATGTTTTCGGGTGGAACGCTTTCTAGTTCTTTGTCGATGTTTTCTATAAAATTGGAAATGACATCTTCCGACACTTGAGCTCGGACTCTTTTGATATTGTTAGCAAGTCGCCGTGAAAGAGATTGATGTCGTGAAAGAAAAGAAGCCAACCAGTCTTTACCAGGAATGTTGTTCTTAAAAATTTTTACAACTCTTCCCTGGGATTCAAGGTAATTTTTGATTATCATTTTTAGGTCGAATGCTGTCAGCGGAAACCCATATTCCCAAAGGGCAGTTATGTGAGCTTCAAACGCCTTTTCTTCCTCTTCAGTAAAAATTGTAGGTTTACCTGGTTTGTTAGGGTGTTTCCGGGTTAATTTGTTTTTCAAAGTGCTGCGAGGAATATTAAATAACTCTGCAGCCGCTCTTTGTGTGAGCACTTTGGATTGGATTGCATCCAGACATTTTTTTAAATCTGCCTGGGTGTAGTCGACATATCGACGACTGCCAGGCTTTCGTCTGTACACGGATGGCATCAGGAATATCGCTCTGTGTTTTAATTCTGTAACAAATTGATCAAAAATGTAAAGTTCTCCACTAATAAACATTGCAGGGTTACTTTAGCCCCGCAGGTCCAAAGTTACCCGAAAAGGTGGTCAATGTATACCGATTTTCTAAATCTGTCATTAAATCCCATCACATAAATAAATCATCTTTAAAAAACAATTTCCATACTCCTACATACATGCCTAAGAAAATAAATAACAATCCAATTTGAAAACTTACCAAAATACAGCTTCAGACACCAAAGTTTGCAGCAGAAAAATACGCCGGTTTTACTGTCAAAAGTTTAAACAGCGCGAACATGTAGCGACGTGCACCCGAGTCGGTAAAACAGTTCCGCAAGTACGCGTCTATATCGCCATCTATTAGTTACTAAAGGAACTACGACGTTCGATTGTGTGTTCGTGACACAGCGGGCAGTTAAATCATTTTCTCGATTTGGGCTAAAGTAATGCCCTAGGGTCAATGTAACCCGCCTCTACGGTAATAAAAAATCTTACCATTTCAAATAATTCAACAAACATCATTTTTGTTTTGCACTTCCTTAACCTTAAACTAAGTAGCTTAAGGTTAAGAAACCAGGTAACCAACAATTTGTGTTTTGACACAAATGTTACTTTCTTATAGAAGTGGAACCCTAGACCAACTGCTTAGTAGCAAGCCCAGGTGCATTCCGCACTTTAGGCACAAAGCTACAAGTACATCAGCCTTGTTCAATCATTTTATTAAATTGAAATGACAAGCAACCTAACTGCCTACCGGATGGGAAGTGGTTACTGCAGTCAGACACCCGCAGCCACAGAAAAGGCTACAGATGCGTTTACACCACTGCGGACTAAAATGGAATGCCTCTCAGTCTGTCGTACTGCTTCTCTATAGCCTTTAAACCCGAAAAGAAGTAGTCAATACATTGCTACTTGGCTTGTGCCTATCCATGGGAAGTTTATAGACTGTAACTTTAACTACATTATATTCTCATCATCATTACAGCCCTTCACAAGTCCCCTGCTGAACATAGACCTCCCCCAAAGAATGCCACAAAGCACAGTCCTGAGGTACCGGCATCTATCGACTACCACCTGCATATCTTACCAGGTCGTCACTCTCATCTAGTGGGGGGTCGCCCTACAATTCGCTTACCCGGTACGAAGCTGCCACTCGAGAACCTTTCTTCCCCATCGGTTGTCGGTTCTTCGAGCTATATGGTCGGTTCATTGCCACTTCAGCTTATTAATCTGCTTATATATAATTTACTAATATCGTATTTCGTTCTACCAGGGAGTCAAAACTGACTCGTATCCTTCAGGAATCGCTCGGTGGTCGCACGAAAACTTCCATAATAGCTACCATTTCGCCCGGACACAAGGACCTGGAGGAAACTATGAGTACGCTAGAGTACGCAAACAGAGCTAAGAATATTCAGAACAAACCAGAAATAAACCAAAAGATGACGAAGAAGGCTATATTAAAGGAGTATGCTGAAGAAATTGATAGACTGAAGAGAGACTTGCAAGCTGCAAGAGACAAAAATGGTGAGTTATATTAAATATTTATACTTAATATAATAAAGCGGAAGAGTTTTTTGTTTGTTTAAACACGCTAATATCGAAAATTACCAGTCAGGTTTAAAAAAATATTTTTGTATATTATAGCCAGATTCATGAGCAATTGTATAGGGTATAGGCTATCTAGCATAATTTTTCTATACATTGCTACCTAAAATGTGATACAACACGTGATATACGCGGGTGAAACTGCGGTGTACAGCCATTTGTTATATGTTTGTATATGGAAAAGACACTGTGACTTACAAATGTCCTTTAGAGCGAATTTTAACGTCCAGACAGACACAACGGAGACTAGCTATCGCAGGACAAGTTTATAGTGCATGAATGTGTGTCTTTCTATTCTCTCATTCTCATAGTCTGATGGAACGGTAATAGGCCGGAAGGACCAATGGCTTTACGTGTTTTTTAAGGCACAAGGGTAAAACATTAACCTGACCTATGATTCTCGAACCCGGGAACACATGATCGGCAGGCGTACTTTGGGTGTTACCATTCCAATCGATCGATCGTCAAACGATGGTAGAATGGATTAATCGACGTTGACCGAGTAACTTGATTATTCGAGAACTGCCCATTGTTCTCTTCTGAATATATTTTGAAAGATACAGATGATGAGCCCACTACCACATCGATTATTATTTGTCGATCGATGATTGAACAGCATTTTATCCATGAAGCTAATACAAAGGGGAGACGGCATAAGCAACTGTGCACTGTGATTCTAAGTAGGTCCTGACGTCATCATAGTGGGCGTGGCTTTATTTAGTATACTGTCAGCATTCGTCCTGTGCGCTCATGTGTTGAAAAAATCGCAAATCGATATATTTTCGTAGTATTAAGAAGAAAAGGATGAAGTGTTGTGTTTTATTGTGTAAAAACTACTCAGATAGTCACTCTGATGGATGGCATCACATTTCATTTGTAAATAATTTTACACCTAATTTATTAAAATAGTTCTAGAAAAATCTCTTTGCGTTGGCTTTCAAATATAATTAAATATATTCGACACTAGATAGCGACACTTTGTGTCATGTGAACTAAAAATATAAAGGTCCGTAGAGCTCAGTATTGGTACAATAAACATACGAAGGTCCTGAAATTTGTTTTGCATTCAGATATAAAGTAATTTTAATCGCAAAATATTATTTTTATAGTTTATAATCATTATGTGAACAGGCCGTATTCTATCGTCAAGTAAACCTCATAAAATAACAAAAAGACAGTGCCGTAATTAGAATTCAATTATTTTATTCAGTAATCCAACTTTCAATATTAAAATGAAGGAAATTGTACTTAGGCTGATTTTCACGAAATGTTTAAGTTATATTTAAGTGACATTCAATATGCAAAGAATCACTTAAATACAATTTAATGTTCTTATGCCTAATTTGGAATAAAATATTTATATTTTAATTGATTTGTTAATAAAATTATATTAATTATAATAATTTGTCTATTATTTGTTCTCCCTCAGAGATATTAAGTAGTATAACCCACAGATAAATAATAGTCCAGCCTTTTCTGCGTGAAAAAATTACACATACACAGTACATACTTAGTGTGGAATAAGCTCAAGGTGACAGAAAGAACACACAAAATTTCGCCTTTATAATATTAATGAGATAAATAGGATATTTAGTTCCAAATTAAATATCCTACTTAATATTGAACATAGAATATTTAGTTTCAAAGAGACTTTATTATATGGATAAAATAAATATTTTTTGAAGGTTGACTTTCACGAAATGATAAACATATTTAAATTGTATTTAAGCGATTCTTTGCATATAGAATGTCAGTTAAATATAACTTAAACATTTCGTAAAAATCAGCCAAGTACAATTTCCTTCATTTTAATATTGAATGTTGGGTTACTTGGGTAAAATAATTGAATTCTAATTGCGGCCCTGTCTTTTTGTAATTTTTTATGAGGTTTACTTGACAATAGATGGCGGCCTGTTCCCAAAATTATTATGAAAACTAAAAATATTATTTTGGCGATTAAAATTTCTTTGTCTGAATGTATTTGCTTCATGATATAGACGCTCCGATGCTATGGATGGCATCACATTTCTTTTTTAAGTAATTTTACACCTAATTTATTAAAATAGTTCTAGAAAAATCTCTTTGCGTCGGCTTTCAAATATAATTAAATATATTCCACACTAGATGGCGACACTTTGTGTCCTGTGAACTAAAAATATAAAGGTACGTAGAACTCAGTAATGATAAAATAATCATACGAAGGTGCTAAAATTTATTTTGCATTCAGACATAAAGAAATTTTAATCGTCAAAATATTATTTTTTAGTTTATAACATTTTGTGGATATGCCGCCATCTACCGTCAAGGTAGCTAAGCTACATTGCAACATTGATATGGAAAGATTCGAGTAGTTTTACTATTTATCGGTAGATGTAGATAGTGTAGTGGGCGGGGCTTTGCATCCCCTCACCCCGCAAATTGTCACGCGTTGTTTCATAGTGAAATTGAATTACAACGTCTCCTCTTTGTATTTGCTTCATGATTTTATCGACCAGTATCCATCAATCAACTAAAGCTACCACATCAATCGATCAAAATCTTGATAAATGTTTATGTCTATAATTAACTTTTTATTTTCATGTTATACAAAGTCTTGTGTCTTAAAATAGATTTAATTTTTTTATTTCATTATTCTTAATTTCTATAAAGTTTAATTCTATGAATCTAAAACTACGATTTATGTAATTTTTGATAATAAACACAAAATTAAAAAAAAAGTTTAAGAATCTTTATACATCCTTCCCCATAAACTGCCTCATATGTGCCAAGGAGATGCTGCTGCCTGTCTCCTGTTTCAGTTTCTCTCTATAGCCTCTTACGACACTCACGGGATAATACGGAGTCTCTTAAGTCACCATTACATGGTTTATTATGTCTTATTACTTTCAGGTGTCTATCTTGCAAATGAAACCTATGCCGAGATGACCCTACAGCAAGAAGAACAAAGGAAAGAGATCCAAGAACTTCTGCTCAGGAAGAGGGCATTAGAAGAAGAAAGAGACCGAATGGAATCGATATTCAGTGACCTGGGTCAGAAGTTGCAAGAGAGGGAGAGTGAACTCAACATCACGAGAGATATACTGAACACTACAAAGACGAAGCTTGTTAAAACTAATAATGTGAGTTTCTTTTTAATAATCTATTGAAATTAATTTGCGAAGAAAGTAAAAAGAGCTGGCAGTAGAGCTTCTTTTCTGTCTATGAGCAAGAAGTTTGTATTAAGCCGGCGCCAGATACAGCTTTAAACATTTGAACACTTGTTCGAAGCTATGTGTGTCACGGGACTTAGAATCAAAGTTCAAATAAGTCTGCAAAGAAATGCACTTTGCCAAGCGGTTTTTTAGCGCACATCAAAGCGTTCGTAGTCAACAGTGTTCAAATGTTTGCGTGGCCTGCCACACTTGCGCAAGGGTCATTCGTGCGAGCGATGTCCAGCGGGACGGTCGTGCGCAGTACGTTTTAAAAATGAGTCCAAGCATAAAGACAGTAAAACACAATCGAATGAATGTTATTTGTATGGTCAGCTGTTATCTGAAAAGATAAAGCCCTTGGATGAAGATGACAGACTAGTACTTATGAATGAAATAGATAATCTTGTATTTAAATATTTTATTATATTGTATTACTTTTGCAGATGTAATAAATAATGACATGTACTTAAATAATACAGACACTGCATCCACAAAATCGTCGTCCATCTTGTTTGTCATTTATCAATGTACTGTGGAGATATGTGTTTGCAAAGCATGTCTGGCAGTTTGCGCCAATAAGTGTTCAAACAAGTGTGCAAAACCTTTCAAATAAGTGTTCAAATGTTGTTGATATATCTGGCGCCGTCTTTAAATGGACTTAGACGCATTCCATTTTACTACGTGTTCATTTCATGAATGCCGTTACGTCCCGCCGCGCTTCTTCATACCGCGCCTCAAGCATCGCCCATATAGTACCGATAGCAACGCTGAAATGTATCTATATGTCCGTTGTTTGTGCTCCCGTGCGATCTCTAGTTTGTTACTGTTTTTGTTGTTGTTTTAGTTACTGTTGATTGTTTGTTTGGCAGTGATACAGAAACGAACGATTTCGATAAAATAACTGGTAATTGAAGTTATGTGGATGCGTAAATATCTACATACCAGTTTTTGTTCGCGACTTCCTAAATAATTCTTTTAAGATGTATAATAAAACTAATAAAAATATTTTATTTTATCGGACACATTTCCATTCAGTGTTATTATTTTACTTTACTCACTAAATAAAGTACCTTTAACCCACGAGCGTGTATACGTAGGTATATGGATGTGGAGGAAGCGAGAGAGGTGTGTCAGGATCGTGCCAAATGGAAGTCCATAATCTCTGCCTACCCCTCTGGGTGACAGGCGTGAGTGTTTATGTTATGTTATGTTATGTTCACTAAATAAATTATTTAATAATATGCATTTTATCTACTTACTTGCCCTCCATTTATCTGTACAGCGCAACAAACTAAAAATCGAACTTCTTACAATTAAAACATTTACAGTAATAGTTTTTTCTACGGTACCGTCAGCTCTGACGTCATAACGGTCGACGACGCTAAATTCGAAATGAACGCATAGTAGTTACCTTTACTAAGAGGTGGAAACCATTTATGAAAATAAATCAGAAAGAAATTAAAAAAAAATAATTGATGAACTTCACGTCTTCGAAATATTTTTATTATAACTCTTTCATATATTGTCAAATAGTGGGGATTTTTCCCATACTTACAAGTCGTGGCACGTAAGTCTAGCGCTGAACGAAACGTGGAGGGGACGCGCACGATTTGAATTGCACGAATGCGACTGGAGAGCCAATCAATCAGCCCGTGCGAACGATACGCACTTATGCGTAATAGCGGTCACCGATAGACTTTCGTGCCGCTACTTATACCACGCTTCGCAGGCGGGTTTGGCATACACCGTTTTATTATTTTAATTTGTTATTTGGAAGATGCTACTTCCCATTTTTCGGTTTGTTTACCTCTGTCGCCTCACGCGAGTGTCGGCTCACGGCATGATATGAGGTAGTGGATATTCTTACATTGCCTCTACATGGTCGATGATTACAATAAAAAAATTTGTTGGTGCTGATGAGGATCGAAGTTGGGTTTCTCACATACCAAATAAATATAATGAGTGCTTAGCCCCTAAGCCAGGCCTCTGTCACTCTTGATACCTGCGTAATATAAATGCCTACAATCGCACGGAACCTACCTCATATACGCTTCGCATCATACGCAGTCAGGGCTAGCGCGTTTTAGACAAGCAACGTACTAGTCAATTTCAAAGTTTTTAGGGTTCCGTACCTCAAAAGGAAAAAACGGAACCCTTATAGGATTACTTTGTTGTCCGTCTGTCTGTCTGTCTGTCAAGACCCTTTTTCTCAGAAACGCGTGGAGGTATCAAGCTGAAATTCATATCAAATACTCAAGTCTACTGTCCCTTGAAGCTGTGAAAAAATCAAACTTCTAAGCCAACGCAATCAAAAGATACAGCCGTTTATGCCGCAAATTTTCGACATTCGCAAGGGAATTAAAACCTACAGGGTACTTCCCGTGAACTCAGAATCTTAAAATTTGGTAGGAAGCAACGTATTATAGCACAGATAAAGGAAAAATTGCGAAAAGCATACATTTTTATTTACATCATATATTAAAATATTTTTAATAATTTTAAACTTATACACCTACGGATTCGTTCGGAACCCTCGGTGTGCGAGTCCGACTCGCACTTGGCCGGTTTTTTTAACACTGTTTACGTAAATAGATTTTATGTATACACGTTTATAAATATTTTTATTTATTGTTTAGTATATTTAGTTATAAGATAAAATAGTTGTATACGCTTTAGTGTAATTTATGTGTATATTAATATGTTTATTATTGAAAATACATTCATTAACAATTTTGAAGACATAATAATGACAAAACCATCAAATAATCTACTAAAATTATTAACAAATATCAATTTTATCACTACATGTCAATGTTTTCCTCCCAGTATTTACTTAAAATTATACATACATATATGACTTAGAACTTTTCCACTCTTAAATTTAATAACAGTTATCTTAGACACAGTAAATAATATAAGACAGTATGATAAAGTAATACAGTTGTAAATTAAATAAATAATCAAAATTTATTATACTGGGTGGCGCCCAGGTTATCACGTTAAATAGCACAACAGTTAATACAAGTTGATATATGTCTGTTAAAATAATAAAATAAACAATAATAAAAACTAATAAAAAATGCATCTTTCAAACAAAATAAATAGGGTAAAAAATCACATAAAATAAATCATCCTTGATAATATTACTTAACTGACCTGAAATGACTTGTAGAAGCGGCAACGTCGCGGCCAGCGGTTCATTGCTCATGCGACATCGATATAGGTAATTATATTATAATACCTAGGTCCTAGGACTTGCCCATACATAGGTAATTAGGCGCGCGTAGGGCGATGCTAATCCGATGTTATCAACAAATCACAAATTTCATGGTATTTTTTTATCCAAATAATCACTTTAACCTTGAAATCACTCAAGTTTATGAAACAAATCAAATTTTTAAATTTTCAAAATGTCCGCCGTGTACCCGAATGCATAATTGACATCGTCGCATGATATTATTTCGGACTTTTCGAAAGAGGGCACCATTGGCTGCAAAATTTTTTATTTTGTCGAAAGCCCGCATTATTCTTATTTTTAAGTCCTCGACAGTCGTTACTTCAGTAGAGTACACCTCATTTTTTATGTAACCCCATAAAAAGAAATCTAACGGTGTTAGATCCGGAGACCGTGCTGGCCACCGAGAAGGTCCGTATCTGCCAATCCAGTTCTCTCCGAACATCTCAGTGAGGCGCTGCCTGGCAGCCACCACTGAATGAGCAGGTGCTCCATCAAGCTGGTACCATAACCGGCTATTGGCCCCCAACGATAGTCCATCAACGTAATCCGCCACTGTGTCGTCAAGCAGTTCCAAAAATTTAGGCCCATTAAGGTTGCCTTCGATAAACACGGGACCAATTATTTGATCTCCGTGAAATCTATATTGGTGCATAGACTCTCGACACAGTTGCGGATTTTCTTGACTCCAGTATCGTAAGTTCTGCCGATTCCATATTCCGTTACGCGTGAATGTGCTCTCGTCAGTCCACATTACGTTTGCTAAAAAGTTAGAGTCATTAGCTACTTTGCTCAGGAGCCATTCACAGTAGGCTTCCCTAACTGGCTTATCTCTATCTAATAAAGCCTGTACCTTTACGTATTTGAACGGCCGTTGCTTGTTTTTTTTTAATATTCTGTGAACAGACTTGTGGTGTACACAGAATTGGCGAGCTGCTCTACGGAGACTTGATGTTGGATTACGAGCGAAATAATTTAATATTCGTTCTTCCTGAGCCACGGCGACTCGCGGAGGAATTTCAACCTGACGTGGAATCAAATTTTCGCCGTCACGTAATCTTTGGACTGCCCGTATAAAAATCCGTGAGTCTGTAGGACATACACGTGTGGTATTATACCTCTCTCGGTATGTTCGTAATGCCAGGGACGCGTTTTGGTGGCATTCTCCATAAATTAAAACCATATCGGTGTATTCCAATGACGTAAAATTGATACGAGGCATTTTAAAATAAAAAAAGTTATACGTTTAAAAAAATAAAAGCGTCCAATTGCGCACGGGCTGACACACCACTAAGTTATTAAATATCACTTATCTATTATTAACGAGTCCTATCACAAATAAAAAATACAAGACAGTAAAAGAAAGCGTCAAATTTCGCACAAATAGTCACACCACCTCCTCAACACAATTATTATTATAGTATTAACGTGTCCTATCACAAACAAATCAAGAAACTTATGAAAATATCCACAAAAAATAACTTTAAATTAAAAGGACGTGTACGCGAAAAACTAAAATTAGGTCAAGCGATTAATGAACCGTTCCCAAGGACGCCGGCGTCGGACTAAGTGACTTACTTATCGTCGCACGCGCCAATCGACCACATCCCACCCTCCCAACACCCCGTCCCAATTCTTGTCGCATCGCGCATAAGAATTATGCCTTATTATGTTACATATAAGTACATTTTTTGCTTAATTTATTACTTTATTTGATTATTTAAAATTGGCAACGTTGCACTATAATACAATATAGGTCTCTTGGCCTTCACGGGCCATGGGTCTTTGAACTTCTAGTATTTATCAGGTGATATCTGATGCATTTACATGATGTTGTTTAATATTAAAACAAAAAAAAGGCTACCGCGCCCAGAATGTTAATTGTTATATATTTTTTTAGTTGTGTATGTTTAAAGAACTTTGTATAGAATACGTCTTTTCATTTAACGTGATAACTTTATCGTCACTTTGTATACATACTGTAGTTTTACATACTATTTATTGAAAGCTCTGGGTAACCACGAAAAATCGAAGGGGAAAAGATACATAGCAATACGGACACTAGCGCGCAGCGATAAAGTTTAATTTAGCTTGCGTATGTGATTTATCTAATTAATAATAATTTTGTGGGCTATTAAAACGTCGGCAAGCAGTGAACATCAAAAGAGTACAACTTCTGTACATAGTATTATTATTTATTCAGTGGCTAAGCTACCAAGGCTTTAATAATGCTATGTAAGTAATGTCTGATAACTTAACTCATTTTCTATTTCGCAGGTGTTACAAACGACCAAGTTGCACTTTGAGGAGCAGAAGTACCTAGTGGAACGGCAAATGGAAACCGAGAACACCCTGACTGTCCAGGCGAAGGAGATCCTGGCGGCCGCTGACATGGCCGCCACACATGTTGAGTGTCTGCACGACAATGTCGACAAGCGCAAGTAATTATTCATTAAAAAAAAATTTTAAATTTAAATTCAAATAGTTTATTGCGAATATAGGTTCATACAGTTGGTGTTTACATAGTTTATCACTTATAGAACAAACGTTTAGTAGAGCTATATTCCGCCATTTGGCATGCAATATTGATCACATTTTATTACTTTTATATTAAATTATTTAAACATGCTCTAGTTATAATTGGAGTTTATATGATACATTATCAAAAGTAATACAGATAAGTCAATTTAGATAGTATGATATAAGTCAAGTCAATTTAGTTATACTGAGTTGAGCTCGAAGTTGTTGACGAGTATGTTTACCTGGGACAAATAGTCCCACTAGCCGATCCATTCGTGCTACAACCATAAAATACCTGCAGCTTGGCTCTACCACATACTGTTATAATTTTAGTGATAACAGCACATTAATAATATGAGACTAAATGGGGAAGTGGATATTCTTACACTGCCACTATATGGTTTATACATACTCAGGTTTTTAAGTCATTGTTCATGAGGGGGGGGGGGGGGTGATTGCCATAGTTGCCACGCCTTGCAAGCGGGTTGGGAACCAGTTTTTTTATTGTAATTTTGCTGTTATCAGGAAGATGCTGCTGCCCATCTTGCTGCTCTATTTCCTACTACACCCACGGGATGATATGGGGTGGTAATGGATTTTTTACGCCGCCTTTACGGCGAATTTTTCTTTAAGTGCTATGTAGACCCTAATATAATAAACAATCACATTACAGATCCGTGGAGACAACGAACCTCGAGATCACAAATGCGTACCGTGAGATGTCTTCACAGCATCGCGACAACATTTCCGGTCGAGCGGACAATTTTGTGGCCGCGCTAACTCGCACGCTGGGAGACATGCAAACTGCTCTCGGTAAGTAACAAACGAAGTCCCAGTCCACCCAATGGCAAGTGTCTACTATACTGCCTATGGACAGCTGCAACCAACTTCAAATAGGGAAGGCCACCGTTTTCACCTCGCAGGACTAAGATAGAAAGCCTCACAGTTGATGGTTATTATTATTATGCAGGAGTAATAGGCGAGCAGCTTATAGCTGATCTGCCTATATCTGTGTTGGTGTTTTATAATAATACAAGTCCACACCAAGAATACACTAAATTGGATTGTGTTTGCACCATTTGTTCAGTCTGTTTTGTGTAATCACAGAAGGAGCGTCAACCATGTCTGAAGCTTGTCTTATACTGGCACATACTTACACACACATACTTGACGGCTCAGAGGCGCAGTAACTTAGCAATTAGGCTTTTAATTAATTTTAATTCGCTGAGGGCCTTGGGCTTGAATCCTGCACGGAACAAGTATTTTATGGCCTTCAAATAATTGTTACGGGTCTGGATGTTTGTCCTATTGAAATTTATGTATGTAAACTGCCTTCACGATACAGGAACTAATCCTAGTGTGGAGGTAACTTTATTTTTTAAAAAATCTGCTGCAGACAACAGAATAGAACAAGAGTAGGTCTTCTCTTCTACCTTGGTGTTTTGCCCGCATAGTAAAAAAAAATCTAGAATTTAACTAGGCAATATCCTAGGCAAAAATTAAGAGCCCTATTGAATAGACTGTGATATAGGAAATATGTCAATGAAAAGAGGCGTGTTGATGCTTCTATAACTTTAATTATACTGTTCAAACTTATTCTACTTAACACTAATATATACTGTCGTGGAGGCTACACTACAAGACGCTATCAGTACAGCCCATCACAAGTCCATTCCTGAACATAAGCCTCCTCATAAATTACCACAATGTATGGTCCTGAGCCATCTGCATCCATTGACTGCCTGCATGTTTTATCAGGTTCTCATTCCATCTGGTAGAGAATCGCTCAACACTGAGCTTTCCAGTGCCAGGCTGCCACTCGTTTTTCTTCATCATCGGTTGTCATTTCTATGAGCTATATGGTCGGCCTATTGCTACTTAAGCTTACTGATCAACTGGGCTGTTGGTGAATCTTGTTTTGCAGGCCCTGAATGAATCTTGTAGGGGCCGATATTTCTAAGAAAGATTCGTAAACAACCACCTTGGTGTTGTTATTGTTAATTGCCTAGAACATGTGCGCACTGCATTTAGGAAATTAAGTCTCAGTTACTTAACACACTAGGCACCTATAATAATATCACTTGTTATGAATTTTATCCAGCAAATAAATTCCGAGCATAGCTATTTCCAATGCATGCTGAGTGACTTTGGTTTTTCTCATACAGCCAGCAGTGAAGGACCATGTGTCGGCACAGAATATATAATAGTACTACGTACAGAAGTTGCACTCTTTTGACGTTGACTGCTTACCGACGTTCTAATAGCCTACATAGTTATTATTATCAGATAAATCACGCACGCAAGCTAAATAAAACTTTATCGCTGCGCGAGAGCTTCTGTATTACTTTGCGTCTTTTCTCCTTACTACGTCACAACGGACTTTCCGTGGTTGCTAAGGGCTGTTAATAAAGAGTAAAAAAATATATTATGAAATGGTAAGTTACTTCGGTAAAGTACCTATGCTGACTATAATAGACCATATTATCTACTATGTGAGTTCTGTGATGCTCAACGCATGCAACTTGCAAGGCCATTAGTCGGGAATCGCGATGCTTGGTTCGTATAGGTAGATAGCGTAAACAACAAATAAACCCGAAATACGATTCCTAACAGAAATATGATCGTAATCTACTAAGTTGAAAATCTTGTAAGCACAGTTTTAATTTCAGTATTTTGTGCTATTATAACTTAAAATATTTTAATTACAAAGACGAGTATAGGTATGTAAGTAGGTACTTGGGTAGTGAAGTAAATTTTTAAAGTTTTGTAATAAAGTACTTAGGTATTACTCCTGTAGTTAAATTATTACTTAATTATTTTTTCGCTATAAGTACCTATCTAACAAAAATAATTATCTTTCACTATCCTTCGGTAACACAAAAACTTATATATCTGAATCCTTTTAATTGCTCATTAAGCATCCATTCCCGCAACAATTATAGTAGGAACGACGTTTTGCCATTATAATTTATCAAATACATAAGTAATATACATACATATTATTCTTAAATTACATTAAAACTTTTTCAACTATTTTACCCTACAATTAAATATACTAAACACTAAACGAAAACTATTTCGACGAGTATTTCAATAAGTATTTACAAAAAATTATTTACGTAAACAACGTTAAAAAAACTTTATCATTCTATCGCCTAGAGCGCGCTAGCCCCGACTGCGATCTACCCTTGGGGCAGCTCGCGATTGTAGTTAAGGCGCAGGTTGAGCAAAATGTCGCGCTAGTTGTTATTTGTGCGGTTTTTAGGAGCTATCTACTTTTTATTTAAAAGATATATCAGCAAATAAAAAACACATTATATTTCTACATAATCTTGATTCCATAAGAGCTCTATCCAATTTTTTTTTAAAGTAATAAATATTAATATAATCTCCTTACAACGAAACCACATAAATGTGAAATAATTATTGATAACATGCATCTCCTCGTAAAGTAAGTATTATTTTATTTTGTGATTTACACCAATGGATAGGCAATTTATTAATGAACATTTCTATTATAAATTTTTTTTTCAAAAGACCAAAATTTGATATCAAGAAATTATTTTAAAATCTGGGCGTATTCACTGCCCACGGGCTTGCTGGAGTCAGTGAGCGCTGAGCTCTTGAACGTGGAACCCGTGTCGTTAGAGCGTCGGCCAGCGCACACGCTCACGTCATCTTATCAGTCGATAATATTATTACTTATTAGGTTATTTATAGGTAGTATTATTTGTTTGTTTTGGGTATAATTTTTCGTATTAGTTATACATAATATATTTGTTGTGTTTTTTACTGCGTGATGAAGCTTTTTGCGTGTATTTTCTTTGAAGTAAATGCAAATATGAAAATTAAGCACCATTCGCATGCAAGGTTTGGTTTGAATTGGGCGTTTAATTTGATCTATGGTCATGTAATAAGGCCCGGTCGGGTAAGTCGGCCTATAGGCGACTAATTCAGCCCGGGCGTCTAAGTTGGCCTATCTGCGGTATTGCGGGTTATTACTCGACTCTCTAACTAAACTGACCATTTATTTTTTAATTCAAAACGGGACATGGGTTTATTTATACTCTAAAAACTATAACTTTATACAATTAGTGTTTACTATAAAATTATATTCGGTATAGACGGTAATTATTAAATGCAACATATTTTTTTTAATAATTAATTACATTTGTCAGTGGATTAAATTTGCTTTAATAAAGTTGCTGATGATTTAAAATAAGAATAAAATTCTGGGCAAGTTTTCTTTATACATCTACATCCACAATTTATTCAAAATAGAAAAATACTCTTTCTACTGGAGCATTTGTACCAGGTAGACATAAAATATATTCGATTAAAAAAATTATGTTGAAGTTTGTTAGCTTTGTATACTTCCATCCAACGAGTTACGGGACAATTTTGTGTCCCGGAGCTTTATTTGGGGACAATGGGACAGGTGACCGAGAAAAGGGACAGTCCCGTTCAAAACGGGACGTATGGTCACTTTACCTATAACCCGGCGACGGCTCCGTGGCGCACTGGCTTAGCAATCAGTTGTTGCGCTGGGGGCTGCGGGTTCGAATCCCGCACGGAACAAGTATTTGTAAGGCCTACAAATAATTGTTCCGGGTCTGGATGTTTATCTTTGTGCAATTTATGTTTGTAAACTGCCTCCACGACTCATTCTATATTAGTCTCACTCTGCGAAACATCCTATTTATTTATTTATTCTTTATTGCACCAAATATTTGTACAAAACGCGAGCTATCTATATATTTACCTATAGTGAGTAGGTACCTTTTAAACTCACAATTTTCAATGCTTTATTTTTAATATATAATTAATTATAAAATTTCATAATTAGATAATATATGAGAATACATAATTCTAATATAATGCAACCAATATACCAAATAAAAAAAATTAAAATACATTTATCGTTGTACGCTGTGTGTATTTCCATAAAATAGTTTATTGATGTTGAAAAAATACTACGTTCGTACATACGATGGCGTCTTACATATTTCTTACGCGATATATTGTAGCGAGTCGTTCGCATGGAGTAGCCCCTGAATTATTTCACGCAGGTAGCAAGAGTGATAGAGGCCTGGTGTCGGTTGCATAGGCCATCATGGCACTGGCAACATGCACTGCATAGACACAATATATATTTTATTGAAAGTATTTTTTTAATGCAGAAAATCATACTTCGGAGAGCCTGCAGTCCTATGCCAACAGCAAAGACAAATTAGAAGAATTAGTTCGAAACGCTACAGAAACTATAAACATGGTGAGTAGTATATATTTTGGGTGTGTTCCAGTATACACTGTGATCACTGTAAGGTGTGACGTCAATTCAGTATTCTGTGAAGTCGTTCTTTTTAGTTTGCTACACTGGTTACTGTTTAAAATGGAATGCAGTCCAGTATACTGTCATCCCCATTTTTAGACACTGTTTTCAAATGAAAATATTTATCATGTGCACATTTTCTGTTCAACAAAAAAATTATTATTTGAATGTTGTTGCTTTTAAAACTTATGTTTGAGTTTGTTTGAATAACAATATTAATTAATAATAATAACAATAATTCGTGGAAGCTGTTAAATCTCTAGGCGCTGTAATGTTTTTTGATCACGTAATCAAAGTACTGGAAGCATCTTACCTCGAAAGCGCCAGTGCTCACAGTACAAAAATGGCGGCCATTTATGAATATTTCCCTAGGGTACTGCGGCAGTATATTGGCAGTCCATAACAGAACGAATTTTTCACCAGTGAGAGCATTTGAGCAGTGCTTGCAGTGTATATCGGAAAAAACCCTTTATTAAATTATATTTTTTGATACGTCAATACACATACCTAATCAATTTTTTTTATCATTAACGTAAAGTTATTGCAGAAAAGAAACAAAAATTTACTATAATCCAAAATCAAATATTTGGTTAGTTTCGCAAGCTCCTGATGTGCAAGTACTGTTTTTGTAGAACTTTGCTGGTAAAGTTTAAAAACTATGAAATGCTTGAAAACTGTCATAACAGAGGGAAACTAAAACAGTAAAAACGCAGCAGCATCTTAAAGTAATTTCTATATATAAAAATCAATTGCTGTTCGTTAGTGTCATACATACGATATCCTACAAAACACACAAATACTACACTAACAAATACATATATACATTATATACAACTAATATTATTAACTAAGAATACACATGCAGTGTGCAATACGGGAATGTATACTATATACTATCAGCTTCCTCTCTGTACCACTTTTGGCGACCAATTAATTGTCATTATCAACTTAGTCCTATTAAATGTCACTTACAAAAATGTACCTATGAGAAACAAACACAATAAAATTCGATAATATACTAAATAACACAAACAACATAGATTCTGTCTCAGTGTCGGATTCATCTACCTGTGATTTAGACAACTGTATCCCATTTAATTTCAACCCCAAGCAATCACTCAAAATACTTAATCAAAATATTAGAAGTATTTCAAAAAATATGATAGGTTTCTATACCATACTCGCTAGGACTAAGGTCGATTGGGACATCATCACATTAACCGAATGTTGGCTTCCCAATACACATAATATTCCTGACCTAACAGGTTATAAATACTTTAAGACTACTAACAATCTAACACAAAATGAGGGAGTAGTTGTATACATACATGAAAACCTACAGGTTTTTGTAGAGGAACCGTCATTTTTAGATGCAAATTGTCTCCAAATAAAAATAAACTATAATACCATCTTGTTAGCAATATATCGACCACCAAGTTATAGAGATATCACTAACTTCCTGCATTCGCTTGACATAGTCCTGACTAATATCACACATTATAACAATATAATAATAACCGGGGACATAAATATTAACATCCAGGAACAATGCCATGACACAAACAAACTTAATTATTTAAATTTATTAGCATCACACGGCCTGCTGCCTGCACATTTTTTGCCCACTAGACAAAATGCATGTCTTGATCATTTTGTCCTTAAAACTCTATTGCCTGCTTCAACATTAGTAGCCCACTCAGCACTAACTGATCATGAAACCGTGTTATTATTTCTCGCAAGCAAAATGCCCAAAATCACGATTAAAAAAACAACGACGCGCATTAACTATGATCAGTTGACTGACGACATAAAATTAATCGACTTTAGTGAAGTATATAATACCGAAGATCCTCACGTAGCAGCAGATTTAATGATAAGTCTTATCAAACAAGCGGTCCAAAAAAACACAAAAACCGTGAAAGTACCAAACCGTAAAAAAATCATTAGGCCATGGATCACTCCAGGTCTCTTACGCTGTATCCGACACAGAGACAATATGCACAAAAAATTAAAAAAGTCGCCAGACAATGAAGTATTAAAAACATCTTTTACTAGGTACAGAAATTATTGTAATAAGTTGTTAAAAAAAATTAAATTGGAATATGAAAAAAAATGAATTAAAAAAGACTAGTAATAATCCTAAAAAACTCTGGGGAGCAATAAATAACATTACAAATAGGGCAAAAAAGAAAGAAAATTCATCCTATCACTTATTAACCACATCATCCACTCCGGAGCTATCTGTTAATTCAGTTAATGAATTTTTCGCTAATATAGGTAAAAATCTCGCGGAAAAGATATCGGATGGACTTACAGAGTCAATAAAAAAAGGTTTTAACAACAGCAATAACAACAACTCGCACTCCATGGTATTGTTACCAACGGATGAGGACGAGGTTGCAAGATTAATATTATCTCTCCGTAATGACTGTGCTGTGGGTTGGGATGGAATACCCTCTAATCTCCTTAAAAGGCATATTAATGTAGTTGTCCCACCCCTGACATATATCTGCAATCTGGCTCTCACAACCGGAAAATTTCCTAAAGCTTTTAAAAAATCGATCATACACCCGATTTATAAGGGTGGGGACAGAGACCATGTCAATAATTATAGACCTATAGCTGTGCTGCCTGCCTTGTCCAAAATACTCGAACGCATAATAAACAACAGGCTCGTAAACTACTTGGAAAAACATAACTTTCTTTCGCCCTCACAATATGGTTTTAGGTCAGGTAAATCTACCTCGGATGCGATTCATGACCTTACTAATTATATTGTTACAAACTTGGACAATGGGCAGAAGGTTCTTGGCATATTTCTAGATCTCGCCAAAGCTTCGACACGGTTTCTGTACCCATACTTTTACGTAAGATGGAGAGTTTGGGAATTAGAGGTATACAACTGCAACTTTTTGAAGACTACTTGAGTGGACGTACTCAGTGCGTTCAGGTGGATAAATTCATCAGTACTGAACGCACAATTACCTATGGTACGCCTCAGGGCAGTGTACTCTCTCCAACCTTATTTCTAATATATATTAATGAAATGAGTATGCTCACTCTTCCTAAAGGGCGGATAATAAGTTATGCAGATGATACCGTCCTCCTATTTAACGCAGGTTCATGGCAAGATGTCTATACGTACGCCCAGCTGGGCTACAACACAGTCTCTAACTGGCTCCGAAGTAATGTGCTGACACTTAACATAGATAAAACATGTTATGTTGCATTTAGATTAAAAAATAACACATTAACAACATTATCACCACCATACTCTATCGTAAGTCACTCATGTCCCAACTCACTTAATAACGCGGATACCTGCATCAAACTATGTCAAGCTGAAAAAGTAAAATATCTAGGAGTAATAATTGATAGCACTCTACGTTTTCATGAACACATTAATACCCTTAATAGCAGGTTGCGTAAACTTATATATGTTTTTAAAACTCTGAGAGATGTGGCTGACGAGAAACTAAAGAAATCCGTCTACTTCGCCTTGGCCCAATCTCTGTTAACATATGGTATTACCTCCTGGGGCGGTGCTCCAAAAACTAAAATGCTTCAATTGGAGAGAACGCAGAGAGCCATCTTAAAGGTCTCTTTTTCACTGCCGTATCGCTATCCTACAGAGCTCCTATATAAAGAGTTGAAAATTTTAACTGTGCGGCAACTGTTTATACAAAGTACCTTACTAAAACAACATGCTTTATTAAAATACAACCCCTCACTCTCCCGAGATAAAAGGCGTTTTAACCCCGTGGACCGCTATCATATAACTCTATCCACCAAATTATCTAAACGTTTCTTTTGTCACCTTGGAGGTTTCTTATACAATAAAATCAATAAAATTATCCCTATATTTAACCTTAATAAAACTATATGCAAAAAGAAAATAACTATCTGGCTCCAAGAACTAAATTATTATGACACTGAACAACTACTTACTAATTCTATCTAATTACTAATCTAATAAAAGTTAATTACTAACCCAGTCACAAACTAACAAACAAAAGCATGCACACACACACACACACACACACACACACACACACACACACACACACACACACACACACACACACACACACACCCACACCCACACCCACACCCACACACACACCCACACACCCACCCACACCCACCCATCCACACACACACACACACACACACACACACACACACACACACACCCACACCCACACACACACCCACACACACACCCACACCCACCCATCCACACACACACACACACACACACACACACACACACACACACACACACACACCCACACCCACACCCACACACACACCCACACACACACCCACACCCACCCATCCACACACACACACACACACACACACACACACACACACACACACACACACACACACTAATACTAGTTAATATATATAGAATCCTAAGTAAATGAAAGGAGATATTGTGTAAATTATAAATATGGTACATGTACGAGTGCATAATAAAAGAATTGTAATTAGAACCATAGGGCGGAGACCTGGCGTCCTGAAATACAGGCGTAAAGCCTAGCTTAGGCACCAGTCTCCCACAGTATATTATTGAGGCTATACTATAATATTATGTACAATAATTCTGTATTGTGCTGAGAAAATAAATAAATAAAAATAAATAAGTGTCACTAAAACTTAAAAGTGGCTTGACTGATTTTGATAAAAAAAATTGTGTGGGTGCTAAGATTTGGACCTGGTAGGTGGCCCTTTTGTCGGAATTCAGAACCCACCCGTGCAAAGCGGGGCGGGTCACTAGTCAATAATAAAAAAAATGGTGGTTGCTTCTACCCCGCTAGTCAAGTGTGGCAACTTTGGCAAATATTGTTCCCTAATTGTATTGATTGAATTATAAATTAAAGTGATTAGCCGAAACAGACAAACAGTCAAGCAGACAAAATTTAAAAATCGTTTTTTTTAAATATAAGTACCATATACAATATGTCTATTTCGGACCAGTGTTAAAAGTAAAAAATAACTTTAAATATAAATAACTAAGAATCACGAGTACCACCCGTGCGGTTAAAGAATGTGTTTGAAAATGGCGTTGCCTCTATTCACCTCTCGCTCGCACACTTTAACTAGATAGATATACTCACACCCGCCGGTAAAGACTGCTTAAAAATACGTTGCGATATGCGTTTCTCGTATGTTCAAATGCATTTAATATAAAACTGTTTTTGACATTACAAATAGACAGATTCAATTTTATTTATTTGTGTAGATTGTACTAATAGGCAATTTACATCACTTAATAGATGTCTGCACTAGAGAGCAATCTGGGCACACAAATAAACGGCAGCACATCAGAGCAGCAGTCGCAAGTGCGCGCGACGCTGCAGGCGCACGGCGGAGAGCTGCACGCCGCGCTGCAGCAGACCGCCGACAGCACAGATGCTGCGCTACACACTGTTGCAGCGCTGGATCTGCAGGACGCTGTGCTTGCTTATTTAGAACAATGGGTGAGGAATGTGTTTTATTTACTTACTTGTATGTGTTTTAACCTTAAGCAAGCATTTATTACTTAAAGACTATACTACAAATATCCACAGTGCGTGAAAATACGGTAAATATTATCGACAATCACTATCCCTATGTTTTTTCTCTCTATGATGAAATGGCAACCATTTTTTTTTTTTGCCTCGAGGCAAGGGTGCTTGTACTGGTTAAGTCATAGCTACCCATGTCGAAGTCCAGCTTCAAATCGATGAAACTGGAAGCTACATTAGTAACTAATTTAGAAGAGCACGAAACAAAAAAGAAATTATAAACGATTATGATTACATACATGTATCGATGATTGTTTTAACAATGGGTAGTTCTCAAAAATATTTGAAATGAAGGATTACTTATTTTTTATTTATTTTTCTTTGTATAAATAAAATTAACATAAAAATATTGCGGGCGATGCCAATCTTGTGAAATTCAACGCCTTCAAAATACAAATGTGTCTCTTCACTGCAAAAAGGAGCCAGTTCACCTTTGGCTGCTTCTTTCCGAAATGTATCGCTGGAGTACACTGATTGCCTTCAGCTGTTGGGGGTTGAGATATCCTCAAATGTGAACTTCGTGCGGTTCATTGAGTTTAAGACCAAAGAAGTTGCAAGGAAGCTAGGAGTCCTTGCAAAGGTGCGGCGATATTTCACGCCGGAACAGCTGTTTATTTTATATAAAGCGCAATTCCGGTCGTGCATGGAGTATTGTTGCCATATATGGGCTGGTGCTGTAAAATGTCACCTAGCAGCTTTGGACTTAATGAAAAGACGTGCTAAGAGGTTTATTGGTGATCTGAATTTGGTTAAAATTAATCTTACCAGTCTTGAACACAGGTGCAAAGTTGTCAGCCTTTTGGTTTTCTACAGGATGCATTTCGGAGAGTGTGCGTAGGAATTGTATAATTTAATTTCTTCCTTTTTTTTCCACCATTGGATAACCAGATGTTAGGCCAGTCTCCATCCCTTCGTTGTTGACTTACTACGCATTCGAATTAAACGGTATGCTACATCGTTCATCATGCGTACAGTAAAGGATTGGAATAAGTTTTTTTTGTCAGCATGTGTGTTTTTATCTGAATATAATGTGGGTGTGTTCAAGGCAACAATGAATAGGCTTTTGTTAAGTCAGTGCGCATCACTATCGTAGGCTACATCATCACTTATCATTAGGTGGGATTGTAGTTAAGCGCCGGCTTAGAATAATATAAAAAAAAATCAAAAATAATATTTTTTCTTATATCAAATTCCTTGCTAGTGATTTTTTTAAATGATTTATAGAAGTGAATGTGCTTATGTTTGGCGGGATGTAGGCGTAGTCTCGATCTTCGAGTAAGATTCGAAATGCAGATGCGTTGTCACCCCTGAGCTTAAAGATGGAATGCCTCGTTTCCAAAGAAATGGATTTCCGGTTGTCAATAAAAAAGTGGTGTTAGTATGCAGCGTTGAAAAGGTCGTAGTGGTTGCGTAGTTTATATGTAATTTTGTTGCAGCACTCGAGCGTGACGGAGAAACTGGGCGGTGTGCGAGCGAGCGCGAGTGAGTGGGAGCGCGGGGGGCGCGCGGCGGGGCAGCAGCGCGCGGACGCGGCGCGGCGCGTGCGTGCCGCGCGGCGCGAGCGCTGCCAGCGCACCGCGGCTGCAGTTCACGCACGTATCGCTGTTAGTACACCCCCTCTTCATTCATAAACACCTTCTCAACGAACGGCTGTCGGCTCCGTGGCGCAGTGGCTTAGCAATGAGTTTGTTGCGCTGGGGGCCGCAGGTTCGAATCCCGCAAAGTATTTGTATGGCCTACAAATAATTGTTCCGGGTCTGGATATTTGTCCTTGTGCAATTTGTGTTTGTAAACTGCCTCCACGATTCAGGAGAAAATCCTAGTGTGGGGATAACGTTTAAAAAAAAATCAAAAAAAATCATCTGCACACTGAACATGATCTTCACACTAAACATGATCTCCACACTAAACATGATCTCCAAAAAAAAATTATTATATTCTAAAGAAAACAAAAAGAGTAAAATTAAATCTGTTGATACTTACATATAAATAACTTTGAAAATGCGGTTAAAAAGAAAACTACAAAAATATCGTATCAATGTTGTAAAGAGTACGAGGACCTCACCAGATCACCAATAAACCAGGCAGGGACAATAAAGGGCTACATAGTGTAATGACAGATAAATATCCCTGTGTGCCTAGTGCGAAACGAGTGCAAGTGCGAGTTCACTCGATACCAAGAAAGTTAACTACAATTTGTATGAAATAAAATCAGCGCCAATTAGTGGCAAAAAAGTGCTCACAAAGACAGTTGTACAGTCTCTTATTTATCTAAAACTATAAACGAAGAATTTATAGAGTTAATGGCTGCAAAAGTATTAAAACGCATTATTGATGAAATACACAGTGCAAAATATTGGGGACTCGTCAAGATTCTACCCCAGATATATCCCACATCGATCAGTTGTCAGTCATTTTCCGATACTACTTAGATGGTCACGTTTATAAACGTTTTTTCTACTTTTTATAAATAAAAAGTCATAAAGGTAGGTCGCTTAGTAATGACGTATTAGATTTACTACAGGAGCACGGTATCTTCCAATCGCAAATTGCGAATCAGAAAGATCATTTTCAGTTTTGAAAAGAATAAAAAACATGTATCGATCAACGATGTCAGACGACAGACTATCATCTTTAACAAGATTAAGCATCGAAGTCGACTTATTGAGATCAATTGACTTCGATGACTTAATTCATGATTTTGCTAGAGCAAAATCAAGAAAAGATTTTTTTAATCGAATTTTAAAATAAGTGTTTGTACTTCATTGTATCTATATATAATAGTTTATAATAAATTAATAAATGATTTTTTTTTATATTTGATAAATAGCCTTTTTCGCTGTCCTTAAGTGGGCCCCTTCTCAATTTTAGCCCCGGGCCCCATAAAGTTCAAATCCGGCCCTGACTAAACATGATCTGCACACTAAACATTATCTCCACACTAAATATAATCTTTTGTGCTCACCAATAAACATGATCCCCTTGCATACTCTGCAAAACACATTGTCACTACTCGTTATTCTCACTACTAAACATTCTCTATAATTGACATACCATTTTCCCTACTAAACATTCTCTATAATTGACATACCATTTTCCCTACTAAACATGTTATCCCTACTGAACACACTATTCTCACTTCTAAACACGTTCTCTCTGATAAACATGATCTCCAAATAATACACAACACATTGTCACTAATATACATATACACGCTGTCCTTATTACTAAACACACTCTGCACTAAACACATTGTACTCACCACTAAACACGTTTTAACTATTAAACATGTTGTCCCGTGAGTGTCGAAAAGGTGACAGAGGGAAATAAAACAAATTCAAATTCAAATTCAAATTCAAATCGTTTATTGCGAATATAGGTTGATACAGTTGGTGTTTACATAGTTTATCACTTATAGAACAAACATTTAGTACAGCTATATTCCGCCATTTGGCATGCAATGTCCATCACATTTTATTACTTTTATATTAAATTACTTAAACATACTCTAGTTAAAATTGGAATTAACATGATACAAAATCAAAAATAATAGCGATAAGTCAATTTAGATAATATTGTATAAGTCAAGTCAATTTAGTTATTCTCAGTCATGTAACAGTCAATTATTGAATTTCATATTTGTCTTCGAGATAGAAATGTTTTGCACCATATTCGTAATAACAATATAGAATACCACCGGTCATACCTGTCAAGCATGGCAACTATGGCAAAAATTCTACTATAAGTCAATCTATGCAGGGGATGCCTGTGTTCAGCAGTGAAATGGCTTTAATGCATCAAAAATCAACTTGGCTAATCCCGCTAATGCAATGCTTATGCTTATATGCTGCTTATATAACACGAGCCCACGAGCATATACGTCACCGTTAAATATATACATATACACATATATATGTAATCTTTTTTAATTATCTTAGCTTATAATGGAAGACAAAGAACACGTTGAACAACAGCTAATGGAGCAACTGGCAGATGTCGAAAAAGAGAAAGCTGATACGGAATCGCGCTTAACAGAATGGGCAGAAGAAGAAAGACGGCTTCTAGAAGAACGCATCGCTAGTCACGTAACCAAAGAACGGACTGCCCTAGAAGATAGACTAAAAAAGAGAAAAGAGAAAATCGAGGAACAGAGAAGGCACTTCGAAGAGAGGATTTCCCACGCGTTGGAATGGCTTAATGCAATGCTGAGAGTGAACGAACAGGAGAACCAAGCGGCGGAGGAGGATTTGAATCACAATATGGAGGATGTTCAAAAGTGTCTCCAAGATATTGACACCTTCATACAGCAATGTGACAAAGGTGAGTGGTAATGGAAGGGAGAAGCTGAATGTTTAGGGGCTTCACTGTGTGGTGGGGGCGTAAATTCCGCCACCCTATTACGTCCCGTGGGTGTCGTCAGATGCGACTATAGGAATCTCTATCGGTTTTTCATAAACATGTACAAGATTACTATTTTCATCTTTGATTCTATCAAATTCATTTTGTATAATATAATTATTCTACTATTATCTAGTAACACTATTCGTTTATATTTATTACACATTTATGTTATATGTAATAATTTTAATATATATATTTGTATTTTGTTATATATACAGTGGAATCCGTTTATAATGTCATCTTTTCCCTTTTATGGCGGTTTGGTAAAATTCGCCAATGACGTATTGAGTGGAAGATGAAAGCTTATGAGTTTAATTAAAATAAGTCTATGATAGTACAAGGATTTAGTTTTCGTCCTAGAATTTAGACAAATCTATCTGTTGAATTACCTAGACACATGTATTAGAATCTTATTAGTATGTTAAAAGTGACAAGGAATTAAAATTTCATGTTATTAGTATTAATAAAATATTAAATATACACAAAAGGAGTACTTGTATATGTTAAAAGAGAATTAAAATCTATAGCTCGAGGAATATAAGGAGGAAGGTAATCATAAAGGGAGGAGGATAGTTTGGGACAGTTGAAGAAAATATGGTTTGTGAAACCTTCATCTAAGCCACATTTACACAATGAGCTATCCCTCTGACAACTGATTTTGGTCAGATGTACAAGCGTGTCCAATTCTCAATCTACACATGATTGAAGTTGCATATTTATTTGAAAGGGACGAAGAGAGAACGAAGTGTGAAATATGGGTAAATCAGGAATGTCTAGAACAGGTAAATGAAATTGTATACTTGGGGAGTGCTTTTAGCCGGGATGGAAGATGTGATTTAGATGTGGACAGGCGTGTCGCTGCCGGGAACAAAGTCAATGGTGCCCTGACTGCGTTAGTCAAAAGGCAAGGCGTAGCGAAGAGTGCACGCCTTGCAATACATAACGCAGTGTTGGTACCGACTTTGTTATATGGCAGCGAAACCTGGGTATGCCAGAAGAAGCATAAAAGTAAGTTGAATGCAGTGGAGATGCGATCTCTTCGTAAAATGTGCGGCGTTACTATGGCCGACCGAAAGCGAAACGAAGAGATTCGCAATATGGCAGGTTTGAAAGATGACCTTATCACAAAAATTGATAAGGGCGGGCTTCGGTGGTTTGGGCACGTTGAGCGAATGAGTGAAGACCGAATGGTGAAGAAAATATATAGCGCGAAAGTTAATATTAAAAGGTGTCGAGGTAGACCGAGACTAACTTTCGAAGACCATGTGAGCAAATTGCTCGAAGAGGGTAGGGTCAAGAGTACTCGGATACCTAGACGTGCATGTATGAAGAAGATAATGAATCTGAAAGAAGCGAAAGAGATATGTAAGGATCGTGACACTTGGCCATCTGTTCTTTCTGACTACCCCGTCAGGGATTGTGCGTGAAGATATTTATTTGCTTTGTTAAATTAAAACAAAAACCAAGGCTTGGGAGGAATAGAACTCCAGAACTCCCGATACCATCCACACCATATGGATAATTGGCAGTCCACCACTGTGCGATTTAGAAGATGTTTTCTTCCTCGCACGACCTCCTTGTGGAATCGATTGCCACCAGCGATTTTTCCGGACCGATACGACTTAGGGACCTTCAAGAACCTACTCCTTTTTAAAAGGCTGGCAACGTATTTACAGTTCCCCTGGTTCCCCTGGTGTTGCAGTTGTTCATGGGCGGCGGTAGTCACTTACCATCACGTGGGGCGCATGCTCGTTTGCCCCCTCCTATAAAAAAAAGGAATAACCTCTTGAATGGCAGCATAGTGCTTACCCTTAACATTTTTGGATACTTCCCACAATTTATTCCAATTTTCATTCAGTATAATTATCACGCTTGGCAAGCGAGTTGGCAACTGCAGTTTTTTATTTTTAGTCGTTATTAGAAAGACACTGCTGCTCATCTTCTGGTTTGTTTCCCTCTGTCGACTCTTGACACCCACGGGACAATATAGGGTACTGCATATTCTTAAGCCGCCGCTACATGATGGCAAAGTTGTATTTAATTTTATTTTATCCCCTTGCTACAGGAGTTAATGCCGTAACGACCGACTTGAATTCTTTGAGTGCAAATGTTTTGAATGTTGTCGGACAAATTAAGAGTGAAATGGTTGATACCATACATCGGGCCAAAAATAAGATACAGGTATGAAATGTTTCTATAAAATTAAATAAAAATGGCCTCCTGACTAACCTTGGCTACGATTTGTTTTCTTATACTAACAGAAGATTTCTAACTAATTATAAAATCAATAAAAATAAAAATAAATCACTAATTAATTAAATAATTAATAAAAAACCAACATATTAACATGTGGTTTTAAAGATATTAAAAATTAATTGCCTAAGATCCGCGTAATAAAATAATTATAATTTTTAACAAAAAGTCAAAACCGACTTCAAATTGCGAAAAAAAAAAGAAGTTATTTATTTGCTAATGTAAGAGGTGGAATTTTTCTCCAAATTCATATGGGGCACTCTAGAAGTATAACCTATTTATAAAAAAAAAAACAATAAAATCAGTTCTCAATCTGCGAAGATATCTTATGAAATTCCTTAAACAACAGTCTAATATGTAATTTTTTCCTATATTTTTTCACCCTTGGGGGCGGAATTTTTTCTTCAAAATATAACGGGCTCCCGTTAAATTTTGAAGGCACCCTTGAGTTACAGCCTATTTAATAAAAAAGAAATCATTAGAATCGATTCACAATGTGCGAAGATATCACGTGACATACATACAAATAAAAAAATACTCTCGAATTGAGAACCTCCTTCTTTTTGAAGTCCGTTATAAAATGATGTGTCTCACATATTTTGAAAAGTTGTGTTTTTGTTTGCAGCCATATTTCTCAAATACTTCTTGATTAATTAAAAGTAAAATTAAAGTGTAAATTAAAGTTACAGCATTAGATATAGATGTCTATGGGCCACAGCATCCACAGACCATCAGGTGGACTGTGTACTAATTTCTGAAATTTACTCTATCAAAAATGTGCGTGTAATTATGTACATAACGTACGAAGTGAAACTACTATACGATACATCATTCTTATTTTATATTTTACATAAGTAGGTTAAACTGGTTATACTGATACGGCCCCGGCGGTGTAACGTTACAACAAAACGTGACTTTTTTTAAAAATACCGTACTAAATTTCTAAACTACGTCGATAAAGTTACATTTCAAATATAACAATTGAAAATCAACACTAAATATCATGTTTATACATTTAAGTTAAAATATATAAATAATGGTATACCATTATTGCAGTTTTTGAAAATACGAGTAAATAAGGCTTCTACTTTTATTTTAAATTATCCCAAATTTAATGTGATTTATAGGCAACAACGTTTTTGTCTACCGAACGACCCTTACGAATGTGTGTGTGCGTAGTAAGATAGTAGGCGTTAGATATTTATGAATGACAATCAGTTAAAATAATGCATTACCGCAATTAATTCCGAATTTAAAAGATAAAAAGCACAATGTTTGAGATTTTTTTTAATTAATCTTTCTTCCCCATTCGCCTATCTTACACATTCTAAGTAACCCTGTTCATCATAATATAAGAAATCATGTCATGAATTCTTATAGTTGCCTTTATGACATAACTGTGATTACTTGACCACCTTATCAAATTTCATTTATTGCAGATGGAAAGCAATGGTATGATATCGTCTAACAAAGCATTATTGGAACAGTTGATAGTTAGCATGGACACAGCATTGAATGGAGTCGCACACAACTGCAAGCAGACAATGAACAAAATTGTACATGAAGTGAATGTGAGTATTCATTATTTCATTAATTATAGCCCATTAAAAGTGTGTTGAACATAGGCCACAAAGATTGCCTCATACAGCAATAGCAGCTTAATGCTGCTGTCTATCGTATGGTGCGTGTAGAGAACCGGAGACCCTTTTTACTGGAAACGAGGCATTCCATCTTAGTCCTCACGGGTGACAACGCATCTGTAATCGAGGATAGATCTAGATGTCTATGGGACACAGCAATCACTTACCATCAGGTGGACTGTGTGCTCGTTTGTCACACTTATCCTATTTAAAAAAAATGTATTGATGGAAAAAACAAAAGGTGGTCTTATTACAAACAACCTAGAAAGAATTATTTAAAAATGATATGAATGTTCATATAATTTTTTAATAATACAATAGCATAGAATTTTTTTTCTTATTAAACTGTAATGACAAATTTATATACCATTTGATGGCAAGTGGCTACTGCAGTCTATGAACACCTGGAGCCAACTTAGTTGTATTAGTGATAGAGCTGGACTGTTTTATCACTAATGTTTAAAAAACATTGTTTAAACTCAATGATATAGTAAAAAACCACAATACTCTAGATGGATTTATTATAATTACTAATATCGCCTATGGTTTTGTTAACATAACTTTTTGTAATATTTTACTATGTAGTGAAAGCAAAGGGATCTTGCTCATGCAGCCATGAATGTGATCAAAATGCCTTCATTTGATTGGTTAAAACATTTTATATGGATAAGATTAGACTTCAGCAGGAACCGTCCCTAGTATATCGAATTGTTTGCACGACTCGCCAAGTGATTAATTATATGACTTCATTGTAATGTATGTGTTGACTACCTAGTGGTAAATATTTCGAATACATTCGAATATCAGATGGATGCAAAAGTTTTTATATCAAGTTATCAGCAGCATCCCGGAGTCAGACAGTTGGGGGTGTTTCACCCCCGTGCGTCGGAAAGCACGTAAAACCGTTAGTCCTGTAACTGGTCTCTCCCGTAATGTTGGTTTACCGCCCCATCGGACTATGATAATGAGAGAGTAGAGAGTGCACCTGTGCTCACGCACACACTCGGGCACTATAAGCCTATCCTGCACAGATGGCTAGTCTTCATTGAGACTGACCGCCATGACTGGAATTAGGCCTAGAGGACAGTAATGTATGTACTTTTTCAGGAAAACAGCACATGCACCATACAACAACTTTCTAGCCTCAGATCGAATACAGTGGAACTGCAAGCATTGTCCCAGTCACACCTGAACACACAGAACGAAAACCTTACTGTAGCCCAGCGTGAATTGGAGCAGTTCTACTCAAGTCTGCGGGAGGAAATTAACCGACAGGCGGAATTAGAAGGAAAATGTTTGAAAGAGGAGTATAGGATATACTCACCTACTGGTAAGATTATACAAATATGTTTGTTTCTCTGATTGTATAATAATATATAGCTGTGGTAGCTAATTCATAAAAACACTTAAAAATAATTAGTTAATTATAATAATTCATAAGTATTATTTCTACCGCCAAATATGACTTTAGACATGGTTAAACACTCGATGGCTGGCGCTCCACCACCGTGAGATTTACGAGAAATTTTCTGCCACGCCCACTTTGTGGTATTTACTGTCACAAGCGGTTTTTTGGACCGATACGACTTAGGGATCCTCAAGAAAAGAGCCTACTACCTTCTAAACCTGAAACGCACCTGCTATTCCCCTGGTGTTGCCGATGTTCAAAAGCGATGGCGATCACTTAACTATCAAGTGAGCCGTATCTTGGATTATGCACAAAATCGTGTCTAAAACTAGTAGTCATAATTTAAAATTGAAAAATGTTTACAACCAACTTTAATATATTATGGATAACTCAAAAACTATTAGTCAGACATTGATCAAATTGTATTGTATTTGCCTGCTCTTACATAAAAAAAAACAGCAGTATGTGCACTTGTGTATTCCGGTCTAAAAGGTATAGAGTCAGTGTAATTAAAGGATGTGAAGTATCTTAGTCCTCAGAGGTGACAACGCATCTGTAGAATCCATTTTTATTTGAAGTTGGTCACAGGTGTCCATGGGCTGCAGTGGATATTGCATCCCATGGAAACCAGCATACAAATACTTGTTCCGTGCGGGATTTGAACCCACGGCCCTTAGTGCTGCAACTTATTGCTAAGTCACTGTGCTACAGGTGACGTCGAACAGTTTTGGGATAATTATCCTTGTGAAATTTATGTATGTACACTCAATACACATAGTACACCCCTGCAATACAGGAGTAAATCCTAGCTTCAAATGGTTTTTTTTTATAGTATAAGGATGACAAACGAGCACACAGTCCACCTGATGGTAAGTGGTTGCTGCAGTCCATAGATATCTACATCTATCTTCGTTTGCGAATTAAAATGCAGATGCGTTGTCCGCCGTGAGGACTAAGATGGAATGCCTCTTTTCTAGTATACGAAACATAGCAGCATCAGCTGCTATTTTACACTGGTGTTCTGTGAGAGCGTGGTTCTTCCCCGGTCGAGCTGACTCATTCGTGCTATAACTATACTATTAATATAGCTGTAGCATGGCTCTACTACGTATAGCTACGTATATGGTTAAAAAAAATTGAATAAAAATATATTCTAGACCTGCATAGCTAGGTGCTAGCTATGCAGGTCTAGAAAGACCAGAATCACTGCGATCTGTAAAATCTAATGTGACCACTGCTTTGGTTATAGTTCACTGCTAAGTCCTACGTCTTAATGAATAGGAGTTGCTTAGCTGTGAGCAATTTCAATTCTTTTGGGATTAGTACATAGTTTCTCCAGATGAGCGTTACATTTAATTTTGTTTTCAACCTACTTTAAATAATTTAAAATTAAAAATTTTGTGCAACCGAATTCAATATAAATTTTTAAGAATAAGTCAAAAACTATTGGTCAGACCTTGATTGAAAAAGCACTAGTTTCCAAATAAGAATCATCGAAACCGGTTCACCCAGTAAAAGGTTATGTGGTATATACATTAAAAAAAATACAGTCGAGTTGAGTACCGTCTCTTTTTTGAAGTCGGTAGAAAAAGGAGGAGGTTCTCAATTCAACTGTAATTTTTTTTAATGTGTATACCTTAAAACTTTTTTCTAGGTGAACCGATTTTAATGTTTTTTTTTAAATTATTTGAAAGCTAGTGTTTTTCATGTGATCCCGTATAAATTTTGTTCAAGATCAGACAGTAATGAGTTATCGTATATTAATGCGTATTTAATTGACTTGGTGTTCATTGATGATGTTCTCATTTTGTTTATATTAAAGTGGGTTGTACAAAATGTTTAAGTTTGAGCGGTTGCAGGTCGCACTCCGATGCGCACGCAGTACCGCTACCCGCGGCGGCTGGCGGCCACGTCGCCGCACGACCGCGTGCTGGAGAGGTTCCGGGCCATGCGCCGACACTCCAACGACGACGTATGTTGCTTCTCATTAATTTGTACTAAAATGCACCTGATTGTTTTAAACACATAGTGGCCACGCTTAGCAGATAGGTTGACGACCGCAGTTTTTTATATTTTTAATCGTTATTAGGAAAATGTTGCTGCTTATTTAAAAAAAGAAAATATATATTTAAACCGTAAAAAATCCGAATTGAATTCGGATTAAAACTCCGTTTGATTCCGTTTAATTACCGTAACAGTATTAACCTATTACCGACGTGCATTTTTTGTAACGTTAGTACCGACGTGAGACTTGAGAGGCCACGTATATTATGTAGTGTTTTTTAAAGAAAGTGGTGATTTAAATATCCGTACTTGCATTATGATGAAAAATAAGGGGTTTTAAGTAAAAGTAAGTATAAAAAGAAATTCAACTTTATTAAATTTTTAAATATAAGACTACAATAATATTTGGCTTGAATTTTAGGGAAAAATCCGACTATTAGATATAAAAAATCAAAACACAAATAATAATCTTCTCAAAATAACAAAAAATAGTATTTTTCTTACTTATGACTTATATTACTTTTATAAAAAAAATTAGAAACATAAACCTTCTGAAAAAAAAATGACCACAGTCCAACTACGTATTAAAATCTAAGCACAATCAGGGCACACTTGTTTCGCGCACTGTAAAAATACGTGTTTTTTACACGAATAGCATCTATATATCAATTTTCTTTTCAGTTTAGATTGACATGAGAAACAAGTCTTTTATGTCTTGACTTCCTCAGCTTCATATTCTGATGTCTCTGGCTTATCAGAATCAAGTACTCATTCCAAACTCATCCTTAGTTCACGGGGTTCAGATTGCTGTAAATCTATCGCATAACTATTTCTTTTACAACTTGAAGTCTCTCGTATATTCATAATTCACAATATCTGTAAAAATAACAGTTTACCTTAACAAAAAAATTTCGGAATTTCAAATCGTAATTACTCACCAAATGCGCGTGCGACGACATTACTTCCTGCTCCGACGTTAACGTGGGCACTATCCTTGCAGCTACTTAAAAGCACTGGGAAAGGGGTAAACTAGCAAGTCAAGTGCCTGTCGGGGCCTCTCAGACCGCACGTCGGTACTTAAAGGTTAAAGTCCACTGCTGAACATAAGCCTCCCCATAGATTACCTCATAGAGAGATATTTGCCGTAATCGCCGCGCTTGGCAAGCGGGTTGGTAACGGCATTTTTTTTATTTTAGTCGTTATTAGAAAGACGTTGCTGCCCATCTCACGGTTTATTTCCCTAAGTTGCCTTTAACTACACCCACGGGACGATATGGGGTAGTGCATATTCTTACTCCGCCACTACTCAGTTGATGAGGGTGAGCACGCCCCTGGGGAATCCAGTATCCAATCTGGCTAAAATAAGTTAGTTCCCCCTGGCACGTCCTCAGCGCAACACGACGCTCATGCTGCAGCGTTTAGTTCATACAAATGTATTATTTTGTATGTCCCATTAAATTTTGGAGTTAACTCCTTAAACATAGATTTTCATATACAGCCCGAGGTGCACAAACTGGATGGTATATGTTGCTGCATACAGTAATATATTCGTGCGTCTAGAACTGAAGACGTGTAAAGTCATAGTGCTATCTACTGCATTCTATAGGACACTTTCTAGAACAAATTGTTTGACTTGGCTCTCAAAGTGTTACGTAAAATAGTTTAATTTAGCTTATGACGGGTTGTTTTCCGCAACTCCACGTCTAAGTGCGTATTTTGCGTGTGGGCAGGAATGACATGCTTATTCGAACCATGAAATCTCCCCGAAGAAGTTCAACAGTCCTTAAATGTTGCAAGCTACTTCGGATAGTAAACCCGGCGTGCCTAGATGATTAGCCCTGTATGTAGCGTCCTCCGGACATGTCAGCAACACGTGAGCCGCCGTTTCTTCTTCCCCCATACATGCCCTGCACAGGGGGACTATCTGTAACACCTATAGTAAATAAATGTTTATTAAAAGAGCCATGTCCTGTAATAGCACTTGTTGCTATCTGTGGCTTGTTAAATCTCATTAAGAACTTTGTTATACGACTGTTTATTTCTGGCAGAGCGACCCTAGCTTGGCTACAGTCCACTAGATTTTTCCAAAGGTGAGCGTGTTGATTAGTAAAGTTTTTACGTACCAGTGAACGAATGTTATCAAAAGGTATCCGGAATAGTATGATCGGTTCCTGCCCTATAACGGCCATAACCGATCCTCTCCTGGCCAGCGTCTGCTGCGTCGTTGCTCCTGGATCCACTGTGTCCCTTAATCCATTGCAGAGTCACATTGTTGTGTTTACATACCTCATTTAATCGTTGATGGCATTCATATATTAGTCCCGATTACTAGTAGCTATGAAATTGTGAATAAAATCCTATTAAAATATAGAAATATAATAATAAATTATTAAAAATTATGCGAAAGAAGTCGCTGGCACAGCTAGTTTGATATGATTGTCTCACATGTTCTCACCCATTCTGCTGTCACCCCTAAGATGGAATGCTTAGTTATCAATAAAAAAGTTTTCCCGTTTTCTACACTCATCATACGAAAACAGCAGCATTGGTATTTTGTAAGAGTCGGTCCTTCCACGGTCGAGACTACCCATATCTGCAGCGTGGCTCTACCACGTACATTTAAAAATTGTATAAACAAAATTATTGTTAAGTGAAATATGTTTAAAAAAAAGTTCCGCTGGGTTTCTTGCTGGTTCTTCCCAGGACAGAGGTATTTTCCGAACCAGTGGTAAATAAAAAATGACTTTCAATAAGTATTATGTAATAATGAATAAAAAATCATTCTATTCTATTCATTCTATGTCATGTTTGCTAGTTTCTATGGTAAATATGCCTCTTATGAGATAATCAATGGGGGAGACCTATGTTTATTAGCAGTGGACTTTGATAGCTGAATATATTGCTTAATATGTGTATATTTGAAATGTTCCAGGATTGTATTGTGGTGGAGTGCGAAGAGAGCCGCGCAAGTGACTCTGAGGGCTCGGGGTCGGACGACTCGGCCGTGGTGTTCACGGCGCCCTCCCCCCCGCCCTCTCACCCCACCATCGTCAAATGCACATCCGAGACGGACATCTACCTGCAACGGGTGATCTTCCGACCTTATTTTTATGCTTCTTAGCAGGACATGCACATACATATACTTCATTTATTTTGACTTAAATGAAGCATACTTTGTACTGAATCAGTATTGTATTTATCGGTGTAAATGGTGTTCAATGTTATTGGTTCCTGCGACACAAGCCTAGAGCTTAGTGCAGAAACCACTTGTTTAATTAAGTTTTTTTTTTTATATAGGATTAGAGTTTCAAACGAATACACAGTCCACCTGATGGTAAGTGGTTGCTATGGCCCATAGACATCTACATCTATCTTCGATTACGAATCAAAATGCAAATGCGTTGTCACCCGTGAGGACTATGATGGAATGCCTCGTTTCCAGTAAAAAAGGGTCTCCGGTTCTCTATACTCACAATATGAAACACAGCAGTGTTAAACTGCTATTTTACGCTGGTATTCTGTGAGAGCGTGGTCTTTCCCCGGTCGAGCCGACCCATTCGTACTACAACTTTACCAGTAATATAGCTGCATCATGGCTCTACTACGTATAATAATGTCTACTTATTTTATTTCTTTTTTACTTATTATAAGCCAGTGCTTGACCACAATCCCACCTGGTGTTAAGTGGTTATGAAGCCCTAGATGGATAATCGCACTGTCTTAGCATAACAAATGCCTATTCATTTTTGCCTTTAAGACGTCCAAATTGTATTCGGACGAAGAGACAGACGCCGGCAAATTATTCCACTCCTTTGCTATACGAATTACAAAAGGTTCTATTTCTAGTTAATGTATGTTCACAAAAACAAAAGTTTTAATTTATTCAATAAAAAAAGTCATATACACTCAGTAAACACCAGCACATAAAGCTGTTGGTCCAGCGCCAGCTCTCTGGTCTCTTGTCGGATTGCTATGGTTTCTGCTGACCGAGCGATCGCCTATATTACTTATTTAGAACCTTCTCTGCAAATTTGGGCGTATATTGCAAAATAACCTATATGTCATAGAAACCTTATCGTACGTAAAATAAATTATATTTCACAAACATTAGTTAGAGTATATATTTCAGAACAGCACCGCAGACTTTTTCCACACCTTTGTTTTCAAAATTTACATGACAACTGTTAACATTTAGGACATTCGCCTTAAGGTTTTACTCTTGTAATAAAATCTATTATTAATAATTTACAGACAATATTAATCATTTTTAAGACACAAAAACATTACCAAGCTACTTTATCTTCCAGCGTCGTCAAGAGCAGCAGGGCAAAGAGAATGTGAACCGTTCCGTGTCCTTCAAGAAGCCATCGAAGCTCCCCGCACCAACTTCAAACAAGAAGCCCCTCGTAGAACGTAACATGGACAAGTGACGTACAATCAAATTGTGACTGTAGACTGTGTCTTACAAAATATTGTAACATGCACAATGGAAGGGAGACTGCAAAGATTGTTATTTAATCTTGCGTACAGTTTGAGGATTGTATTATATTAGAAGAATAACTAAGTGTGGTCTTGTGTAGCGTTAACGAATTTTATTCAATAAATATATAGAAATGTATCATGTTCTGCAGACTTGGATTCTGGTATAGAATTATCTATGAATGATTTTTAAACCCGAGTCATGTATCTTCTAAGTGAAACACCTTTGACATTATGTTGATAAATATTGCTTGTGAAATTTAAGTTTTATTTTTAGCCGACTTTAAATAAAAGAGGGTATTCTCAATTGGACTGTGTATATATGTTACACGATTTTATAGCAATTTTTTTTTAAAAGAGGTTCCATATAAATTTGGAGAAAAATTCCACGTGTGTCAAAATAGGTGATGAAGTTTTCACTGTAACTATTTCGATGATATTCCAGTTGTTAGCTTGAGGTTATGATAGTACTTAGTCCAGTCAAAAGGGTCAAAGAAAAGCAAATTCCAAAGAAGTAAAAATAATAATTTCTTATCCTGAATTCGCTTTAATTTCTCTACACACTACTCATCTAAGAATTTGAATGTTCAAATATCAGTATTAATTTCCCCTGGAGTTTATTATGAAGCTGACCTTGGGAATGAACAATTTGACTTCAACATCTCTAAGGTCTTATCAGGATCAGTCTTCATCAGGAAAATATTCTCCATACTGACTCGTAAATATTGTAGAAGCATGTATTGACATATTATCGTTGGTTCACTGTTTCAAGGTTCTATGTTAATTTAGGTGATGTTTGGTAATTAGACTTCAAAATTTTTGACTTTAGTGAAATGTATACATAGTAGCCGTAATGCTTATGTGACATTATATTATCATAATTTAGAACTACATAATGCTTTCTAGGAACAAAAAAATTGGATATTGACTTTTATGTTCTAAAATATTGTCGAAATTAAAATGACATAGAACATGTTGGTTGAAAAAATATTTATTATTTAAAAATTATATCAGAACTTATGACTTTGTTCCTCTGAAATAAGTTTGAGAAGAAGAGTTTATTTATATCAAAGTATTATTATTTTTTAATCATATGAACTATTATAATGAATTTATGATTTCATGTCTCAGCAACATTAAAAAAAAACATACATGAAATATATTTACTATGATAAAGTATGCTTCTTTAGCCAAAATAAATGACTAAAACTTAAGTTTACGCAATATTAAAAAAGTTACAAAGTGCCATTGTATTTTTTGAATATTGCCTCATAGTACTCCTTGTCCACTGTAGGCATCCATCGGTACATATACCGTATATTATCCATTTTGTCTTGCACAATACAGGTCTTCTTAACAGTTTTAGTGCAATCAAAAATTTGTGTTTGCATTCCTTCGGGTTTTCTGGGGTCTCACGTCTCACATTAGCTATAGTGTATGATTCTGTTCAAATTGTGTGACTTCGTAAATCGAAGCTCTGTCAGTATTGGAAAAAGGAACTAGTGAATATTTTAGCCCCAAACAGGCTTCTTGAAAATTTTACAAGGGTTTAGCTGAATTTACCTGCAATAATAATCTCATGAGAGATAAAGATGAACAATATTCAGCTTTTGAGAGGACTCTATTAATAAAGCTATGCACATTGCACATTGCATTTCTTAACTGCAAGAATGTCTAGGTGTTGAAAATTTTAAGGTAATTTGTTCTAATGTAGAAAAATTATCAATAAGCTGCCTTAAAGCAAAGTTCATAATGCTATTGCGGTTCTGTGGAACACAACTGTCACTCCATAATATAATTGTTTAATTGTTGTGAAATGAGATTTGTCAAGCAGAACCTGTTTCAAATTTTTGTTTACCGCACTTGATACATATCATTTCCACTTCTTCCAGCAGTGTTCCCACTCTAAATGGCACAGTACACTTTTTTATTAGTGGAAAGATGGCCAGTCATGTTGTAGGTAGATAATTTACTTTTGTAAAAAAATGGTTTACTTCTTGGGACAGGTTAAAACATTCTCTAGATCAAAGCACAATACTGGAATTGTACCTTTTCTGTCTTGGTCACGGTTTGTCCTAGCAGCCACCTTTTCTATTTTGTACCCGTTTATCTTCTCTTGTAAATCTGATGTTAATGTACGTCCTTCATTGCATTTATATCAACCACCTCGCACAAATCGCATCTGTCTTTTTAGTTTTTGGTTTAACATAAAACCTTGTTATCCTAAAAAGGAACAATAATAAAATTAAATTGTTCTATGTAAAGCATAGAACTTCGTTGTGTTTTTCTTTTCGTAATAAAAACGACAGGAATGTAAAATTTAATATATTGTAGTAGAAAGTGCTGCCATCTAGTTGTTACATATAGAACTTTGTAGCATTCATTACTCAAAATTATTGAAATTGTAACATAAACTTGTGATAGTGAACCAAGGATATGGTAACACCATAATTAAGCCAATAACAATGAATATACTACTCGAGCTAAGTAGAGATGCGAAATATTATTGTTTGGCGTGTGCCTTACAGCGTAAGTATTACACCTGTTTTAGTTTTAACACTATCATAGTTTGATAAATAATATTAATCTTTTTATATATAGGGATATATTTATAGTGTTTCAGTAAATTTTATTTGATATAATGAATATAATTTTTTATACGTATAGTGCAGCCTGTCACTATGTCTGGAAATTCTAAAAAACTGATTCCCAATTAAGTTTCATAACTTTCAAGGAGTGAACCTGGGACTTGATTGAAAATAAATAGGTAAAACATCTTTCAAGCTTGTATGTAATCTTGATTGATTGAATAATTTTGACAATACCATTGAACTTTTCAGACAGTAAAACGTAAATTACCGGTTGGACTAAAACCAATTTACTCGTGTAACAAGTCATTTTATATATTACTGCAAGGTGCAGGCTTCAGTGCTTTTTATTTGATCAAATACCAGCTTTACCCACCAGTGGGTGTAGGGAGAATTCCCGTCTACCAGTGCACTCTACACTAATCTGTTTCCCGCGACTTCGCCATGTCAGTGCGTGTAATTTAAGTTTTTTTTTTGCCTATGTTACCCCTTAAAACATCAGTTATCTGGCAATGAAGTGAGTCCAGCCATTTCGAAGATTAGCCAAAACAGACGGACACAGATACACAGACTGACAGACAGACAAATTTAAAGTCAAACGCTACACCATTGCTTCAACAAGTCCATACTGTGGGGAGACCTTTTAAGAAGTAGCGGCAAGTAACAAGTTGCCATTTTCTTCCAACAGTTAATTATCCTTTTAAAATATATATGTATACTAGCTGGCCAGGCAGACGTTTTTCTGCCCTTTCCGACGACCCTTCCTATGAAAAAATCCTTAAATTCGCATTAAAAAAATATTGAAGGTCACTTATCGGGATAAAAAGTATCCTATCAAGTCGGATCAAACTGCACACAGTGTACAAAATTTCATTGAAATCAGTTCAATAGTTTAGAAGTTCATCGCGGACAAACAACGTGACACGTAATTTTTATATAAAAAAAATTGTAATGAAGCTCATTGTCTTGATAGGTGATTTCGTATTTTTGTCTAAGTTACCAACCAACCATAATGCAGTGGGTGCAAGAGTAAACAGGAATTCCCCCTGTACCTGTTGGGCGCACGGGTCGTCGCCTCTTATTTTGCACGAGCACTCTCACACAATTTCATATTTAGTTGTTTGATAAGCTACGTATATTTTATCCTCACGCTAATATCATTTTAATGATTTAATTATTATTTAATGTAATGACTATAATAAATTATACTTTTACTGCTTGCGTTTGTTTTATTTCAAAATAATCGTTTGCATAAATGAAAGACAATTTTTTTTTCATATTTATTTCTGAAACAAATGCTAAATAAAGTGTTCCGAAACGGTAATCGAAAGACGCAGCTATAATAGCACCAAAAGTCTATTTACAGCAATGTTATTTATTTCTAAAGAAGAATCTTACGTTAGTCGCCTCTTGAAATTAAAACCAAAATACGTTACGACTAGTGATGCAACTACTATGAACTACTACGAATACTAATCACGAATATTTAAAAACTAATATTGTTGTACGCAACTCTATAAATAAAAAGGGATACCGTCGTTTGCTCAGTGAACTAGCTCCAAGATTTGTTTGCTTTTATTTAAATGCTATATTTTTCCCGCGACTTCGCCCGCGCAGAAGTTGGTTTTAGTCACTTTTCCCCTCCCATGGGAATTTTATTTATCGGGATAAAAGTAGCCTAGCCTATGTTTTAATCTGAATTAAGGTGTATAAGTGTATCTTCATTCCAAATTTCAGTCAAATCCAACCAGCGGTTGTAGGTACATACACACACACATAATCACAAACTCGCATTTATAATATTAGTGAGATACTCTTTCAACTTTCACACAACCTTTTTAAATTCCTGACTGTTAAATTTAACAGACATAATATTATATCCAGTACCCACCCACCTTACAGAAAAAATCTACAAGTTTTTAAATAAAAAATTGCCTATTGTAAATTTTAATTATTAGCACAATAGAAAATCATCAAATAGTTTTTATTACCATGGCGAAATATTAGTATTCGTATTCGTCGAATAGTAGGTTGGATATTCGTATTCGTATTCGTAAAAGTAGTATTCGTTGCATCACTAGTTACGATTTAACGAAGAATAGACGATTACTTTCTTTTCATCGTTAAGTATCCCTTCCTTTTGTGCGCTTATGGTATGTACATTATTTATTTATCATCGATTCGCATGTCTAATAAAAGAATTGATAAAAAATGTGACATTTTATGGCTTGAGTGACAGTTTGTGTAATACGCACCATAGCTTTAAAACTAATATAATAATAAATAATTAAAATAAATATATAATTAGCTGTATAAATAAAACTTACTGTTTGGTCTTTCATACTAATACTAAATTAATTGATTCCACACTGTAATTCAATAAATATTTTCTTATTTATATAATCTTAATGTACCTAAGCTAAATACATTACTGGTAAACCAAAATATAAAAAAAGGGGAAATGGTTTTTTTTTTCTTCCTAAAACCGAAATTGTCGTCGCCACTCGCCAGTTTATTTTTTTTTCTTTCATAATGAACTCTTTATGGTCGCACTTTTGCCAATGTCAAGTAATTGGAAATTATCCTGAAATAATTTGTTCAATAATTTCCCCACAACTTACTGTTTTTGGGCGATTTTGTCGACTACTTGAGCCAGCAGACGGTCGATGACAATATTTCAAGTTCTTAAGGCACCTAAGCGGATAAAATAACTTAAATAAACCATTATAATATCAGTATCGGAGCACTTGTTTTGTCGTGTTCACTAATGGTTTACATGTGCAATAATTTATTACAAAATCTACTACAAACTATTATTTAAACCATAAAACAAAAGCGACAATCCATAGACGGTCAAGTTCCCGCCAAAACCTTGGTTTAACATTTATTTGGATTATAATAAGATTTTAGGTTGGATATTACCAACTAAACTGACTGGCAAAACTTCACAACTATGTCAACAAAAAGTGTAGCTTGTTAGTATTTAAATATTTGTCTGTAGATTTTCCGATACACTCAGACCAACAAAGAAGATAAACTGAGCGCTGCGTTCAAGTGACCCGGATACCATACAAACTTGGCACGCACTCAAGCTCAAATTTTCCTTCTTTCTTTCCGAGCCCGATAAATCCAATACTAGACGCACACATCATGTGCACCTAAAACCATGTTGATTGCAAAGGATTTTTATACGTATGTAATACGTACATTAAATTTGAGTCACTTGAAACCTACTTATCGTTCCGTCGTTTTCTTTGTTAGTGTGAGATGCCAAGAAGAAAAAAATATTTCCAAAATATACATAAAAATATTAGGTATATTTATTTAACTTACCAAATAAATTTCCCAATACAGAAATTATAAATATGCATACACGTTTTAAAAACTGTAAAACGTTCAAAGATATGGTGGGAATATAATAATAAATGCCGCCATATAAATAACTTAAACTACTAAAATAAATAAATTTATCTACACTAAAAGCAGAACTTTGTCTATTTACATTTTATCTTAAATAAACAATACGACATAAAAGCCATTTTAAGCCGCTGTAAATACTGCATTTTTCTATAAAAGAAGTCGTTTTATTAATCAGCTGAGTAAATTCTGTGAGTATGAAACAAATTACCTATATTATATTATAAATTAGAGTTTTTTTTTTGTTACATAAATTCTCAAAAATATAAATTTATTTATGCTAATGAACACATATTGATTTAATTATTAAAACTGGTATACTCAAATCAACAAAAAATGATAGACGGGGCGCTGTATACATTTCAAATGACGCCAAAATCATGCTCAACTGCTTTCTCATATTTAACAGCCCGTAAAAGTCTGCTGATGTGCACGCACATAATATGTATCTAAAACTATGTTGTTGGATCCAAATGTTTACTTGTAAATGTGTGTTCATAAAATAAGTTGAGCACATAGTTTTGACTTGGTTTCGGTGTCACTCGAATTGAACCCATCATTCCGTCTATACCTTTCTTTGTTGACCTGAATATTTAATTTTTTGTATCGGTTTCAACATAACGCTGAAGTAAAAGACCAACGAAATATGACATTAACCAGTCTAAAATGGCCGCTTATGAAGGTTGAAAAAATCACAAGAAATGTGCTTTGTAAATCTATGAGGTTTATAATAAAATTACATTTTACTTTTGTATGAATGACCCTGGGAAACTATCGAAGTGTTTTCCATTTTTTTTCCTCTCAATTTCGGACATTAATTTCAATAAAAAAAATGAGTTATGAAACGATTTATCAAATAGACTTAAGTTCTAAAATAAACACAACGGCCGCTATTCAGTTCACAGACAATCTCAAGATTTCTTTCGTAAATGAATAAACATAATTTTTGGTAATTCTGTATGTGTATTTATTTAATAACTTTAAAGTGCAATTTTGGCTTAGTATAAGAATTATTGTATTTAATTTAATTTTTGCATGCCAATTACGCCAAAACATGTTAGTTCCACATTTTTTAAAATTGCATGATATGCAAATAAATTTTCTATCGAACACCACAATGTCGGTCAGACCAGCCCAGACTATACTATTTAAAACACAACTTTTGATATTATGAAGAGTTTTAATTCGAGATTATGTCTGAATCCTGGCCCGAAGACTATGTAGTGATAATTTTATTACGCTTTTTTAAGCTAACCTTTTTAACTAACAATTTAAGACACCGTTTTAATAGCAATAAATAAATAGAAATCAATCTTATCATCTTGGCAACCGCAGGGAGACTTCTTTTTTGCAACATTTCGATAATTTTCCAGGTAAACTTAAATCGTCAGTACATGCTACGGATTGTTCACAGATATGATTTGATTTATCCAGCCAATGAAAGAGGAGACCTTGACGTAGACGCCGGGCACGTCGAGCCGGCCGCAGCCGAAGCCCCACGATACCAGCCCCACTAGCTCGTAGAATCCGTCATCTTGGCACACCAGGGGGCCACCGCCATCGCCCTGTAGACGAAAATTGTCACTAACATTTAAACTTGGAGCCCAAATCATCACACATGTATGTGATCATGACATGTAGATGTCTATGAGTTAATGCCATGTCTACATGTGCATCTATACGTGTTTAAAAGGATAACCGGGTTGTTTGTTATATACTGTATTAAATGGTAGGAAGCTCTGACCTGGCAGGCGTCGTGGCCTTCCTCTCCCCCCGCGCAGAAGGAACTAGAAGGTAGGATGAACACCTTCTCGGTAACAGCGTTCACTTTCCGCACGCACTCCGAGTCGTTCACTATTGGCAGCTCTGCTTCACGAATACGTAACGGGATGGGTCCAGCTGCAATAAATATTTTAACAAATACTTAAAAATTGAAAAGGAAACTGCGAAATGCAGGAATATTTTTTTGCAATAATATTGTGGCGGCTGGAAGGAAAAGGAGAGATCTCCCGCCGGGCAAGGTGTTCTGCCCGGGGAGCGGCCCACGCTCCGAGTGATAATTCGGAGCTATTCTATATAATATACTGCTTTAACTTCGGAACTTTGTAAGCGCGATTTAGGCTTCGATGTGTTTCGCTTGTGGCGACCACATATACTTCCATCCACTGTCCATCGCCACAATATACTTTGTACGAAGTTCAGTGCATAATTACGTCAGATTCTCGCAATCGGCATTTATATGCAAACCCATATTACTTAGCTATAATATTAACGCGATAAATAATGTATTGTCAGTATCGCGCCAAATGGAAGTCCGTAGTCTCTGCCTACCCCTCTGGGTGACAGGCGTGAGTGTTTATGTATGTATAATGTGCTCATACCATTAATCATTTTATTACCAATTATTTGCATATATTATCCCTGCGTAATTAATTTCGTATTTTATAATTTTTACTAATTAATTCGTTGGTCACCCAACAAATTTGGTCCCTCGAGCCGTATTGAACCAGAGACCTACGAATATATAGAACTCTTTTTAATGTATGCCAATAATAAGCTTCGTACTCCATAGTTGCTACTGCTTGCTATTTACTTTAACGAGCTGAAGAAGAAGAATATATTTACATACGTTTACCGTAATAACTAATATTAAAGCTGATTATTGCGCCATCTTTCAGGTACAATGTCATATTTTAGTGCACATTTTTACCTGATTACTCCAGAAGGAGGGTGAAGTTTTTCGACCACATGTATATATGTATATGTATGTATGGATTTTAATATAATGAAATGTCGTTAGATTCGTCCTAATTGTGTGAATGACATAGGCTACGTGGGTATCAAATAAAAGCTTGTGATGCGTCAATTCCAAAAATATATATATATATATATATATATCATCATCATCATCATTACAGCCCTTCACAAGTCCACTGCTGAACATAGGCCTCCCCCAAAGAATGCCACAAAACACGGTCCTGAGCCACCTGCATCCATCGACTTCCTGCATGTCTTACCAGGTCGTCACTCCATCTCGTGGGGGGACGCCCTACACTTCGCCTACCGGTACGAGGCTGCCACTCGAGAACCTTTCTTCCCCATCGGTTGTCGGTTCTTCGAGCTATATGGCCGGCCCACTGCCACTTCAGCTTACTAATCCGTTGGGCTATGTCGGTCACTCTGGTTCTACTGCGGATATCCTCATTCCTAAGTTTATCACGCAGAGAAACTCCGAGCATAGCCCTCTCCATAGCTCGCTGAGCGACCTTGAGCTTCCTCATACGGCCAGCAGTGAAGGACCACGTCTCAGTTCCGTAAGTCATCACTGGCAACACGCACTGGTTGTACAATTTCGTTTTAAGGTTTTGAGGTATGTCTGACAAGAAGATGTGTCGTAGCTTCCCGAACGCTGCCCAGCCGAGTTGAATCCGTCGATTGACCTCTCGGTCGAAGTTGGACTTACCCAGTCGGACTATTTGTCCCAGGTAAACATACTCGTCAACAACTTCGAGCTTAGTGTTCCCAACAACTACCGGCATAGGTGTGACATGGACATTAAACATGATCTTAGTTTTGTCCATGTTCATCTTAAGACCTATCCGTTGGGAAACACTATTGAGGTCATTGAGCATAGTGCTTAGGTCCTCCAGCGATTCTGCCATAAGGACTATATCGTCGGCAAATCGAAGGTGAGTGATGTACTCGCCATTGATGTTGATACCGTATCCTTTCCAGTCCAGAAGCTTGAAAACGTCTTCCAATGCAGCGGTGAAGAGTTTCGGGGATATGACGTCACCCTGTCTTACACCTCTCTGCAATTGGATAGGTTTCGTACTCTGGTTCTGTACTCGGATAGCCATCGTAGCCCTACTGTACAAGCACTTCAACACTTCGATATACCGACAGTCAACTTGGCACCGCTGAAGGGACTGCAGCACCGCCCAAATTTCGACGGAATCAAAGGCTTTCTCATAGTCCACATACGCCAGACATAGTGGCAAATTGTACTCTTCGGACTTCTGTACAACTTGCCGAAGGGTATGTATGTGGTCTATGGTGCTAAAGCCCTTTCGGAAACCGGCTTGTTCGGGAGGCTGGAAGTCGTCAAGTCTGCGCGCGAGACGATTCGTAATGACTCTCGAAAACAGCACGTAGACGCGGCTCAGAAGGGAAATCGGTCTGTAGTTCTTCAAGAGAGCGTTGTCACCTTTCTTGAAGAACAAGACCACCGCACTTCTGCTCCACGCCTCCGGTGTAATGCCACCATGGAGGACGGAATTAAAGAGCTTCTGAAGGACTTCAAGTACCGGTCTTCCACCCGCTTTCAGAAGCTCCGCTGTAATTCCATCCTCGCCTGGGGCCTTACCGTTTTTAAGGTGCTGGAGAGCCATCCTAATCTCGCTCAGACTGACATCCGGGATATCTTCGGAATAGTGTCGGATGAGACTCGCTCTTGGATCGTTACTCACACTTGCGTGTGGCTTCAACGATGATGTGTACAGCTGCCCATAGAACCTCTCAATCTCACTCAAAATCTCAGGTGTCCCGGAAACGATGCTGCCACACTCTGTCTTCAGCTTTGACAGTTGGCTCTTTCTGGCAGACAGATCTCTGGCAAAGACTTTGGAGCCTTGGTTCCGCTCGATCGCTTCTTCAATACGAGCTGTATTGAAGTTGCGTAAGTCCCGCCGCGTGCATTTGGAGATCTGTCTGTTCAGATGCCTGTATGCTGTCAAGTCTGTTGAAGAATGTAGCTTCATCTCCCGTCTAACAGCCATGAGATTAAGAGTGTGATCGGAGAGTTTTTGTGTTCTTCTGCGGCGGGTCTTGCAGAACTTAGCTCCAACCGCATGGACAGTTTCCACGAGCTTGTCATTCATATCGTCCACTTCATTGCAGTCTTCCAGGCACTGAAAACGGTTTTGTAACTCGAGCTGAAAGGTTTCGGGACTTTGGAACAGAGCACGAGGGGGACGGAGCGTTGACTTCATTAGACGAGACCTCTCCAACTTAACGTTTAGGTTCAGTGTGCCTCTAACCATTCGGTGATCGCTACCAGTTTTCACCCTCGCGATCACGGAGACATCACTGAACAGTTGTCGTCTGGTCGTCATAATGAAGTCAATCTCATTTTTTGTGGAACCGTCGGGGCTCGACCAGGTCCACTTCCTGTGGGGCCGCTTCTGGAAGAAAGAGTTCATCATAAAGAGTCCCTCTTTCTCCATGAAGTCGGCCAGCTGCTGGCCCCTTGGGTTCCGTTGCCCTATTCCAAATTTCCCTACTTTCAGCTCACCGTTCTCTCTTGTGCCTAGTTTTGCATTGAAGTCTCCCATTAACACCGTATATTGGGTTTTGGAGGAATGCATGGCTCTAGAGATATCCTCATACATTTCCTCCACCTCCTGATCGGGGTGTGCCGAGGTTGGTGCGTAAACCTGTATGACCTTCAGCGAATACCGTTTGGTGATTCTGAGTATAAGGTACGCAACCCTCGTCGACACACTCCCGATTTTTACAACGTTGTTAACGAGAGACTTGTGGACGATAAATCCGACACCTCCTTGGGACAGATGGTCGCCCTCCCGGTGATAGAGCAAGTTGCCAGATTCGAGGATTACCGTGTCCTCCCCCTCTCTTCGGACTTCGGATAATCCTATAATATGCCAGCGCAACTTGTCTATCTCTTCTTCCAGCTCCACGATCTTCTCGTCAGTCCTCAGGGTGCGTGCGTTGTACGTTGCCAGGTCGAGTCGTCTAAGGTGGCAACCGAACCTCCACCGGAGATTCTTAGCACCCCCTGCCCCGCCGTTACCATGGTCGCCACCGTAGCCAGGAATAGCGGGGCCGCCGGGGACTGGGGGCCGTTTTTTTGTTGCTCTCATTATTGGGGGGTATTTGCCATAGTTGCCACGCTTGGCGAGCGGGTTGGCAACCGCAGTTTTTTTATTGTAATTTGGCTATTATCAGGAAGATGCTGCTGCCCATCTCCTGGCTGTTTCCCTTTGTCGCCTTTTACGACACCCACGGGAAGATATGGGGTAGTGGATATTCTTGACCGCCACTACACGGCATATATATATATATATATATATATATATATATATATATATATATATATATATATATATATATATATATATATACATGTATATATTATAACATTTTTATGCTACCATGTCGACACAAATTAAAGAAAAATGCGCTCAATAAAAAGACAGGTTAGTGTGACGACACCCACAACTTATTTTTCTTCAGTAAACTTATTTACGCAGTCGCGTTTTTTAATTAGTATTTCAACCTTGGATTTGTGACTTATTCTATATTGTTATATAGGTAGACGATGTTCTGATCTTTCCAGTAGGTGACACATTTAGTTTCTCACTGGGCTCACTCCAGACTTTTTACAGTGTAAATATAAAATTTATTAGTAACTTGAAAACAGCGCCACCTATCTAGAGTTTTTGGTTTTCTTTTTTTTGGCATTTTTGGGACATGAGTTTAGTGATTAGACATTCAGGCTCTCACAAATTAAAATGGTTTTACCTCAAATAGTATCTATATACAAATAAATTTGTAATGTCAAAATTATAGCTTTTTACTAAATGCATATGAAAGTATATACGGTACTAATATAACAAAAATACAATTTTTAAAGTTTTTGTCTGTCTATCTGTCTGTCTGTCCGTCTGTCTGTTTTTTTATAGGATAAGGCTGACAAACGAGCACACAGTCCACCTGATGATAAGTGGTTCCTGCGGCCCATAGACATCTACATCTATCCTCGATTACAAATCAAAATGCAGATGCGTTGTCATCCGTGAGGACTAAGATGGAATGCCTCATTTCCAGTAAAAAGGGTCTCCGGTTCTCTACACTCACCATACGTCTGTCTGTTTGTTCCGTCTAATCTCCGAAACGGCTGACGTCTTTGAGGGGTTTTTCACTGGCAGATAGCTGATGCCACAAAGAGTAACTTAGGCTACTTTTAGTTTAAAAAAATTAGGGTTCCGCGCAAAAAAATTAAAACTCCAAATAACACGCGGGCGAAGTCGCGGGGAACAGCTAGTTATATATAAGGCAATTTAATCTTGTGAGAGCAAATAAAGTGCACATTATTATTATTATTATATGAGTAGGTCAACTGTGTATCGGCAGTGCAACAGTATGCACCAGCCCAATATCGCTCCGTGCTTGTTTTTTATATTCCGTGGTTCCGTGGGTGTCGTAAAAGGCGACAGAGGGAAACAGAAAGAGGAAGATTCCTCATCACAACTTAAAATAATAAGAAGCTGCGGTTGCCAACCCGCCTGCCAAGCGTGGCAATTATGGCAAATTCTCTCTATAAAACAATCTACGGGTGAGGCCTATGTTCAGCAGTGGACTTTTATAGGCTGTAAAATATTCCGAATATTCCGACGAATTGAGAACCCCCTACTTTTGAAGTCGGTTGTAAATGTGTATTTTTCGTGACAATGCCATATACGTGTAATAAAACAGAAGCATCAACGATTAGGTATATTTTAAGACTAGCTGTTCCCCGCAACTTCGATCGCGTGAAATTTAGGGTTTTAATTTTTTTCAAAATCGGTTCAGCCGTTTCGGAGATTAGCCGGAACAAACAGACAGACAGACAGACAAAATTTAAAAAATTGTATTTTTGTTATATGTACCATATATACTTTCGTATGCATTTAGTAAAAAGCTATAATTTTGACATTACAAACAGACACTTCAATTTTATTCATTTGTATAAATGCATGTATGTATGTATAGATAACGAATGACAGTTCATAGGCGGTTATTAATTTGCAAGCTTGGTTAGTAGCTTTGGTATCCGTTAGAAAATACTCACTTTCTCCCATGTACCCATAGCCGGTGACGGTGCAGCGTTTGCCGGCTGGATGCTCCTCGTCCCTCGCGGGCAAGCACACCAGGCATACTCCTGAAACACGCGAATCAGATTTGTTTATCAAAAACCAGTCAAAGGTTTAAAAAAGTCCACTGCTAAACATAGATTTACCATAGGAGTTAATTTGCCAGTAATCGCAGTTTTTTTATTTTTGTTATAAGGAAAACGTTACTCGCAATATCCTGTTTCTTTTCCCTCTATCGCCTCTTACGACACCCACGGAATGATATGTGGTAGTGGATATTCTTACACCGCCACTACACGGCAAAATTGTAAAATGATAATTTAAAATTAAAAAATTTTGTACAACCGAATTCAATATAAATTATTAAGAATAACTCAAAAACTATTAGTCAGACCTTGATCAAATTTATATGGGACCACATGTGAAGCACCAGCTTTCAAATAAAAGAAGAATAATCGAAATCGGTCTACCCAGAAAAACGTATGAGGTAACACACATAAAGAACATACCAGTCGAATTGAGCACTGTCTCCTTTTTGAAGTCTGTAGAAAACTAATTCTACATTCTTAAAATGGCGATAAAATGTAAATGTAACACGCAAAATCGATTGTTTTTTTTTTACCTTACTGTATGTATTTGGGTGATCCCATTTAATAAAATATTTTGAAATAGCAAACAACTACCTTGGGAGTTCTTTCTATGTCTAAAATTACCTTTATTTTGAACTAATTATAAATGTGTGTATAAATGTAAATGTGAAATGTGCAGAGTCAAACATTATTTTGTTTTAGTAAAGTAAGAGTGAGAAGCGAACACACCGTATAACTGATAGTATGTGTTTGCTATGGCCCATATATTCATCCAAACATCATAGCTACATCTATCCACGTCTAAGAATCAAAATTCAAATACCGTTTCTAGCCTGAGTTATGATGAAATGCCTCATTATCAGAAGAAAATGGTCATTGCTTCTTGTCATTCACCATACGAAACACAAATACGTTCACATTTTTTTTTATAGGATAGGGTGACAAACGAGCACACAGTCTACCTGATGGTAAGTGGTTGCTGTGGCCCATAGACATCTACATCTATCCTCGTTTGTGAATCAAAATGCAGACGCGTTGTCAGCCGTGAGGACTAAGATGGAATGCCTGTTTTCCAGTAAAAAAGGTCGCCGGTTTTCTACACTCATCATACGAAACACAGCAGCGTTAAGCTGCTATTTTACGCTGGTATTCTGTGAGAGAGTGGTCTTTCCCCGAGTGAGCCGACCCATTCGTGCTGCAACTATACTAACGATATAGCTGCAGCATGGCTCTACCACGTATAAATATACGAAACGCATTAGACTGCTATTTTACGTAAGTATTCTACGCGAAGTTACCGTGTACAGAGTTAACGTGTAATGGCGTCGTTAGAATATCCACTACCCTATATCGTCCCGTAGGTTACGTAAGAGGTGACAGAGGGAACAAATCAGGAGATGGGCAGCAGCGTCTTCTTAATAACTACTAAAATATACTGCGGTTGCTAGAACGCTTACCAAGCGTGGCAACTATGGCAAATATCTCCCCTATAAGGCAATATACACTTTAATAGTCTGTAACGGTACCGGTATTTTGTCCCAGCTTGGCCCTTTCTGCTCGAGCCGACACACTCGTTCTACAGTATGGCTCTATCACATAAATATTTACTCTTGTAAAAATACTTACCGTCTTTAAGCTCAGCTTTAGTCTTCAGTTTAAGCAACGCTATATCGTTGTCGAGGGTCTGGCTGTTGTGGTTGTGGTGGATGTAGGTGGTAGCGACCAGCAGGGTCTGTGCGCTTGGCGAGCCGTATTTCCGCGTCAGGTCGTTGTCACCAACCCTCACGAAGTAATCGTCGCCAGACCGCACGATACTGGAAATTGAAAATGTTTGGTTGAATAAGATTCTTCAATTATAACATCAGTTCTTAAGAAAAAAAAAACAAGAAAGTGAAGAGTGACAAATAAATGTTGCAGAAGTATCTAAGTGATAGAGTCGGCAAGATGCGTCCTAATTTTTTTTATAGGATGAGGGTGGCAAACGATCACACAGTCCACCTGATGGTAAGTGGTTGCTATGACCCATAGACATCTACATCTACCTCGATTACGAATCAAAATGCAGATGCGGTGTCACCCGTGAGGACTAAGATGAAATGCCACTTTTCCAGTAAAAAGGGTCTCCGATTCTCTACATTCACCATACGAAATACGGCAGTGTAAAGCTGCTATTTTACGCTGATATTCTGTGAGAGCGAGGTTCACCCCCGGTCGAGCCGACCCATTCGTGCTAAAACTATACTACTAATATAGCTGGAACATGGTTCTACCACGTATAAAATGTATATACGTATAGATGAAAGTTTTTAGAGCAAATTGGTGATATACTGAATAACCAGCCAAGTGTGAGTCGGATTCGCGCATGAAGGGTTCCGTACCATTGCAATACACGTTTCTAGTAGGGGAGCCACATTTAATTTTTAATTTATTTTTGTTACTTATTGTTATGGGTTATGGCGACAATAGAAATACATATTCTGTGAAAATTTCAACTGTCTACCTATTAGGGATCATGAGATACAGCCCGGTGACAGACAGACGGATGGACTGACAGCGGAGGTTTAGTAATAGCGTCTCGTTGGTTACCCTTCGGGTACAGAACCCTAAAAAGGGCCAAATAAGGAGTTATCGTTACCGACGACCATGTATGATGTATAGATCTTAAAGAAGTGAGACAGGTGTGTCAGAGATCGCGAATGAGTTATACCGCCTTATCCGGGATATTTCTTCCTGCCTCTCCTGTTCAGTTTCCGCTTTGCCGCCTCTTATGAGACCCGCGGGATCATATATACTGGATTCCCTCGCCTGACAAGCGAAGAAACTACGGCGAAATCTCCCCTATGAGGGACCTCTATGTTCAGCAGTGGACTTTGATGAATGATGAATGAAATTATATTAGAATAGAACATTAAAAGCCATTTTTTACTTTTACCACTGCGCTGTTTTGGAAAAAAACTTTGTTCTGGGAAAAACCAGCAAGACACCCAGCAGGATTTTTTAAATTCTTAATGAACTGACTTGGTTACGCGTAAATAAATAATAAATTAGTAAAAATCTCGTTTATAGCCGGGGCGGCATCAGAGGCAGCTGAACTGACATTAAATATGAGTCTCACAGAGATGACTACATATTTGTGACATTTGCTCTAGACATCATCGATCTGTGAGATCCACGTGCGGTGGAGTTCCTAAAGGAGCGCTACCCGCGACTGGTCGTTGCTGCTGGTGATAAGAGGGCTGGTCCTTTCTCGCTCAAAGGCTAAGTATATTATGTTATGTAAATAAATGTATTATTTAGTAAATAAATGTGTGTGTGAACTGACTTGGTGACGCAGTGCGCGGCCGTGAGCACCCACTGCGTGCCGACGAGCGCGGCGCCGCACACGTACTGGTTGTTGTTGTTGATGAGCGCCACCTGCCAGCACCACTCGCCCGGCTCGCCGTCCTCGCCGCCCATCACGCGCCCGCTCCGCGACGACGTGCCTGCAACACGCAACACACACAAACACCACGTCAACACTTGAATCTTGAAAGTTCATCTTTTTTAAGGTTCCGTATCTCAAAAGGAAAACCCCTATAGGATCACTTCGTTGTCCGTCTGTCTGTCAAGACCCTTTTTCTCAGGAACGCGTTGAGATATCAAGCTGAAATACATATCAAATACTCAAGTCTACTGCCCCTTGGAGCTGTGAAAAAATCAAATATCTAAGCCAACGCAATCAAAAGATACAGCAGTTTTTGGCGCAAATTTTCGACATTCGCAAGGGAATCAAAACCTACAGAGTACTTCCCGTGAACTCAGAATCTTAAAATTTGATACGAAGCAACGTATTATAGCACAGATAAAGGAAAAATTGCGAAAAGCATAAATGTTTAGTTACATCATATAATAAAAATATTTTTTAATAATTTTAAACTTATATACCTACGAATTTGTTCGGAACCCTCGGTGCGCGAGTCCGTCTCGCACTTGGCCGGTTTTTTTATATAGGATAGGGTGACAAACGAACACACAGTCCACCTGATGGTAAGTGGGTGCTGTGGCCCATGTATATACATTTATCCTCAATTTATCATTATAATGTACAACGTGTGTCTAGGCAGGAAAATTTGCAATAAAAACGCAGTATTTAACGCGCGCTTTTGGCCTCGATATCAAGGGCACCTTCCCTCTCCCCCGCCCCCTCGGCCGCCGGACGGGTCGGCGTGGCTCTTCTCGCGAGGTAGTAGGATTTTTCTTGCGAACTATACGGACGTATTTTTTCGCGCCTAAACTTGCTAAATGAACAATCCGCGTAAATCGTTGCAATAACGGTATCGTTATTAGAACGTACTAACTCGGTGAAATTCGAGCGCAACTATCAAAGTGATTTACATCTGAAGGACTACCAGAGTAGCCGTCCCATTTGGTGACAACCCCTTACGAGTGCCTCCAGAAGGGTGAAGTTCCGGGGATACCAGCGCGTGCCTTCTCCCGGACGTCGTCGAGTCATCCAGATCGGTTCCCGTCAACATACCAGCACACACAATTACACCTACACTCACAACACCGCACACACCAAGCACAACTTTCATCAGCCGGGCCGGTCGAGGAGAACCGTCTGCGCTCCTGGGGCAGGTAAGTGCATTTATTCTAGTGACCTTTCCCCTCGTGTGTTCATTAGAAACCTTTGACCCTCGGCGTAGGAACGCCCGACCTGCATCTGCCCGTGGCTCCTTCGTCTATGGGCCGCGAAGGATCCAACTCCTGTTGAGGCAGGGCAGCTGTTGGCCGTAACATTTGGTAGCAGAACGCGGTGCTGGGATCGATTCCCGGTCGATCCACCGACCATAGTATTTGATAAAAATTAAATAATTTGGTGGCAGGAGCGTTGGGTGGATTTGTGGCTACAATCACGCCCGTCCGTAATACGTAAAATACCTTTTTATTATTATACGTAATAATAAAATTCCTTCCTTTGTTAGCTTGCTTTACTGTTAGCGGGTAAAATTGAAAGGTCACACCCGGTTCGCGCGCAAGCGGGAGATTGCGTCATGTAGGTAGATGGTTATTTTTACGTAATCGGTTAATTGTCGTTGTCGGATGGTAGTGTGTTACTTATCGAAGGGTTGATTTCCGAGCAAGGCATTTTCGTTGATGTGTATCTTCGTTACATATCTTTCGTATTGTAAATTGTATTTGAACTAAAGAGTGGTAATTTGTATTTACGTAATTTAAATGAACTTGATTTGATCGTACTAGTATTTGTTATTGTTGATTTGATTTACCTTTTCCTTTGTACTAACTTGTGTTTGATTTAATAATAGCTGTTCTTATTTGTGTACATTCTATCCAACTCGATTTGATAGGAACTGCATTAGTTAGCTGTTAATTTTTTTGTATTTTTTATTTGTTATTGTTGTAATTGTGCTCGAGCCGCGTCGTAATTTGAATTTAGTAGTGATGTCCTCGCCCAAGATGCTAATCCGTTGCCTGCGGACTGAGCTGCGCTGGGCTACCAGCGCACACGCGTTGATAGGCCGACCGGACAGGGTCTACAATCTGAGGAAGAGGCTTGAGCAGGTCGATGCTCGAAGGGCGGCCGTGGAGGAGGCTTACTCTGAGCTCGAGGACTTGGAGGTGGAAAAGGGAGTCCTGGAATCTTGCCGCGCGGACTACGAGCAGTTCCTCGCGCTGACGGACGACCTGATCGAGGCGGGGGCCAAGGATGCGGAGAGGGAGCGCGAAGCTCGGCTGAGTAGCCTTCTCGAGTCCCCGCGGAAGCCGTCTGCTCAGCCAGAGCTGCTAGGACGACTTCCGACGCTGGACCTGCCAAGGTTCTCCGGGGTCCTCTCGGAGTGGATGACCTTCGTCGGCCTGTTTGACAGCCTGGTGGACGCCCGGAGGGACCTGACCCCCTGCCAAAAAATGGGGTACCTCCTGGCTTCACTAGAGGGGGAGGCCCTGAGCGTCGTCGGCCACCTTAAGTTGTCGGACGACGCCTACCAAAACGCCAGGGACCTCCTCGCTGGAAGGTACGCCAACGTCCGGCGGATTGCGGACGATCATGTTCGGAGGCTGCTGAACCTCCCGCTGCTGAAGGACCGGACTAGACTACGTGAAGACATAGTGAATCCAGTCGTCGTAGCGTGCAACTCGTTGCGGCGGCTGGATTTACCTGTGGACGAGTGGTCTTTTCTGCTCCTTCATATAGTGCTGTCCCGCCTGCCCCTCGACCTTCGGCTCCATTTTGAGGAGAGGTTCGGAGGGGATGGCGCCTCTTATATGCCCCCCTTTAGGGACCTGCTGCGGTTCCTGGAAGAGCAGTGCAGGCTGCTGGAGAACGCAGCAGGCGCCGTCGAGGGCCCCCCGGCCTCCTCCCGAGCGGTGCCCAGGGAAAGGCGGAGTCAGCCGGCCAAGGCGGCGCCCACCCCCTTGAGGCCGAGTGGAGCCCCCGCGGGAGGGCGCCCCCCCGTACCCTCCTATAGTGGCCTAGCGGCCCGGGAGGCGCCTCCCTGCTCCTATTGTCGAGCATCCGACCACCGGCCGGCGTCGTGCCCGAAGTTGTTGCGCAAGCCGGCGAGGCGAACCATCGCCAGGGAGCGCCGCTGGTGCTTCTCGTGCCTGGAGAGGCATTTACAACGAGACTGCCCGCACCAGCGGCCCTGCACGCACTGCCAGGGCAACCACAACGTCCTCTTGTGCCTGGGTGCGCGCGGCTCGTCCTCGCAGGGCCCTGCCAGCCCCCAGACTCCCACGGGCGGGGGCGCCCAGCCACGCCCACTGTCGGGCGACGCTCGGCGCTCACCGGCGGACCGCAGCGCCCCTCCTTCTGAAGGGAGCCCCTCCCCCGATCGGTCGGGGAGTCGTTCCCCCAGGGGCGGGGGGGTCTTCACCCCCCCTCCCCGAGTTGATAGTGGATTCGCGGCCACTCAGCGGTCAGCTAGACCTTTCTCACCCCCGTTGGCTGAGTGACCGCGACTGGAACGCCGCCCGCCCCCCTTTGGCCGGTGCCGGTACTACCGGGTTCCGGAGACTGCGTACCGGCCCCGAGCCTTGGAGCCGAGGATCCCCGAGTTTCCCTCGGTCGGCCCGTTCGGGGAATTCCAGTCGGGGGTCATCGAGACGCCGTCGGAGTGCCGCGCTCGGGCCCCCCGGTTCGGGTGCCGGCCTAACAGAGGCAGCTCCAGATAGGAGGCTGCCGCCCTAGCTCCCGCCATGGCCGCCTCCACTGAGCCTATAAGTCGTCAGCAGTCCACCTGTCAAACTGTTCTATTGCCGACAGCCTCAGTGAAGGTTTACAACCCGAGCGGCGACCACTTAACGGTTCGAGCTCTATTGGACTCGGGTTCCCAGCGTAGTGTGGCCTCTACTCGGTTGGTGGGAAGACTGGGGCTCCCCTGGAGCTCTGAATCACGTCCGATGGTAGGTATCGGAGGTGCCGAGCCTCCTGCTCCTAGGGGACAATCGGAGTTGGTGTTCAGCCCTGACAGCGAACACCTTCGTATTTTAGTCAAGGTAAATGTCCTCGACGACATTGTAGGGTTCCTCCCTAACGTTCGTATAAATGACAGCGCTGTGCGCTGTGCGTCGGCTTTGAGACCGGCAGACCCTCGGTGGGCCCAACCGGGGCCGATAGATTTGTTACTGGGGGCCGACACGCTGGGTGCCCTCTTGTTAGGTGAGATACGAGCTCTGCAGCCCAATGGCCTGTCAGCCATTTCCACGATATTTGGGCACAGCTTTTTTGGACCGGTTATGTGGTCTCCTCCCTCTCCGATGGCCGACCCTCTCTCCGTCGTGGGCGTGTCCCTATCGGACGCTGTCCAGCGATTCTGGGACATTGAGGAACCACCCCATGCAGCTCGAGTCGACCCTCTGGACCGTGAGTGTGAGTTGTTCTACCAGAACAATACCGGCCGGCGGGTTGACGGTCGTTTCGTCACTCGCTTACCCTTTCTGGACTCCCGCCCCTCTTTGGGTCAATCCCGTGCTCTGGCCGAGAAGAGGTTGCTTTCCATGGAGCGCCGCATGCGGCGTGACCCAGCCTTTCGCGACAAATATGTCAAGTTCATGCGCGAGTATCAGGAGCTGGGTCACATGTCACCGTCCAACTTCGAATGGCGTTCACATGAGCACTACTTCCTCCCTCACCATGCGGTCTTGAGGACCCCTGAGAGTAAGATTCGGGTAGTCTTTGACGGTTCCGCCCCCACATCAAACGGTGTGTCCCTGAATCAGTGTCTTCACTCAGGTCCTAAACTGATCAAGGACATATCCGACATCCTGACCCAATTCCGTCGACACCAAGTGGTTTTTGTCGCGGACATTCGGATGATGTTTCGCCAATCGGTGGTACATCGTGATGACCGCCGATATCAGCTGATATTGTGGCGCGAGAAGCCCAGCGATCCCATACAGGTATTTGAGTTGAACACCACCACTTATGGACTCCGGTCCAGCCCGTATATCGCCATGCGAACCCTCCTTGAACTCGCTGAGAGAGAGCGCCTGAGATACGCTCGGGGAGCTTCTATCTTAGAGACTTCGGTCTACATGGACGACATTTGTACGGGCGCTTCCACCGTCGAGGAGGCTCTGGTCTTGCGAGACGAATTAATTGCCATCCTGAAGTCTGGAGGCTATGAGTTGCGCAAGTGGCTGTCGAACTCCCCACACATTTTGAGGGACCTCCCAGGAGAGGATCAACAAGACCCTCATCTGTTCGAGCACCCTGAGAATCCTAATTTGCTGACTGTGCTGGGCATTCAATATCAGCCTGTTCAGGACACCTTCACGTATAGAGTAAAACTTGACCCACCTCCCAAAGCATGGACCAAGCGCTCCGTGCTGTCTACAGTAGCTCGCACCTTCGACCCGAATGGATGGATCACCCCGGTCATCTTTTTGGCTAAGTGCTTTCTTCAAAAGCTCTGGATGTCCGGGTTGGGTTGGGACGAGCCTATTAGCGGGGTCCTCTTGCGAGAGTGGCTCTCCATGCTCTCCTCCCTTCCGGACATCAACCGGGTTTCCATGCCAAGGTGCTTCCTACCTCCAGGGAAATGCAGGGCTACCCTACATGGGTTTTGCGACGCCTCTGAGAAGGGCTATGCTGCTGTCGTATATTTGCGGACTGTGAGTTCCTCTGGGCATACTGCAGTTCATCTCGTACTCGCCAAAAGCAAGGTTGCTCCCATTAGATCCCGTTTAACTATCCCTAAATTGGAACTGTCCGGAGCCGCTCTTCTCACGCGGCTCCTCAACCACGTTCACTCGTCCTTGAAGCCTGTAATCGACATTACGGACGTCTACGCATGGTCGGACAGTGAGATAGTACTTTGTTGGCTCCGAGCCGCACCTCACAATCTTGAGGTCTTTGTGGCGAACCGCGTGTCTCAAATCCAGAGTTCTGAGACTTCTCTCCACTGGAGACATGTCCCCGGGGAGTTGAATCCCGCCGACTGCGCTTCCCGCGGCTGTGAGGCCCCCGCGCTGGTTGCCCACTCATTGTGGTGGGGTCCCGGTTGGTTATCTGATCCTCAATCCTTCTGGCCCCAGGGTAATTACTCCGAACCTACTGAGTTGCCGGGCCTACGGGCCCGAGTAGGAGTGGGCAAGGATAAGCCCACTCGGGATCTCTCCCTTCTGGAACGGTACAGCTCTCTCGATAAGCTCTTAGGAGTGACTGCTTGGCTGCGCCGCTTTGTCCACAATTCGAGAGATCCGTCCAACCGACTCTCTGATTGCGTTTTGTCCCCTAGCGAGCGTCGGGAAGCCCTGATGCATTGGATCCGTATGGTCCAGACGGAGCATTTTGAGCCCGTTATCGAACACTTGAAGCGTGGCTCCGTTATCAAGGGCGCTCTGGCCCGCCTGAACCTCTTTCTGGACGACGCTGGGATGCTGCGCGTGGGCGGACGTTTGAAAAACTCTCAACTGCCGTGCGGGGCTCGACACCCGTTGCTGCTCCCTAAGGACGGCGCCCTTGTCCGGTTGCTGGTAACCCACCACCATGTTAGGAATGCCCACGCTGGGTGTAACGCCCTGTCGGCTATTTTGCAGCGGGAGTTTTGGATTTTGTCTGGTCGTCGCACCATTCGGAGCGTCATCTTTAAGTGCATCCCCTGTTATAAACTGAAGGCCCCCATATCGCAGCCTCTTATGGGTGACTTGCCGCCCGACCGCGTCAGGGCCATCCGACCATTCGCTGGGGTCGGAACAGACTTCGCTGGCCCCTTCCTCGTCAAGTCCTCTAACCTTCGTAACGCGCGTTCATGTAAGGCCTATCTTTGCGTCTTCGTGTGCCTCTCCACTAAAGCCGTTCACTTGGAACTGGTGAGCGCCCTCAGCACGGAAGCCTTCTTGGCCACGCTTGGCCGTTTCGTGTCGCGGCGCGGCTTGCCGGACTTGATCCGGTCTGACTGCGGGACGAATTATAAGGGCACGGATAGGTATCTCAAGGAGGTTGTCGAATTTCTGTCCAGCCACCGGACTTATTTAGGAAATGCTATGTCGAAAAGGGGCATCCAGTGGAAATTCGACCCTCCGGCGTGTCCCCACTGGGGCGGTATTTTCGAGGCGGTGGTTAAGGTTGCCAAAACGCATCTCCGTCGCGTTATTGGTGAAGCCATTTTGACGTTTGAGGAGCTCGCCACTGTATTCTGTAAAATTGAGGCGGTACTCAACTCTCGGCCCCTCTGTCCCCTCTCCTCTGACCCGAATGATTTGGAGGTTCTAACCCCGGGACACTTCTGATTGATTTGCCAGCCTGATTGGCCAGCCTCTTAACGCTCTGCCCGAGTATCCCTTCAGGGAAACGAGTGCTTCACGGCTTAGCAGGTTTGCCCTGCTGCAACAGATGACTCAACGCTTTTGGCACCGATGGTCTCTGGAGTACCTACATCTTTTGCAGCAGCGCGTTAAGTGGTCTGACAAGACGGAGCCTCCTCGGGTGGGAGACCTCGTGTTGATTAAAGAACCAAACGCGCTACCTTTGTATTGGCGCCGTGGGCGCATTGTTAAATTGTCGTATGGAACGGATGGGGTGCCTAGAGTGGCCGAGGTTTTGGTCGGAGATTCGGTCTTGCAACGGGCCGTCGCGACCTTGTCCCGTTTGCCAATCTACTCGCGGACTTAATGCCTTATGTCCGGGCCGGGGGGTTGTCTAGGCAGGAAAATTTGCAATAAAAACGCAGTATTTAACGCGCGCTTTTGGCCTCGATATCAAGGGCACCTTCCCTCTCCCCCGCCCCCTCGGCCGCCGGACGGGTCGGCGTGGCTCTTCTCGCGAGGTAGTAGGATTTTTCTTGCGAACTATACGGACGTATTTTTTCGCGCCTAAACTTGCTAAATGAACAATCCGCGTAAATCGTTGCAATAACGGTATCGTTATTAGAACGTACTAACTCGGTGAAATTCGAGCGCAACTATCAAAGTGATTTACATCTGAAGGACTACCAGAGTAGCCGTCCCATTTGGTGACAACCCCTTACGAGTGCCTCCAGAAGGGTGAAGTTCCGGGGATACCAGCGCGTGCCTTCTCCTGGACGTCGTCGAGTCATCCAGATCGGTTCCCGTCCACATACCAGCACACACAATTACACCTACACTCACAACACCGCACACACCAAGCACAACTTTCATCAGCCGGGCCGGTCGAGGAGAACCGTCTGCGCTCCTGGGGCAGGTAAGTGCATTTATTCTAGTGACCTTTCCCCTCGTGTGTTCATTAGAAACCTTTGACCCTCGGCGTAGGAACGCCCGACCTGCATCTGCCCGTGGCTCCTTCGTCTATGGGCCGCGAAGGATCCAACTCCTGTTGAGGCAGGGCAGCTGTTGGCCGTAACAACGTGTAACAAATAACCTGATCAGAGTCAGCATTCAAACGTAAAGAAATAAGTTTTTTTTTCAAAAAACTTGAACATTAAAATATTTAATTTTAATTTAAAAAAATTAATTTGCAAATAGTATGTGGTTTTATTGCCTCTAACTGACACGAGCATCGGTGATATTGCAGAGGTAATAAAACCATATACAATTCGCAAATTATTATTTTTAAATAAAATATTTTTTAATCTTCAAGTTTAAAAAAAAAGTTATTTCTATAGGTTTGAATACCGACTCTGATAACACACTTAACGGGAACCACAGGGTTTTAGTTACATGTTGTATAATTTTCTTCCTCGAAGACTGAAATGAATTGCCACGTTTCCAGTAAAAAGGGTGTCCGACTCTCTACACTCACCGTAAGAAACACAGCAGCATTAAGCTCCTATTTTACGCCGGTATTCTGTCGGAGCATAGTCCAACCCCTGTCGAGCCGACCCAATCGTGCTACAACCATAATATAGCTGCAGCGTGGCTCTACGACGTATAACTAGCTGCGCCCGCCACTTCATTCGCGAACGTTTAGTAGTTTATTATTACTATACTTCCCTATTATTTGAATCTGGTTTTGTTCTCAAATTCATGACTTTTAAATTTTTTGCGCGAAACCCTAAAAGACATAATTTTTTAAAATTGTATTTTTGTTATAAGTACCGTATATACTTTCATATTCATTTATATGGTTCTGCTAATTTGACATTACAAACAGACACTTCAATTTTATTTATTTATTGTGTTACCGTCCCATCGGACCGAGAGTGAGAGAATATGGAGTGCGCACACACTCGTGCGCTATAATAATGTCCTGCGGAGATGGCTATTCTCCGTTGGCGCTGGCCGCCATGAGCGTGTTAAGCATGTATGAATTAATACAATTAAATACCTAATATTTTCACTCTAAATACGTACCTTTCACACCGCAAACGTATTTGTTGTACTTCTCCGGTACTCGCAACGTTGATACGTAGTTTGGTTCGTATGGATCTGAATAAGGAATAATAGAGAGTTTAAATATAATATAATAGTGTAGCGCTACGGGGTCGCAAGTTCGAATCCTTCACGAAACATGTGATTTAACAAGTGGTTAAATTAAACATTTTGTAGAACCGACTTCAATATAAATAAAATGAGAACATCATCAATGTAGTCCAAGTCAACTAATTACGTATTATTAAGGATAACTCAAAAACTACTGGTCTGATTTTGATCAAATTATATGGGACCGCACGAGAACCACCAGCTTTCAAATGAAAAAAGAATCATCAAAATCGTTCACCTGGAAAAAAGTTTCTGAGTTAACACACATAAAAAATACAGTCGAATTGAAAACATCCTTCTTTTTTGAAGTCGGTTAAAAAGAAAAACATTACCCTACACTAGGATTTCCTTCTAGCGAACCATTTTACATACATAAATTACACGTGGCCATCATCATCACAGCCCTTCACAAGTTCACTGCGGAGCAAGGCCTCCTGCATCCATCGACTTTCTGCACGTCTTCAAAGTTCGTCACTTCACTAGTAGAGTACCACCCTACACTTCACTTACAGGTACGAGGCTGCAACACGAGAACCTCTCTTCCCCATCGGTTGTCGGTTCGAGTCTAGTCTATTCGGTCGAGTTAAATGACCGGCCCATTGCCTCTTCAGCTTATTGTTACAAGCCTGGGGTTGACTTGGAAGACAATTAAAAAACTGCCGAGTGAATTGCCAAAATTGACACTTTAATTACATAACACTAATTACAACTTAAACCACACTAATAATAAAAAAAACAATTGTACTACTGATCACTTTAGTTCGCAGTTGTATCGCTTCGAAATATTCGCTTGTTCGCCAACTCAACACTAACCGGGTCCAGGTCTGTACAGGCCTTATATAGGGCCTCAGATAATATCCAGAACTTCCTACTGTAGAAACATCTTGAATGTTCGAGTACATACCGGTCCCGACTTACTAAGTGTCGATAGTTCTAGAAAGTTCTTCCAAGGAAAATTCTACAAGAATCTTGACTCTCCTATTCCGCCACTCGATACTAGAGGGCGCTAGTGGTAACTAGTGTTGCCATGTACTAGGCATTAATGGTGGCGCTCAACATTATTAACCCGTTGGACTAAGGCCATACGAACAATTAATTCGTGCTTTGAACATGCGGTTCCCAACGTCACAGCCAAACACTATGCCACTGCGCTACTAAGTATTAATGATTTCTTAAATTTAAGCAAATGCTTCTAATACTTCACACTCAATAAATTAAATTATGTAGCAAAAAGCACGTTGAAATTCAAAAATAACAGTAACAAGCATATCCTACTGCTGGGCACTAGCCACTTGTATTTCCAGAAAGATTTAGAGCTAAGAGGAGTCTATCGAGCTGCCCGATGCTTAGACTTTACCTGTCTTAATATAAAAAGTGGATAGTGGGAAAAAAATTACGGCTCTGTGGCGCAGTGGCTTAGCAATGAGTTGCAGCGCTAAGGACCGTGGGTTCAAATACCGCATGGAACAAGTATTTGTCTTGCCTACAAATAATTGTTCCGGGTTCGGATGTTTGTCCTTGTGAAATTTATATATGTAAACTGTCTCCACGATACAGGACAAAATCTCAGTGTGGAGATAACGTTAAAAAAATTGGTTTCATCTTGATTTAGAATTAAAAACCCACCAAAATCAAAGAAAGGTGCTCAACTCAACAATATGAAGTCTGTGAGTACTAACACGCGATGCGGTCTATGGGAGTGGTGTGCGGCACCACGGCGTGGGTGGTGGGCGTGTAGTGGGTGTACGCGGCCAACGTGGTTGTGGTGAGCGGGTACGTCTCGTTCCGCTCTGGCGTGCCCACCAGCTCCAGGATCTTCGACTTGGGCGCGCAACACTGTGTCCCCGCCTTCTTGCATTTGAACACGTCCGTTATTTCCGCGTTGTCTGCAAAATTGAAAAAAACTAAGCTTAATTCTCACAGAATACCAGAATAAAATAGCAGCTCAACGCTGCCGTGTTTCGTATGGTGAGTGTAGAGAACCGGAGACCGTTTTTACTGGAAATGAACCATTTCATCTTAGCCCGCAGGGGTAGCAATGCATCTGAATTTTGATTCTTAATTGAGGATAGATGTCAATGGGCCACAGCATCCACTTACCATCAGATGGACTTTGTGCTCATTTATCACCGTTATTCTATAAAAAATATGAGTTAACTAGTCACTGATTCCACCCAGCTCTAAACGAGGTAATCCTGAGATGAGAGGTTGCTAAAGTGTCTACGCATGTAGCATCCCACACTAGGGACTTTATCTCTCTCCCAAGGGACCAAAATCATACCGTCTGGTCTTCTACTATTGTCTCTCAATGCTAGGGCTCTAAAACCGAGGGAACACTTATCGAGACAAGAGCTATTACGGAACAACCTGTACATACATACATATAACCAGTACATACATACATTAACTGTAATTATATTGAATAATATACACATGTAACAAAACCCTACGGTTCCCGTTAAGTGCTTTATCACAATCATTATTCAAACGTATAGTACTTTACTTCAGAAAACTCGACCCTGAAAAAATCTAAAATTGTATGTGGGTTTATTACCTCTGCATTGGCTGGTCACTAATAGCAATGGGCGTTGAATGAACGTACTAGTTAATTCGACCGTCGATGCTCTGTGAACGAGTAAACGGTTTACGAACTATCAATGAACTAGTCGAAACCGTAGACGGCTAAATTGTAACTCCATAAGGTTCATTTTGACTAACAACGCGACGACCGACGCGAGATCGTAATCGGATAATATTAGTTCATATTATGTTCGTTGAAATAACATAATTGCGCAAACAAATTAGAACACTAAATGTAGACTGGGTAAGAGTATAAATAGCAGTTTGTTATTGTATTAGGTGAAGAATAGGATGCAGTCGTGTTATCGCATCGAGTTGACGCGTAAACTAGTTGACAAATTTAACTAGTTGACCAACTAGTCGATGAACGAAAATGGACGGTCTAGTTTCGTTAACGACAAATATGTCGACGGCACGGCGCTAGTCAATAAAAGTATTGTCAAAGAGCACGCTTTACCGATGCGCGTGTCAGTTCAGATGTTAATAACATTTTTTCACAAGTTTTTTTTTCGGTATTAACTCACTTAGAGTTAATACCGAAAAAAAAACTTACTGTCATAAATGCCATTCCTATATTTGTATATCTATATGTCCCTAGAACAATCACCGGGTTGTCTGTTACATACTGTTTATGATTAAAGAATATTCTATTATATTCTGCCGTGCGGCAATTCATGCAAATCCTTCTTACAATACTAGAGACTCCCAGCCGTGGGCTTTTTTTTGTAGAATAAGGGTAATAAACGAACATACAGTCCACCTGATGGTAAGTAGGCAGACACTATCGCTCATAGATATCTAATAATCTCAATTAAGAATCACAATGCAGATGCGTTGTCAGCCCTGAGGACTAAGATGGAATGCCTCGTTTTTAGTGATTACGGTTGAAGAAGAATAAGACTTACGGAAGCAGGTGAATGAGAGCAGCGGTACCACGCAGGAGCCTGGGCAGTCGGGGCGCGGATCGGCCGGCGCCGGAGTAGTCGTGGTGGTAGTGGTGCGGTGCGTTGTTGGTCGCGGCGTCTTCAGTGCTCTGTCGATTTTAAAGATATTTTATTATGTTCTGTGATTTATAAAAGTAAATTTTTTCTATTGTTATGGACTTGGAAGGCCATACTTTTGCCAGTTTTAAGTAACAAGAAATCAATATAAGTATTCTGTAAAAAGTTTCCGCCGCGGTGCCACAATGCGTGTTGGCGGACTTCACATGTCTTTGAAATATTTTTTTTGAGTTCTCATACAGGTTTCCTTACGATGTTTTTGTAACCCCGCAGCATGTGGTACTTAAAATTGCAATTAACAGTTTAATTGATGCCAGCGAGGATCAATAAAATTGTTGCGCCATACTGTGTTTATACTTACTTACTGGAATGTTCCACTACAAAACTAATAAAAGTATACTGAAACACATAGTACCTGGTATTATCGCAACAGAACATATTGGCCAGCTTGCAGTTTGTATATGAAATGATCTCAGAGGGGTACTTGCAGAAGGCGGCCATCACCGTCGGCAGGCAGAAGCTCGGACAACGCGGCAGCGGCGCCTGACAACATTTAATTGTCAAAATATTAATCTATGTAGACAAATAAATAAAATTGAAGTGTCTGTTTGTAATGTAAAAATAACAACTTTTAACTAAATGCATATTCAAGTATATACGATGCTTGTAACAAAAAACATTTTTTTAAATTTTTGTTTGTCTATCAGTCTGTTTGTCCCGGCTAATTTCCGAAATGGCTGAACCGATTTTAATGGGACTTTCACTGGCAGTTAGCTGATGATATAAGGAGAAACTTAGCCTACATTTATTTTAGAAAAAGAATTAGGGTTTCGCGCAAATAATCAAGCTCCAGGAAGTCTGATTTGCTAGACCGGGAGTAGACAGCGTTCCAGACTAATGCTGTTTCATTTCAGTAATTAGGGTCTCCGCTTCTCTACAATCACTATACGAAACACAGCAGCATTAAACTGCTATTTCACGCGGGTATTCTGTGAGATCGTGGACCGTGTGCAACGTGGCTCTCATAGTAGCTTTGTACCGGTAGGCGTAGTGTAGGGCGTTCCTCTACTAGATGGAGTAACGACCTGGTAAGACATGCAGGAAGTCGATGGATGCAGGTGGCTCAGGACCATGCTTTGTGGCAATCCTTGGGGGAGGCCTATGTTCGGCAGTGGGCTTGTGAGAAGCTGTGATGATGATGAGAGCTCTACCACGTATAAAAAGTTATAAGCTGTTACTCACGGGCGTGGTGGGGCGCGGTGTGGTGGTAGGTCTCCGCGTAGTTGTGTCAGTGTTCTTGTTGTCGGTGATGCAGCAGGTTCCCCCATCAGAGCAAGTGGCCTGCTCGTCCACGTGGTCACACAGCAAAACGAATAGTCCACTGATGCACTCACCACGGCACTCCCGGTCGATTTTTTTCTTTGGTGGTGGTGGTGGTGGTACTGTCGTCAACTGGAAAACGTTTAAATCGTTAATATTGTAGTTTATTGCACGTTGTTTGTATGACCCTGAAAATAATTGTTGCGTGTCTGGATGTTTGTATGCAATTTATGTATCTAAAATACACCCACAATACAGAAGAAAATCAGAGGTTATGCCTCCACGATACTGATAAAAATCTAATGTTGGAATATCGTTTTTATAGAAAAAATTTTTTTTATTAAAATTAATTTTTTGACCCTTTAAGTGGATTAAGAACATCAGAAGCTCGATATAACCTCTAGAATTTCATCTAAAGAGTTAGATTAAAAACTTCATCCTTTATTTTACATTCTTAGGGGTAGATTTAGTGAAATAATAATAATTAAAATCGATTCAAAATAGATGAAGATCTCGCGTAACATACATACAATAAAAAGAACATAGTAAAGTCGAAATGAATACCAGCTTCTTGAAGCCGTCTAAAAAATTATGAAACACAACAACCGTATTTACTTTGACGATGACTTACACGATTTAGGTTAAGGCGAAGATTTTCAAATGAATTCAAAACACGCAATAAAAGAGAAAATGCTGCAGCTGTATTATGGATGTAGCACGAACGGCTCGACAGGGGAAGAACCACGTTCGCATGGAAACACAGAATGCTATCGTAATATAGCAGCATTTTTTATAGGATGAGGATGGCAAATGATCGCACAGTCCACCTGACGGTAATAGTTTCTGTGGCCCATAGACATCTACATCTATCCTTGACTATGATTCAAAATGCAGATGCGTTGTCACCCGTGAGGACTAAGATGGAATGCCTCGTAACCAGTAAAAAGGGTCTCCGGTTCTCTACGCTCACCATAGAAACACAGCAGCATTACGCTGCTATTTTACGTTGTTATTCTGTGAGAGTGTGATCCTGGTCGAGCCGACCCATTCGTGCTACAACTATACTACTAATATAGCTGCAGCATGACTCTACCACGTATATATCATGATTTTATTTGTAGTATTATAGTTAGTGTCTAATTCTTGTTAGTGGTAGGTACGACCTTCTTAGTTTTTTATGCCTTGAAATGGAAGTAGGTACTTACACTGCGGTATCCCGGTCTGAGGAGTATATAATAGGACTATATAAAGTAGTACAATAATAACAGGCTGTGAGGCCTTCCATCCTAGTCCTCAGAGAGGACAACACATTTATAACCTCCTTTTTTTAATTTGGTGGAAGGCCATGAGCCACTTACCATCAGGTGTACTGTACTGTAAGTTCGGTTATCACTTCAGTTCTATAAAAAAAAAAAACATTTAACTTTCTAGAAATATAAAACAATGAACGATTTAACTTCGGTCCATTCCAAAAGAAAAACAGTCAAAATAAATTTCACTCACTGCAGTACTAGGTTTCTTAGTTTTATGGTGTTTTTCATTAGGAATGATCAGATCTTCGGGCGGGTCGTCTCCATAGAAGTCCCTGGTGACGCAGCACACGCGGCCCTGAACACAGAGCTTCGGCGTTGTGAGATACGCCTGGCAGTACTGGGCTAACTGGACCACAACGCACACGTCTGGACATGCGATATTACCTGAAACAAAGCGAATATTGTAATACCTAATTATTTGCCTAATAATATAATAAACTAGTCCTCTGCCACGTAGAAATAAATCAAAAATAGAATGCGTTCTGTAACAGTGAAATTATTTTACTGTGAGCTAAACCACCTTTATTACGTAGTAGAGCACGCATAGTATATTAGTATATTATGGTTATAGTACGAACGGGTCGGCTAGACCGGGGTAGGACCACGCTCTAACAGAACATCAGCGAAAATAGCAGCTTAATGCTGCTGTGTTTCGTATGGTGAGTGTAGAGAACCGGAGACCCTTTTTAGTGGATACGAGGCATTCCATCTAAGTCCTCATTGGTGACAACGCATTTCCGTTTTGATTCGTCATCGAGGATAGATGTAGATGTCTATGGGCCACAGCATCCACTTACCATCAGATGGGCTGTGTGCTCGCTTGTCACTCTTAGTCTATAAAAATACCAATAGAATTAATGGGGAATTTCGTTGCTTTTTATAATAGTAATGATGACAAACACTCAGTTCGTCCGATTGTAAGTGGAAGCTGTGGTTAATAGACGATTAATTAAAAAAACAAAATGCAAAGCGTGGTCATCCTTGAGGACTAAGATAGGTGCCTTGTTACTAGAAAAAAGTGTCTCTACTACGGATGACGCACCATACGAAATACAGCATCAAGCTGCTATTTCACGGTGGTTTCTGTACGAGCATGATCAATAGCGTAACTCTACCATGTACAACGTACAAAATATTAAATGAGATATTTTCTAACAACTTTGATATTAAAAAAATAATTTTAATAAAAAGTAAAAATCGACTTCAAAAAACTAAAAAAAATTAAAAAGTGTGTGTGTGTGTGTGTGTGTGTGTGTGTGTGTGTGCATGCGTGCGTGCGTGCGTGCGTACGTGCGTGTGTGCGTGTTAGCGTGCGTTGGTGCGTGCGTGATTGCGTGTGTGAGTGCGTGCGTGCGTGCGAGCGTGCTTGAGTGCGTGTGTGTGCTTGCGTGCGTGAGTGCGTGTGTGCGTGCGTACGTGCGTGCGTGCGTGCGTGAGTGCGTAGGTGCGTGCATGCGTGCGTGCTTGCGTGAGTGCGTACGTGCGTGTGTGCGTGAGAGCATGAGTGCGTGCGTACATGCGTGCGTGCGTGCGTGCGTGCGTGCGTGCGTGCGTTAGTGCATACGTGCGTGCGCGCGAGCGTGCGTGCGAGCGCGCTTGAGTGCGTGTGTGTTGCGTGCGTGCGTGTGTGCGTGTGTGCGTGCGTGCGTGCGTGAGTGCGTACATGCGTGCGTGCGTGCGTGTGTGCGTTAGTGCATACGTGCGTGCATGCGAGCGTGCTTGCGTGCGTGCGTGCGTGAGTGCGTGCGTGCGTGCGTGTGTGCGTGCGTGCATACATGTGTGTGTGTGTGTGTGTGTGTGTGTGTGTGTGTGTGTGTGTGTGTGTGTGTGTGTGTGTGTGTGTGTGTGTACGTATGTATGCACGTAGGAAGTTATACTTGTTTAGCTTAACAAAACTTGTTTAGGTGTCGGTGCGCGCGTGCGTCCTAAAAATTCACTCTCATCATTTTTCCCAAACGCCCCAAAAGAAGTATAACTTCAAAAATCACATTCTGAGGTTGGTTTAAGATTAAGACATACTGTGTAGAATAATTAAATCCCCGTCGTCATAATGTGAATATTTTTATTTAAGCTTTTTACATTTTAGTAAAAGTTTTTTTTTTTACACTTAAGTGGACTATGCATGAGTCTAATAGTTACACTTTATCTCATATCTTGCCACCCGTAAGAGTAGGATCTTTTTCTCCAAGCGAAGTATAATTTAATTATTGCAAAAATAAACATCAAAATCAATTCACAATTGACGACAACATCGCGTAACATACATAACTGCAAAAAAACATGTCACACAATCGAAATGCAAGACCTCATCCTCTTTTTTATTTAAAGTTGGTTCAAATTTATTCTCCCTGCAGATGCTAAATGTTCGCGAATATTAAGACCTAATATTTAATATGGTGTACCTAATAATTACCACTGTCTTTGTGTCTGTCAGGCGCGAGGGTTGTGGTCTCGCGTTCACCTTCATCGGACTCGGTGGTGGTGTACCGCGTCGTGAACGGTCGCCTCGTGCTTATTGCCGTCTCGTTTTCTGAAAATATAATAAACTTAAAGTACACGAAATATTATTTATAAATATACAGATATCGTCATACTGCCATCAAATACAAATGAAAATACAGGGTTATTTTGCAATATATGCCCAAATTTGCAAAAAAGGTTTAGAATAAGTAACATAGGCGAATGGTGAAAAAAAAATTGTAAAAAAATCTCAAACATTTTGACCTTTTAAATACAGAATGCGTGGTAATGCATTATTTCAACTGATTGTCATTCATAAATATCACATGCCTACTATTTTATTACGAACGCATACATTCGTAAGGGTTGGTTCCAAATTTAGGAACCTTATCCCGCATCTTTCCGCGCCCTTCCCTTCCGTTAACCACTACTCTGCTAGGTACCTACATCCGCTCGACCAGCCGACAGTTGACAGTATAGACCGTGATTACATTACGGTACAGATGACGGAACGAATAAATTCGAACCGCGAATGCTATGAAATGGTGCAGTATTCTATTTTAAGCAATGAAAGTTTTGTGGTGCGCAGATTATAAGAAAGTGAGTCTTTACCGCGGCAAGAAATTAACGTACGTGTACCTACCTTTTGAAGAACAATTGACAGCTAATCAAACTATTCAAGTGAAGTGAGCGATTTTTTAAATAGTGAATATGAAGATAAGTGGTTTGCGCATTGAGGTCCTATAGCCTATATGTATACTATAACCTGAAACCTCGCCGAACCTTTCACCGTTAGGATTTTATTTGTACGATAAAATAATCAGTCGTGTTAACGTCAAAGAGGCTCAAAGTTATGAAGACTGCGGCAGGAAAATTATTTTGTGAACACGAAAACATTGTGAATTCCATCGCACACACAGAGGAGCGCGCGTACCCATAGTTGTTGCTAATAAATCACATTCAATTTGGGATAATTTCAAATAAAAGTAGAAGCCTTCATTAGTGGTATTTTCAAAAACTGCAATAACGGTATATCATACAAGTCCACTGCAGAACATAGGCCTCCCCCAAAGAATGCCACAAGGTCATATGTCAATGTCACAAAATATATTTGAACTTAAACTTAAATATAAAATTTAGACACCGTTTGAAAAATAATCCCGTATAAATTAAATTAAAGTGTCCGTCTGTATCATTGAAATAATAATAGTAATAAGATTTTTGAAAAATAACCCTGTATTTAAACTTAATACAGCACTGGTCTGCTTTTATTTCTATCTCTGATTTAGCTATTGCTATCTGCATTCTTTATTTATACATATAAATAAAATTAAAGTGTCTGTCTGTAATATTTAAATAACTCACTTCTATTGAGCTTAGGGTATTATTGTCATACTAATAAGACATAAATAAACATTTTAAAAATGTATATCTCTCTGTCTTTCTGGCCGAACCGATTCTGAATCTGAACCGATTGCAATGAAACTTTATGAACTGTTACATCATTCCGAAAATTTCGAAGATTTAATTGAAATAAAAGTTAATAAATAAATGGATTAATTTAAATTTGATTAATGCCACATTAATAGATCCTCTCCAGGCAAAGCCGAGGCAATTTTCTAGTTCTATATAAATTTCTCTGAATTCGTCTATACTATCGCACGCCTTATAACTCTCGACATGTCAAGGTCAAGCAACATTTTAAGAACAAAAAAGTTGTTAAAATGTCTCTATCATAAACATATTGCACTTACATGATAATATAAGTAATTATATATCAAGAAAACACTCTAATTAATCCATCTTATATTTTTTAAAATATAATTTTATATTGATACTTAGCAAAAAAAACTGATTGAAAAAAAATTCTGGACGTCCGGATGTTGATTTTGTATAGTGTCACGATAACTCCCGAAAAAGTGAGAAAAGAACCTTATCTTAACTTTTGTCACCACCAGCAACAACGACCAGTCGCAGAGAGTAGTTCCTTTAGGAACTTCACCGCACGTGGACCCCACGAGCCGATAGTCTCTACAGAAAATGGCACAAATATGTAGTCATCTCTCAGAGACTCAAATTTGCGCCATTTACTCAGTTCAGCTGTCGTCCCGGCTCTGAACGTGGTATCCTTGAGATAAGAAGCCGCCAAAGTGTCATGATGATGAAAGTGTCTACGCAAGTAGCATCTCACACTAGGGCTTTATCTCTCTACCTAGGGACCAATGTCATACCGTAGGGTCACGTGTCATCGTCTCTAAATATTCCACAAGCCTCTAAAAGCGAGGGAACATTTATAGAGACAAGAATCCTTCGGATAACATCGTTCAAAATACCGTGCCGTGAAAACCTACCAGCACTTTTCTTACATGAAAGTCCATGGAGTTCAAACTTGTCGACGCTGCTACCACTGACTGGGCACTGATGGGATTAGTCACTAGTCGGATTCCTATGGCGATGCACAAGCTTCCACCATCAAGTAATGTGGCGAGATTACTTGAACGTAGAGCGTGTAATCAATAACTAGATTCTTTAGTCAAAACAACTTGAAGGCGTGCCTGATCTTGGTCACTATGGAAATTATGAAACAAATCTTTCTGCACGCTCTGTACCAACGGAATATCCCACTGTTTTTGATGGTTAACTTCCAGTGGAACATTTTCGCTGGGACAGAGCGCTCGCCATGTCTGCCCTGCCTCCGTAGCAAAGCCCAGGTTTACTTTATTATTTAAAATTATGTTGCAGGAAGCAAGCAAAGCAGGCAATGCAACACCAGTAAGATTTCTTACACCAATACCACCTAAAACCAGGTAAGTACCAGGTAAAGTAGCTTGAGTCGAGGCTGTTGTATTTGAAGTTAAATTTCGAATTTTTTCTAAAGCTATTTTAAGATTATAATCAATATCTTTTAAAATATCCGAACATTTCGAGACTGGACACGAGCGGAGTATGTAAAACTTTTTTAAGATTTATTGCTATTAAAAATTTAAACATGCTTTCATATTTTTTTAGCTCTTGATAGATAAAGGACAAATGTGCCGTACAGCCTTTATGTATTTATACTTTGTGTAATCGATTAATTTTGATAATTTATTTTTTAAATGGCATGCTCATGAGGCGTGCACCTAAGGATTTGCCAAACTACATTACCCTTTGGTGGAGGCGTAAGAATATCCGCTATCCATATCATCCCGTCAGTGTCGTAAAAGGCAACAGAGGAAAACTGAAACTGGAGACGGGCAGTAGTATCTTCAAGATATGAACTCCAAATTTAAAAAAAAAATTGGGGTGCCACAGATGATGCGGTGTTTAAATACCAGTCATCATATATACTTACATACCCGCCTGCCAAACATGTCAAATATTGAATCCATTACATCCATTACAGACTATAAAAAGTCTTCTGATGAACATTGGCCTCCTCCATGTATTTTTTATAGGAGAGGGGGCAAACTTGCATGCGGTTCACCTGATGTTAAGTGACTAACCGCCGCCCATGAACAAATGCAACACCAGGGGAATTGCAGATGCGTTGCCGGCCTTTTAAAAAGGAGTAGGCTCTTATCTTGAAGGTCCCTAAGTTGTAACGGTCCGGAAAAATTGCTGGTGGCAATACATTCCACAAGGAAGTCGTGCGAGGTAGAAAACTTCTTCTAAATCTCACAGTGGTGGACCGCCAACCTGTATAAGGCAATCTATGATCTATCATCATGGATGATATCTATGATGATAGATCATAGATTGCCTTATACAGGGGACATCTGCCATAGTTTCCACGCTTGGCAAGCGGGTAACCAAACCAAAGCAAAGCTGCGAAGCTTTTTATTAGTTTGTGTTGTCATCAAGTAGGTGCAATTGCCCATCTGTTTCATTTCCATCCGTTGCCTCTTACCCACGGGATGATATGGGGTAGTGATTCTGCTATGCCGCCACTATACGGCGACCTCTATACACTACTAATTAAATAGATCTTGTCTTCAAAGATTTTAAAAATTATTTAGTTACACCCGCGCAAATCGCGGGCAAAAATACTTATAAATTATTTAAAATTAAAATTTTGTACAACGGACTTCAATATAAATTATTAAGAATAACTCAAAAAGCTACTGGTTAGACCTTGATCAAATTTATATAAGACCACATGTGAAGCACCAGCTTTCAAATAAAAAAAGAATCATCGAAATCGGTACACCCAGTAAAAAGTTATTAGGTAAAACACATAAAAAAACATACAGTCGGATTGAGTACCGTCTCCTTTTTGAAGTCGGTAGAAAACGCACCTCCCACCATCCCATAATCGCGAACTAGGATTGTGGGAGAAAGGGACGAGCAGGAAGGAGATACACTTCCAACTTTTTGACACACGCTAGGTATACATAAATTTTGGATTTGTAGCTAATTAATTTTAATATAATCTTTAATATAATAATTTATTTTTTAATTTCCCATGGAGTGGCAGTATATGGATTCCATATCCACTACGACTAGCCAACATTGTTCTGTGAGGGCGTAAGAGGCTTTAGGGAAACTGAAACTGGAAGTAGGCAACAGCATCTTCCTCATAACAACATTTCCCTTATGGTGTAATCTATGGTGGCCTATGTAAGCCTATTTTCAGCTGTAGGCCTGCGATGGGTTGAAGTTAATGAATATATTTAATTTTATTCTATTTTCAATATTTAAAAGCGACAATAGCCTAATGACAGGGTACGTTCCGGGATCTCAAAAGTTTGTCGGTTCGAATCCGTCATTCGACTAATGTCGTGAACCACTCCTAACGCTGGCATAGCAGGAGTTGTTAAAGGGAATAGTAATACTAATTGTATTGTTAGTATTTTATTAAAAAGAGCATTTTTGGCTTAATCAGTTCCGTTAAAACATTCTTGAACGTAGGAACAGCCATGGATTAAGAATTAAAAATACTATTAGAGAAGAAAAATATTATTGTTTTCTTTTCAGAACGAAAGAATTTTGCTCTTTTTATAGATAAAACACTTTGACAATTACCTAATGGCTCGTCCATACAGCACTTCATGCCCTTAGGACACTCGGCATCATCTCTCACGTTGGTGCAGATGAGTGCGGTGAGCGTGTGCATGCACACACCTGGACAGCTCGTGGTCTCCACCTGTGTATCCAGCGACTCGAACAGATCTGAAAATAGAACACCCCTATATTAAATAACGATAAAAAACAACAAAGTTAAACTCACAGAATATTTTATTTTTCATTTATCTTCACGCACAATCCCTGACGGGGTAGCCAGAGAGAACAGATCGCCAAGTGTCACGATCCTTACATACCAGCGTAAAATAGCAGCTTAACGCTGCTGTGTTTCGTATGGTGAGTGTAGAGAACCGGAGACCCCTTTTACTGGAAAAGAGGCATTCTATCTTAGTCCTCACGGCTGACAACGCATCTGCATTTTGATTCGTGCTACAACCATTCCATCGTAATCCTCAGGGGTGGTAACGCATCTGCATTTTGCTTCTTAATTGAGGATAAATGTAGATGTCTATGGGCCACAGCAACCACCTACCATCAGGTGGACTGTGTGCTCGTTTGTTACCCTATCTTATAAAAAACGTTAAAGGTAGCATTCCCTTTCTGCTCCTTTTATCTATCTATTTCTGCTGTGTTCCACTCTGAAGAGAGGGGATTTTTCCAATACGACTCAGGGACCATAAAGAAACGAGCTTACTCCTTTTTAAAAGGCCTGCAATGCACCTGCAATTATCCTGGTGTTACAGTTGTTAATGGGAGAGCAATATAATTACAAGTTGTGAGACATTCGATTTTAGTCCTTACTAGCTGTTCCTCGCGACTTCGCCCGCGTGTAATTAGGTTTTCTAGGCAAAAGAAATGCGAGGAACCCCAATTCCTTTCCTAAAACAAAGTCAGCCTAAGTTACTCCTTATGACATCAGATATCTACCATTGAAAGTCCCGTCAAAATCGGTCCAGTCGTTTCGGAGATTAGTCGGAACAAACAGACAAACAAAATTTTTATAATTGTATTTTGTTATAAGTACTTTCATATGCATTGAGTAAAAAGTTGTAATTTTGACATTACAAACAGACACTTCAATTTTATTTATTTGTATTGATTAGTGACAACACATCTGTAGTCTTCTCTATTTGATTCTTTATTTGATTATTTTAACGTGGTAGAGCCATGAGCTATATTAGTAGTATAGTCATAGCACGAATAGGTTGGCTCGACCGAGGAAGGACCACGCTCTAACAGAATACCGGCGTAAAATAGAAGCTTGGCACTGCTGTGTTTCGTATGGTGAGTGTAGAGAACCGGAGACCCATTTTACTGAAAAAGAGGCATTCCATCTTAGTCTTCACGGGTGACGACGCATCTGCATTTTGATTCTTTATTGAGGATAAATGTAGATGTCTATGGGCCGCAGCAACCGCAGGCAGGCAGCAAACAACTGCAGGCTCCAATCATCAGGTAGACTGCAAGTACGTTATTCGCTTTAGCTTTATAACACTCTCACAGAATACTAGCGTAAAGCAGTGTTATGATGCTATGTCTCGTATAGCGACTGACAAAACCTCATTACGAGGCATCCATCATCTAATTGAGAATATATTATGTAGGTATCTATGAACCACAACGTCCATTCACCGTCAGGTGGACTGTATGTTTGTTTGTTACTCTTACTCCTATAAAAAATGCTAACATGAAAAATTATTACAAGATAAGTTACAAGGAAAAAAACCTAAAGTTTATATCTAATGATATCTGAAAGCATAAAAGCCAGTTTTCTACCGAATTCAAAAAGGAGCCGGTACTCAATTCGACTGTATGTTTTTTTTTATGTGTGTTACCTCATAACTTTTTACTGGGTGAACCGATTTCGAAGATTCTTTTTTATTTGAAAGCTGGTGCTTCACATGTGGTCCCATATAAATTTGATTTGTTTGATCTGTTATTCTAATTTATATTGAAGTCCGTTGTGCAAAATTTTTAATTTTAAATTATGTAATATTTTAATCACAATTACTTCTCCCTTTTCATCACCGTGCGAATTTTAATTTATAAACAAGAAGTTGCTATCAGCTGCGACGGTTTTGAGAAAGCCGCCCGGCGACTTCTGCCGCCGCCTAGTTTAAAATACTTTTTTTCTATTTCTAAGAATCTTTTCTCCGAGTTGACTATATGCGGTCGTGCGGCGCCGCTTGCCTCGGCGCGCCGACTCAAATGCTAAGAAGTCATGACAGTAACTATTCAAGACGACACTTAGTACGTTGTTTGAACACAAATTACGCGAAGTTATGCAGTGAAAATTAGCTGAATGTACTAAAGAATTCGCCTAGAGCTTTCCATTGAGGAAATTTCTAGCCTGTCATTGTAACTGACTTTATACACTTTCGGAAACTTTTACACTATTCTCATTTCATTGCTTAATAAAGACTTCTTCCCATTTCTGATGTTTAGATGATGATGATGTTGTTTTATTGATGATGATGATGAGATTTAGAAAGCAATCATGCTACATAACCCTCTCGCATATGAGAGGAATTAGTCCATCGCGGTTGGTGTTGTTGATGGACTTCATATATCATGGATTACATACATATTTTATTCCTTAGACAGGAGACTTTCACACCATAGTGTCACGTAGTAAATCATTACTTAAAGTTGTAATTAACAAATTCATTGGTGCAGGCAGAGATCAAAACCTGAATAGCTCGCGTACTGTTGAATTTACCGCTAGCGCCCTCTGAGTTGTTACGGCTCTGTTTTATTTTCAATTGTTATTTTCAATTTGAGAAAAAAAGTAAAGTTACAGCCTATATACGTTACACTCCTAGGCACACACATCCTCTCATTCCTGAGAGGTTTTTAGGGCGTAAATATGTCGACCGCTATGCTCAAATGCGCGTTGGCGGACAAAACAATGCAATAGAATACTTTTTATTGTACTCCATGGAAAGATTAATAAAACAATAATTTAAAATTAAACATTTTGTACAACCGACTTCAATATAAATTATTAAAAATAACTCCAAAACTATTGGTTAGACCTAAATCAATGGGACCACATGTAAAGCAGCAGCTATGAAATAAAAAAAGAATCATCGAAATCGGTTCACCCAAAAAAGTTATTACATAAAAAACATACAGTCTAATTGAGTACCTCCTTCTGTTTGAAGTCGGTAGAAAATAAACATACATTGAGGGAAAAACAAAAGACGGTCTTATTAATTCATAGTAATCACTTCCACAAAATTTAGAAAAAGAAAAGAAAGATTAACAGGTAGTGTGCACTAAAATAACAGGGGATACCAACTTATGCACTAAAAAGACAACATACTATAGACAGCTATGGCAAATATCCTTCCTATGATAATAACCCCTGGGAATGAGGTGGTCGCTTCCAAGCTGTTTCTAAAATAAATTTTGTACTTATATAGTTTGTACAACCATTAATGTAAAATATGCTTTTAAAAAAAAGTACCGCTTGGTTTCTTGCTGGTTCTTCCCAGGACAGAGGGTTTTTTCAAACCAGTGATAAAGTAAAAAATGACCTTCAATAAGAATAACACATGTGATCTATATTGAATAAAAATTATTCTATTCTATTCCATTATTATACGTAAAATGTTCAAAGGCAGCAGTGGACTTTAAGAGGCTGTAATGGCAACGGATTCACAAACCATTGGTTTCCAAAAGAGCGACCGCCGCTTACATAATGATCAATCATCCAATCTGCCTGATAATTTGAATTTAACTAAAACGAATGTAACTTAAACTAAAGAAATATTTAATGATCACAAATTTTCATTCACGGCAAAACATGGGCCTTCCCCATAGATTGCCTCATTCGTAAGGATATCAGGAACATGCCTCTGCCCATTTTTTTTATATGATAAGGGTGACAAACGAGCACACAGTCCACCTGATGGTAAGTGGTTGCTGCGGCCCATAGACATTTACATCTATCCTCGATTGTAAATGTAAATCAAAATGCAGAAGCGTTGTCACCCGTGAGGACTAAGATGGAATGCCTCATTTCCAGTAAAAAAAGTGTCTCCAATCCTCTACACTCACCAAACGAAACACAGCAATGTTAAGCTGCTATTTTACGCTGGTGTTCTGTAGGAGCGTGGTCCTACCCCGGTCGAGCCGACCCAGTCGTGCTACAACTATACCACTAATATAGCTGCAGCATGGCTCTACCACGTAAAAATAATCTCCTATTTCATTTCCCTCTGTCGCTTCTTGCGCTGCCATAATACGACAGCTACGATACAAATTACGTTAACATAAACTCCTTTAAGCATTTTACGTACAATTCATAAAATGCTCAAGAACAAACCCGGACAATTATTTGTAGGACATAATTATAAAGATTTATTTCATGTGGAAATCGAACCCGCAGCTTTAAAGTTAACCACTGCGCTATAAGAGTAATGTAGCGTCGGTTGAGCGAAAGAATTATATATTTTTTACGTGGTAGAGCCATGCTGCAGCTATATTAATAGTGTAGTTGTAGCACGAATGGGTCGGCTCGACCGGGGAAGGACCACGCTCTCACAGAATACCATCGTAAAATGGCAGCTTAATGCTGCTGTGTTTCGTATGGTGAATGTAGAGAACCGGAGACCTATTTTACTGGAAAAAAGGCATCTTAATGCTCTCGGCTGACAATGCATCTGCATTTTAATTCGCAAACGAAGATAGATGTAGGTGTCTATGGGCCACAGCAATCACTTACCATCAGGTGGACTGTGTGCTCGTTTATCACCCTTATTTTATAAAAAAAAAAATCACATGTCTGAAACGATTAAAGAATCATAATCCGAACTAAAGTGCAAGCGAAGTGTTAACCGCTTGCTTATGAATGAACAGCCCGTTGAAGTTCGATGATTCCGCAAAATTGATATCGGTTTATTGACACTTTATCTTTCTGCATAAGTAGCAGGGTCGTGCCGGCACACGCAATTCTCGCCCTTATTATCTAATAGCTGTATTAATGTAGAACCTGCTGGGTAACATTCCTCGCCCCATGAAGACGATCTAACCGTTAGGCCGACAGTCCCGCCCGGTGCGACCTCACTGGCACAGATAATATAGTCGGAGGCAAATGAAAGGAAAACAGCGTTGGCCTTAAAATGTAAGCGGGAGCGATTAAA